ACATCGATTTTATTATTAATATTTTTATTTCAATGTTAGCCAGGGTGAGAACTCATGAGACCAGGGTAGCGTCTCAGCCTCCACCTAAAAGAAACATCAACACATAAATGCAGACTGAGGGCATCGCTACGATCACGGAGGTCCTGACAGGTTTTCTCTAAAAATGACCCAGACTGGGAATGTAGCAGCAGCAGCTCCTCCAACCTCGTGTCCCTCCGCTGCCTCGTAGGGGGAGTAAGATGGAATGCACTCACGAGTCCAGCACATGATACTTTGTGATGTAATACAATAATAATTAATTAATTGTGAAATAACGTTTACCATCTGTATTATCAGCGATATTGCCGATACCCCAATGAAGCCCTCAAATATTGCTCATATGAAATAAATAACGCTGTCGGGAACGCATCCCCATACACTCAATGGTATAACGACCCCTTTTAGCGCCGATTCCACGAGTTGCCCACTTCTCCAGAAACAACGCATCTTGAGCGCTAAGCGAAGTCTGCCAGAAAATTGAAAAACGAATCCTCAAGTAACTCACGCGCGGTCATCACCGCCCTCTACTGGCAAACGAATGAATACCCACATGCGAGCTCACTTTGTGCCGCACAGGGACAGCTGCCAATAGGGGGCTCTGTGCTCTGAGATTTTTCACGAGAGTGCAGTATAAATGTGAGGTTTTATTTCCAACAAAGTAATCAGTTATAATTACCATTCAAATAATCAACGTAATTTACCGATTGTACCAGCACTAGTTTTTGGTAATGTCAGTTTACCCCGGGCTTGATTTCTCTGGGTCACTGGCAGACTACAGTAGAGCCGGAAAACAGATTTATCGAGGTGGTAAACAGCTCGGGGTGCGGTTGCTTGTCCACTCCACTGTTTGAATGTTGAACTTCTTTCGCACCGTGCGTCGCCAACCCTGCCCACTCCACAGCTGACCGAAGCACCCCGCCCCCCCCCCCGCCAGAGGGATCTACAGAGAGGCCCCCTCTAGAGAATTCACCCACGCTGGCCTGACGTGTTGGCCTAGTTGGGAGTGCCCACACGCGACCTGCCCACCGACTAACCGTGGTGCACACATGCCCAGAGGCGATGGCGGAAGTGGGGGGGGTGACAATCTTGTGTATTGTTTCCACTGCCGTGCCGGGGAATCCGACAGGCAGTGTGCTCACCATTGCACCGTAGCACACGTCCTCGTTACTGACGTGTCACTGTGTAGTTTTACACTGTGTGAAAGGCGTCTGCCTTGTGTGATTGTATTGCACGCGCGTGTGTGTGTGTGTCAAGGAGCGTGAGCGCAGCGGTTAGGGCGATGCGCTCCCCTAGGTCAACTCAGCCTCAAATCAGTACCGGGTGCAGTGTGTAAATATCAACGCTGGGGAGACAAAGGCGGCCGGGCGCGGTTTCTGGCCACCCATCCCCTCACGTGCCATGCTGGCCGTCATAGGTGCTGCTTGCTAACAGAACTTGCTCCAACATTCGGTTAAGGCTACACGGGGGATCTTTGTCCTGTATTTGTTTATCAAGCAGTCTTAGTTTACATAGACATATATTAACGTGTGATAATGACTTGTGCTAAGCTGCAAGGGGCATTGTGAATATTGATGGATTTTAAAGTTTTTTGCTGATGCTATTTTAAGACTAAATTCCACCATACAAAAGCGATGTTCACACAAATAAAATGGGATTTTTCACTCAATACGGCATCCTCCAGCTCAATAATGTTTCTCAATGTAGCATTTTCCAGTCAATATGTAGAGGCGTGATGATAAATTACCCATTCTGCACATTTTAATGGAGCCACTGCATTATTGTAATTTTTACAAATGCATAGCTTTGGAAACGATGTTGTGTGTGTACCATTTACACTCAATGTATGATTGCTATGTTTTTGTTTTACTCTCTGTATATGAAGTTTATTTTTACCTGGCTGCTTGTGTGCACTTGTAATGCATGCAGTCTATCAACGTGAACCATTACACTTGGGGTTTGTTTTCTGCAGTGTAATAATGATGATATACTCTATATTTGTTTTTACATTTTCAGCCACTGTAATACATTTAATAACACGTAACTAATTATAAGGGAAGGGATGCTTCCGAGAAATACGCCGTACAGGGAGATGGAGCGATTAAATCAGCTTCGTGTGCAGGTGCTAGGCAGATTACTAAATTGCAGGATCGCGAGAGAGGGGGAAACACTTTGGAAGGCGTTCATCTAACAGTGGATTGACCATGGCTGATGCTGCTTTCCGCTGCCGCTGATATTGATGGCGAAACACTTTGTTAACACACTGCAAGCGGAAAACAGAACCGGTCCACTTAAAATGATATTAGCCTGACCACGTATCACCGGCCTCTCCCCCATGTCCCCAGGGCCCCCACCCCACTGGACCCCCACCATTCCACGGCACTCTTGACCTTACCCATATGAAGGGTATTGTAAAGTTAAGAGGGTGATTGACAGTCTGCCTTACATCAAGCCCGATGTATAAGCACCGGACAGGCACATTTGTCTCGCTGCAGCGGAGTGATGCAGAAGCGTAAATTAGCCACTTCCAAAGCCCAGAGCCATTCCTTTCCACTGCAAAATAAAACTCGTTATTTCCCGGGGATAGAGCCCATCATTTTAGCACAAATCCGGAAATGAGCTGTTTGATGCATTTGCTTATTATTTTATATGGAAGTGCTGTGCATTGGCTCTTTATCATGTCTTAATACTTAATTAAACCCCCCGACTCAAACGTTGTTTGTGACCTCCAATCAAAATCAAAACCGACGTGTACTGAAATCGCATGCTGGTCCAGGTGACTCATTTGTTTACGATTGTCTCGGCATTTAAGCTCGGCGTAAGCAGCTAGCAGTGGGCATTAAAGAAATGTTCTTTTGAAATTGCGTGTGCGGTCAGCTTTTGGAAGCATCAACATTTTCCGCATGACGGGACACGGAAGGAATTTATGGAACACCGTGCCAATCAGCGTTACAGGAACGGCGACCCGGGCTCATGTCGAGAGCGGTGTTCTCTCAAAAGAAAAGGTTTTCGCGGCAGAGGAGTTGATGCAAATGCTCGTCTGTGTTTTCATGAGTAGCCGGAGTCTCTTACACAAAGTTACCATACATTTAATTCTCCACGAGACTGCCGTAGCAAGGGACAATTATACAAACGTTATGCACATTGCAGAGGTTGGAAATTAATAAGTGCGCCGCTAGATTTACGCGCCGATTCAAAACGTTCCGCTAATTAGATTTCTGCCGTATAATTTTTATGGCGCGTCAAATTCGCGTGCACGCTGCCCCATTCAACGGTGGACTGACACTGCCGCGTTAAGGAGGCGCACGCGGTAACAACACAACTAGGGACGGGGGGGGGGGGCATTTTTTCCAATGCGGCAGCTGTGACACAAATCGCCGCTGAGATGAAATACGGGCGACCGTAGGCAAGGCGCCCCCGTTCACGAGCACGGAGTAATTAATTGGTCTAAAAATTTCGCTCGCGATTCCAAAGATGAATAATCCAGCCCGCATTGTCGCTACATCACAGTCCCTCTCTGCCGCTAATGGTCCCTTCCCAAGTCAATTGCACGCCAGCTTTATCATCGCCTGCGTGACTGAGCGTGGAAAGGATGGGATGGTGGAGGAGCAGGAGGGAGAGGGAGGGGATGGTGGAGAAGGAAGAGGAGGGGATGGTGGTGGTGGAGGGAGTGAAGGAGCAGCCTTAAAAATATAACAAAAATAATTAAATATGAAAAAATCACAGAGAGCCTGTGCCTGAAGACCATAGCTGCGGCAGCCGTTAAAAGGCTCAGAGAAAAAAAAACCGGGAGGATCATGAATAATTAATGTGCTGATTGAATGGCACAGCCGTGCTCATTGTAACGAGGAGCGGCAGTACTGACTACGAGAATTCACGTCCTACCCTGGCCGTGTTGGGGGCGGGGGGGCAGTGGGGGTGTAGGGCACGCGTACAGCCGGCGACGGAGCCGATTTGATTTTTTTTTTACACTAGGGTATTGAATTTTAAGCGTCTTTTTTTCGCCCTTCTTCGTGCGCGGGTCCGCCAGTTATTGACACCGCAGGGTTGCGCCTACGTACAAAGCGCGCGCGCGCACGCACGTAGGCTACTGTCAGCTCCATGGCAGGCCTTGTGAAATGCTCCCCGGACTGCGGCGTGCTGACCTCAGCATCATCGGTTCTCGCGGCCATTCGCTTCGCAGTCTCTGAGAGGGAACGATGTTAGCTGCATCATCGGCGAGGACGCGCGAAAACCCTGCTGCTGCTACTGCTGCTGGCCAGATCCTCCGTCGCCGCCACCGCTCGCCGCTGCTGCTCTCATTCTCACATTTCATTTCCCGTGGAATTTTCCTCTGATGCGACGAAACCCGCCCGCCTGTGCGTCCGACCGCAAGCGATGTTTTCCGGCTTTATACAGCTGATCATAGACACGTTACACTCAGGTACAGTGGAACGGGGCGAGCCTGGGTGTGTGTGTGGACAGCGCCTGGTGCTGAAATGTGCTGTGGTATCGACATCGACGGATTTTAAATATTTTCATTTTTAAACTGTCGGATTCAGAATAGCTGTTACATTTATATTTGCGTATATAGTGTAGTCATAATATTGACGAGTGTTTATACACCTATTTAGTACACCGTGTTATATAATTTGCCGAATAGACTGCTCGGATAAATGCACGATTGAGCAACCGTTTTTAAATGCTGGATACGTCTTGCCGTGTATTTTTAGCCTGCCATTTGTAGGGACTGCTGAGGATGCCGTTTGTTAACATTCGCGGCGTGCGCTTCGCCCATGTGTTGTTGGCGTCGTCGTTGTTGTTTGATGCACCTCGTTATTTATGTCGCGCTTTGATGCATGTCGGGATTTAGAAGAAAAACAAAAGCCCAGTGTGCAGGGTGTGCATGCGGCTGTTGGGAGGATGCGATGTGATCCAATCTGTGTGCGCGCTGTGTTTTTTTCCCGGTCGGTATTTGCTTACAGCAGCCGTATTCCACCGCCAGCCGCTGCCATGTCCACCGTCTCCCGACTGCTGCGGTCAGTACAGCCCCCCTCCCCTTGCCTCTTTCTCAATAAGATTCTCAATGGCGTGTCTGTGAAGCAAACGCGCGCACGTACGGCGGCACGCCGTGCACCAGTCTAACGCAGCCGTACGGGCGCTACGCAGAAACGTCTGCGATAGGAGTCGCACTGGCGAGCAAGCGCTCGCTTGCAAACAGCTGCCGTGGACGTTGCTCTCTGTCATTCAGCTCTTGAGACGTTTGCGGCGAAGGCATCTCTGCGAATCGAGGCGTCGATTTGTACCAAATGGTTAATGAGAGATGCCTCAACGACTAGTCGCCCACTGCCCACGCTGTCTTGTTAGGTGTCTGTGCCTGATTGAGGTGTCTGGAAATCAATTGCAGCTGAAAATGCCACGTGACACGCGAGTGCTGTTTGACATGCAAAGTGAAACAGATGAGGCTGAACTCTTAGGAGATCTCAACACATGCATCAAATAAATATCTATAATAGGTGACGTTTCAGGAAATGGCCCTTCTTTATAGCATCACGCCTATTTCCCCAAACGGCACCTATTACATGCATTGTCCTTTTTATGGCAGAGTTATTGATGGACGTGTTGAGTGTTGGTTATGTGTGCTTGTGCCCCACTGCCAATGCAACAAAATCGGACTAAAATATTACGGTAATCAAAAACATAAACCAACATCCCAGCTCTACTTCTTAGCACGCCATTACATTCATAACGTTGGTCAGGACCCTTATTGGTTGTAATAATTTGAGCTACATTTTTAAATATGTAAATATTACGAGAAAAAAATAGAGGCTTCTCTAGCCACCATTTCAACTATATACTGTACAGAGGGCTTCATCAACAATGCAGCTGCAAAAGCGATAGGGGCCAGTGTCACGGTTTCAGATGTACATTTCAGGCTTAAACAAGTGGCAAATCGCGCGTGTAATTGTGAAGCGGATTTTTGCGTCGGCTTAGTTCGTCAACCAATTAGGAATTCTGTAATTCAGCTGGAAATCATCTGTCCACATTTATTAATAGCAGATAAATTCTCATAGTGTCACGGTGGTGTCGGATGTACTCGGACCAACTGTCTCCTCCATCCATGATGGGATGGCGATGATTTGTTTTCATTCATAACAAAGCCGTATTTTTATTCAACTGGAGATAATTACCTTCTAAATGACACGCCACGTGTATCATTGGGGTTCTTTTGAAATTTTGACGTCGAGGTTTTGAGTGATTTGTGGAACTGCCCTACAGCATTAAATTCATGTTGCTAAAGGTCTCTTGGGTATCGATGCAGCATGACTCGTGTAGTAACAGAGTTACCCGTGTTCAAATGTCTGCAAATGTTTTGCGGAACCACACTGCAAGATCACATTCCACGGCACACCCGATATCAAAACCTCTGAATTGATTTGAACGTGGTTCAACAATCCAGAAATATGACAATTCAATCCGACTCAAAATAACCCACGTTTCATGTTACATATGAGAGAGAAAAAAGTGTTTGAGGTCACTGTAGTCTGAGAGACTTGCTGTTCTTTCTGAATTCGACATTATTCTTATGCTGCCGTATAATAACAATGATATTATTTATGTATCCAGGAGAGCCTCGCTGAGCCTTACCACTGTGGTCTCGTAGGGTCCTGCATTTTAATGTTGGGCCTAATTCATTTTAAAGGGTTATTTTATCTGTACCCTTTTGTAAATCCACTGCTGGATTGCCATAAAGATATCGTCCTGAATGCTCAAATGGTAAGACTTACCATCTGGAAGAAGTATCTTAAAACAGACAGCTCGTTCGTCAGTCTGCTGCTGGGTGAGGGCCTCAAAACAACGTGAGAATCGAAGTGGGGTTGGGGGCTATGAGACCGTACTTCACCACGCTGGCCAGTGTAGTTTGGCATAGTCAGGGAGCGTAGATGTGGATGCATAGAGGTACAGTACAATGCGATTCTGTGCACTGCCATCTGTCGCCCACGAAGCGATCTCTTTGCACGTGGGAGGAATGAACACCCAAGGGATGGGAGCATGAGGGGAGAACGCGATAGGCCGAGGCTGTTGGTGAATGTGTACATACGTGGGAGATTGTGAAATGCAGTGTATTTGATTAAAGCTTGTAGCTACGGGGCTCAGGAATTAAAACAGGGATGGAAATCGATGCCATCACGAGCAATGCGATGTACGGGAGTTGGAGTGCATGGTGTAGTGTGGAATCATGCACAATACGTTGAACGAGACGATGGGAAGGTTTGTTAAATCCACCAGCAGGCCAAATGGGAGCACCACGGTCGACCAGCAGGTCACGTGTGGCGGCAGGATCACGTGGGGGTACTCCCACCTCTTCCGAGATGTGTGGTCAGTGTGGAAGAGTAGGCCGAGCACCATCTGGAGTGGCTCTCTGGAGCTATTTCTAGTGGTGGCCCTTCGCCAGCAGTGGTGCAGCCCTGCAATTGCTTTCCAGCAGCAAGCAACTGCAAGGGCTACACGTTTACCTTTTTTTACCATTAATATGTTGAATGCGAAACCTGTGCTTGGTTTTAGAAGAACGATTACAAATAGTTGTACACACCTTGTGCAGGACTGCTTGGCTGTTCTAAGCGAAGTAGGTGTTATTGTTGAGTCCGAAGGGAACCAAAACTCTTATTTATTTTTTATTTCTCAAGCAAAACCATGAGCTGGCTCTTTATTCCCCGTAGAAATCTGCAGGATGTTTTTGTGTGGGACTCCGTCCATTACGGTTTGCAGAACACTTTTGTATTTGGGCAGCTCGGGAGCTAGGTGGCATGTTTATGATAAGCGAGCATTCCACACGTGGAGCCATTGAGCCAGCCCCTCCCAGAGTGGCACGGATTCGGGGAACTAATTCGACTCCACGTGCCCCGTGACACCACGCACTCACAAATATTGCTGCCATATTTTTCCCATCACCAGCGAAAGTGGAGCGCGAGCTCCCATTCCCCTCCTAATGGATGATTACTTTGATAATCTCTCATCCCGCGAAATTACGTTCCCCCCCCCCCCCCCAAATTAAAAATGATGCTGCGCATCGGCAATGAAACTTGGAGGCTACTTCACATCATTCACTGCTGTGTGTCTACGCATTCATGTTTACGTGAACGTGTGAGTGAATGTGTGAGAATATATTCAGGTTAATGACATAATTCGAATCGATAAGAAACGTCAATGGGCTTGGGCAGGATATCTTGCTACCAGTGTGGTCAAGAATAATAACGGAGTGACAGCCGATGAACGGAATGCATCCGAGAGGACGGCCAGCGTGGACATGGAGTGATGAAACCAGTTCAGGTGCCGGGTGGATTGTTTGAGCGTGGGATCGCGAGAGGTGGCGGCGGCTTGGGAAGGCCGTCATCCAGCAGTGCATTGACAAAGTGCTTTAGATTCCTTGTGTGATTTTAACCAATTTGTATTTTTCTTGGCAAGTGCAGAAGCAATAATGTGTTACATAAAAAGCCACATCTCTCCTGCAATAAATATGTTCACAGAATGTTTACCTAATGCTATAATTTGTCCAGTAAACAATTTGGCTTACAACTACAGTGCTACGATAACCACTTAATCAGCTCCGATGTATGATCAGAATCATGCACATTTTATCGGATATAAGAATATACCGGCCATTTATTAAGGTTTATTTTAAAATCAGATATTTGCATTACAAGCACGATAACACATGCTATGAAAGTAACGTAAATTACATTAAAAGGTTTTAAAATGTTTCTAGATTGGAATATTCCATAGCCATCCTTTTAAACCACCATTTCTCCAGTTCATGAAGGCATCTACTCCATCAACACACTATTATGCCCTCTGTTCTGATAAATGATTGTTCATTTGCCTATTAACAAACCAGCAGTTCAACCGAGGTGTGCAATAATTCACTGAACATCATACATAGGACGAATGAACAACATATCAATATTCATATTAACAACTCATATTAACACAGCACTTTTAATACTGTATGTATTAATACTAAAAACAATTGTCAGTGGTGAAAATGGATAGTCAATATTTTTTAAAATCTAGTTCTAACACCACGCTCGCTATGAAGTATTAGGTGCAGTACAGCTCTAGAAGAAACAGGGGTGAAGTTGGGCACTGCGAAACCAACAATGTGAGTTTGATTCCTGGCTACAGCGAACATCAGTGGCGAGTGACATTTGAACCGGGTCTGGTCTCCCAGGTGCCTTGACCAACCTGCACCTCACCAGCTCAGAGAAGTTTGGTCAAACAACCCCCAAGACTGACAATCTCGCAGTGGATTGACAAAGTACAGTAAATTACAATTAATTGTACAGCACAGCTATACACTCAAACATAATGTAGTAGTCTACGAAGTATAATGAACAATAACAAGCCAATCAATTTGTAAGGGCTGAGGTCATAGTTCACAGTGATGGTGCATTTCTATTCCATCCACTGCACCGACAATAGGTTTGTGGTGTACCCATTTATCACGCGTTCCAATCGCGTCCTCACTGGTATCTACTTTACTAGCAGATCGACGGTGGATTGTTGCTTCACAGGATCGTGAGGGATGGCAACGGCTTGGGGAGGCCATCATCCAGCAGTGAATTTATCACGGTCAATGATGATGGTGATAATGAACTGTGATGCTACCGAGTAAAATAAAACAACTGTGTTGTACGACACTGCCGTTGACAACTGTGCATATGCACTCAGCACAAAATCTCATTCCTCACTAACACTTACCTCAAAAGGAATGAAAACAAATATTTAATTGGGGACGTTTTTGACAGTGGCCTTCTGCACAGCGCATCGATGCCCAACTGGAGCAAGCAAGCTCCGTTTATCGGCTGTTAACACGTCCGAGCGCTTAACCAGGGAGGAAAGAATTTGGCTTGTGGAATTAACATCGAAAAGTCATAACTCATAAATGCAAAGGCACTCCAGGTTCTGAATAAGTGTTGGTGCTGAATAATTTCACATATCCATTGATTACACCGCATACTGCAGATAATTGCCTCCGCGTGGTCAATACGCGTAATATGTGTGCGAGGTGAGTAATGGATGAACAATCTTCCAATGATAATCGGTGGGAATTTACAATCCATACTCGCCTTGATGTTTGATTTGGAATTGCGGTATTTTATGTTGCGCACAATCCAGCGCAGGTTTTGCTTCTCCACGATCGTGAGCTAGCGGGAGGCTCGGAGAGACAGCAGAGTTTAAAAGGGAATGAGAGATCTTTCATGTTGCTCTTTATTCTTGAGGGACACAGCCTAGTTCTTAATGCTACCTTGAATAACCATCCAAATGACTTCTTTCTAAAGGGGCCCGGCACACAGAGGCAGTCGTACGCCGGGCATGACTGCTGCTTACATAATGGGAGCGACCGTCTCCGTAATGGAAATATTACAAATCGCTCTTAAAACCACTGGCCATGCAGCCAGGACACACTTTTGTGAGCGTCCGGAATTATTTCGCGAGAGGCAAGGCGCGCGAAACGAGCCGGACGGTAAATAGAGGATAATGTAAGCAGTCCGGTGTGGTTATGGCTTATCAATTTAAATATTGACAAAATAATGTTTAATTTGTGTTACTTATAAGTATTGCATTAATGCACAAATTACAGTTTGCCTGAATCCTGCTCCAGATTTACTAATGTTAATTTTGGTAACAGGAAAAGTAAAATAATGAATAATCTAAATAATTAATAATCTAATTACTAGTCCCTCACGTTGTCTTGAGTCCGTGTGCCCGAGCATCATTCGATACCACGAGAGGTGGCGACTGTTTAGAGCTATCACGTTGTCTCTATGGCGAATGCAAGCGGATTATGTGCTAACACACTTCTTAATTAAGGTTATTTTAAAAAATACTGTTATTGGCGATGTAAAGATGTTGTTACAATGCAAGTGTTGTTATCTCAGGTGATGAGATGTTTGTTCTGATCCCATGGACTACCCAAACCGTTAGATTATCAGAGATAAGTCACATTTCTTGCACGTATCGTTCAAACTTAGACTGTAAGCATGATTGGGCTGAACACGTCCTTTTGAATGGCTTGTCCTCTTGTGAGTGTACGTGTATTTATCGTTCTGTATGTGATACTGTTTTGCTCTTAGGCAACCTGGATTACTACTGGCTTGAGCACTCCTCCTGGCACAACGATGGGTCCTCTACTCCGGCGGTGAGCTCAGCACCAGTCTCTCCACATCGCACACACGCCGCTCTAATGCCACCATCACTAGAGGTGGCCTATCCGGTGAAGCCGCCGATCGCCCTCGTGATTAACGGCTCGGTTCCTCGACCAATTAGATAATGCGGAAAACGTCGCACCTCTTTCCCCGCGTGTTGCGGTGTCCCTGTACATCGCAAGTGTCATTGTATCGGGTGGTGAAGGCTCAGCCCTGCAACTGCTTGCATGCGCCGCTGCTGGCACAAAAGCCCTTCCAAGTAACACCTCGAGAGTATATTTTTGCCTACTCTTCCACGCTGTGCAGACGTCTTGGGACGAGGTGGTAGTACCCACACTTTACCACGTGACCTACGTATCGACTAACAGCGGTGTATTCTGTTCATCCTGCAATGTGACGGCTCTCACCCTTACAGCACACACTGCCGTCATTTGCAAATCTGTATAATGTTCAGTATTCTTTTTTGTAAATGGCGATTTAAGAAAAGGTGTCTCATAGCGTTCATATAGAAATGCATAAACCTTTATCAGACATCTGATGGATTTGATGGGCTGCAGTGTCCCTTTTGAAAGATACGTTAAGTGATTACTTGTCACCGTGTTTATTTCCGGGGGTTGCATCCTGAAGCGTAACATCCAGAGCGATGGCTCAGCAGTAACATTTACACACCCCACATGCGGCGCTTGCAGCCTTTTGTTTTCAAATCTAGCGGAGACCAAATTTGCTTGCCCTGACAAATTCCCAATTCAGGTGGGAAAATTCAGTGCACATTTTGTTTTATTGACACGTTGAGCATTTACTGCCGGTTCTTTGCAGACTGGGCGAGAATTCCCAGCTGAGCTTTTCCAATTAATTCTGACGAGAAAAGCCGGAGCCTTACAAAATCTCAACATTGTTTTGTCGTGAAACTGTTTTCTTTTTTAATCTTAACAGCTAGGTATGTTGAGTATTGGTGTACTCTTACCCTCTGTAACCCACACACTTAAAGCTAAAGAATCTTCCTTTATGCCATGGGGGCAAGTGCTGGCACATTATGGGACCGCTCAAAATAGCTGGTGGTGGTGTAATGGTTAGCACACCGGACTTGTGATTCACAGGTCACTCGTTATATTCAATCGCCTGGCATGGCAGTTGACAAATGGGAAAGTTTCTTCATATTCCCTGCCTCTGTCCATCCAGCGGTATTAATAGGTTAACGACATCGGGAGGTCGTGTGGTGTAGTGACCTGTGGATACTCTTACGCGTCTGACCAGTGTGAAAGAATCGTCCAAAATACCCTCCTGGTGGAGGCCCTTCTACCAGCAGTGGTGCGAGCGAGAACATTGCAGGGCTGCACCTTTGTCTTTTACTCGCTACCCATGTCATGTCGGATTGATCTAGCATTGGCCTACATCAGATACATATACTAATTGCCACTTAAGTGCGTGAACAGGATTCAGACCAGACTTATGGTAATTGTAGCACATTCCTTTAATCGCTCTGTCCCCTCCACACACAAACACAGAGAAGGCGAAGTCTTCGAACGTCTGGACTGCTCTTTGCCGCGTGCATTTAAGCATAACGAGCGTTTACATCAACCAAAAAGCAATCGATGTGCACAACTCGTTAAGAGCGGGTTTGCCTGAATGTTTCTTCTCGGTTTAATTTTAGCAACCAGTGACCTGGCAGCCGTCCAATGAAGGCGACCGTCTAATTGGCAAGATCGTTCTCAACAAAACGCTCACCGGGAGCGCGATGCCCAAGGATTCGGGAGCTTTGCTGGGACTCAAGGTAAGCAAACGGTCGCACTTTGAGCGGAAGAGTGGTGGCAATACCTACTGAGCACTGCAATAATGCAGCATTTGTGTTTCTGTAGATCCCTAAGCTTGGCTTGACTATATATAATCATTTCAAATTGTTAAATGCACAGAGGCACGAGGAACCACAGACAAGCAGGCAGGCAGCTACGTGATGAGCTGATACCAACAATTTCCCAAACTCGGAGGTCCTCTATCTATAAGTGTGTGCCAACTCCTTAAAGGCGAAAGTCGCCAGCGAACCTTAAAAAGTCTCTAGATATCCCCGGACATTTGATCAGGATACAGGATCCTCAGTACGCATCTGAACTTAGTTCTAAATCTGCATCATGTCTTCATCCCAGAAAGTACATTTTTGTCGCGAGGTAATCATCATACCTCATAACATTATCGCTTGGCAAAGTTGGCAACACTTTGTATGTCCGGTGTGACGCCTTTTGTGCCAAACTTTACTCAGCCGTAAGTTTTAGAAAAATGCTCGCACCCGCGTCCTGCACGCAGTCGAGTTTGCTCGTGGGTTTTGCGTTCCACCGTAAAGTCAGGACGATGCCTTCGAGGAGTTCACCGCCCTCGTTGTCACGTCTTAGACGTGGACAGGAGAAAGCTCCGTCACGACTTCCCAGTCGCAGTGTGACCAAGCTGATGGACACGGGAGACACACACCTTCTCACGAGCCACAAGCTGCTGTCGGCCTTTGAGCCGTTGACCCCCCCCAAAAAAAAATACTTATTGTTACACCCCCAGAGTGGCAGATGCTAACGATGATTTTTTTTGGCTGGATTACAAATATGTGATAGCGGGATCGTTGTGGTTGCTTTTTTTACGTATTATCTCGAATGGTTTTATTCATGAGGGGGGCTGGAGTATGTTTCATAGAGGATATTGTTTTGGGAAAAAGACGAATGTGATGTGAAACATCTGGGTTATTTGAAAACGCAAATGAAAGTGTGTCTATAAAACAGATGGTATCTCTGCTCGCCTTCTGCACTGAACCATGGTGGACAGTGCCCATGCTGGACTTGGTCCCGTGGTGGACAATGCTCATGGTGGACACTGGTAGCGTTTGATATCCCAAGTGGTGCCGAACAACCCGTTGACTCATGGGGCTGTGCAGAGTGGAGGAATCATCAAAGCAACGGACTGCAGGATTATCGCGGTCAATCTGCATTCGGCAGCTCTCTTAAAAAGTACAGGCAGCCAAAAATATAGCGACGCGATTAGCCCCGGGTGAAACAGATGGTTGTGCACATATTGGTCATCCAGAACATAGTAGAGAGAGAAATCTTTATTATCAGTCAGAATCCATCCAAACGTTGAACCGCAAAACACTCAACACCCAACAAAACGCTTTGATCTCGGTTTAAATGTGATCCGGTTCCATATTGGAGGAGCAGTGGTGCGGTGGTCAGCGCGCTGCACTATGAAACTCGGCGACCTGGGTTCTGTTCCCAGCCCTTCCCCAACCCGCGCTCTGACCAGGGTGGCGAAGTATGGTCACAAAACCTCCATGGCCGGCACGCCGTGGGGAGGCCTCACCCAGGAGTGGATTGACAAAAGGCTGTGAATTATTATTGTATTAAATATTATTATTTAAGTTCAATATGTTTATAGACATCTTCTATATATAAAAGGGAAATGTGTGATTATGTGTGTTTGTTCAAAATGTTTAGCGTACTTCCCGACATGCAACAAACTTGAAATTTGCCATGTGGTTATTTTCCAGACTGTACACCGTGCAAAAATGATCAAAATATACTTTTGTGTTTTTTTTGGGGGGGGCTCAATAATGCATATTTTTTGCACGGCAATTGAGCTGTGACGTCACATCTGTCACGTGACCCGCTTATGTGGAAGCGTCATGCATTGTCGCGTAGTGGTTAGCGCGCTGCGCTACGAACCCGGCAACCCGAGTTCGATTCCCGCTAACAGCCACCAGCGGTGACGATTATTTGAACCGGTCCTGGGCCTCCCCTAGGTCAACTCAGCCTCAAACGAGTAACTGGTGTGGTGTGTGAACATCGCCACTGGGGGGCCAAAGGCGGCCGGGCGTGTTGAATCCAAGTCCCGGGTGAAGTCGGGTAGTAAAGCTAGTTTGTTATAAAAGGTAAACTTCAGTGTATACTCAATCGGATACATGAATGAAGTTTCTCAAACCCGCCCCCCGCGCTTCTGTCCACCCAGCAGTATAAATGTTATTCGATTGGCAAAATGCATGTGTTGGGGTAACTTTAGGTCCTCCCACATCTCCCAAGACGCCTTGGCCATCGTGGTGAAGTCGGACGAAATTCCCCTCCCTCGTGGAGGGGTTCCGTCTGGAGCTCTCTGTAGTGCAGGCCCTTCCGGCAGCAGTGGCGTCAGCAAGCAGTTGCAGGGCTACACCTTTCACTTTTTGTTCCACCTTGACATATGCATGTAATACGTGCGCAATAAACGCAGCCTCTCGTCTGCCGCCGGAGGTTATGGGCCGTGCGTACAGATTCCCTACCAAAATACCGTGCAGGTACAATGGCGATTTGTCATTTTAATTTAACCCCCCCCCTCCTTCCCCACTGGGGAGATTTGCCTGGCTCGTGGGTTGCCACAGTGTATCAGGAGGCTTAGCATGAGATCGATATCTAATTAAAGCTGATTAGATGGGAGCAGGTTGCTGAGTGCGTCTCTCTCTAGACCATCTGGCAAAAAAAATGTAGAGCACCAGCACAGGCAAGTGCAGGGAGTGGCGATACTGTTCCCTGAGTCTGCAGCAAACCTCCACTCCCCCTCGTGCCCTCCGCATTGCACAAGCACAGGGACGCTCCCACGAGACCGAACCACGAGACGCCGTCGGCTTGGCTTGCGAGGCGGCTAGGCGGTGTCCGCCACGTGCCCTAGTTTACGAGGATCGTCCTCTTGTCGAGGAAGCTGCCCACTGAAATCCGTCGGTCTTCCCGGGACGTCAACAATCCCGGGTCTTGTTGGTTGTGTAATCACTCACCTCTCGAGACGCGGAGTTCTCCCCTCCAACGGTACCGTGAGATGTTCTTCTGCCCACGATATGTCCATTTTTGTACCTCCGGTGACAACGCTATGGCCAAGTGATGACAGTACAAAAATGCATTCTTGAATCTGTCTGTGTGGCGTTTTGAGTGTTACTGTATTGAATGTGTGGGTTTTCTCCGGGTATTTTGGTTTTCTCCCCCAGGCCAAATGTTCAGGAATGGAACTGAACAAACAATACAGGGCCCGTCTGAGAATTCCGCTATCGTTATTATTGTTAAACATGAATGCCTCGACGAACCGTGCCTGAGTGCTCTTCCTTTGCACTGGCAAAGTGAGCTTTCACCAATAATTTTATTTGCATTTGGACGGCCCCCTAAGTTCACCAGGAGAGTATTGTAACTCAATTCATCATCATCAGCCATGGTCAATCCACTGCTGAATGAAGGCTTCCCCAAAGGTGGTGGTAGCTTCGGGAGACCTTTACATAACTTAATTACGTACAGTAAAATACATAACAGACATTTTGTGTTGAGGTGATTCTAAATGTCCCCCAGTGTATGAAGATATTATATTGAAAATAACGAATGGCTTTTCTTTGATGCTACTGGCAGTGGCTTTTTGTGCTTGGCATGGGACCCTGGCGCAAGGAATTAAATGGGTCCATCCAGCCTTATTGCATGACCTTGATTAAATAGGGGGGCATACAAAAACTCAGGGGCAGAATGAGTAACGAGATGATCTGTGTTTGTCGGGCCTTCTGCTGTAGCTCTCACACCCTGTGTATATGAGCAAAGGCTGCGATGCCCCTCGCTTAATTATACTAAGTTTAGTATATTGTCCAGCCCCTTCCAACCATTGCAAATGGTTTGTATATCAAAGGAGTTGACTCTGAACATTTAGAGGGCAGGCTGAGTCCTCAGCTGGTGGCTCAGCTGTTCCCCTACCGAGCACCAGGCCCCAGTCACAGTTCGCCGCGCTGTTCCAGTCCCGCCGCTATGCCCCTTGAGCCCCGCGGGTCGTGGTGCAGCTTACCTCGATAGCTGCTCGATGACTCGCTGGCCCTTGTTCCGCTAATAGAGAGTTGTTTGCGACGTTGTCTGCTGCCAGGTGGTCGGCGGGAAAATGACCGAGTCTGGGAAACTGTGCGCGTTCATCACGAAGGTCAAGAAGGGCAGCCTTGCCGACATCGTCGGTCACTTGCGTGCAGGTAAACCGGATCGGAAGTTGATGCATCGCACACGCGCCAGGGCATGAACATTCGGCGATATTAATGTCGCATTGACGGACAGCGCTCACATTGCTTGGGAGGCATGACACGCATTCAACGAAAACGCGCCCTCACCTCGCAAGACGCTGAAACGTGCCAAGCGCGGCTCCACGGCAAAGAGCAACCTTGCGAGAGAGACGTTGCTTGCGCATTGGCCAGCCAGCCCGCACAATCACATGCCCACACAGCGCATTTGTTTTCCTATTAACTAATTTAATCTGTGAGTGGAGTGTTCTGGTTGCAGAACAGAGTGTTCCAGGCACTGCATCATGAGAATTACACGTACAGTGAACTCGTAAGAGGCAGGGTAATGCAGTGGCGCTGCCTGTAATGGCACATGCGCCAAGCCCCACATTCGCAAACGTCAAAGTGATCTCCTGCGCACGCGAGCAGCCAGGGTGGTGCTCACCTCTCGTTAACAGCTCTGTGCTTGCCGTGGGAAATCCACATTTCTATTGCGGGGGTGAGTCTATCCATAGGACAACCACTTTTGACTTCTTCACAACGTGTCAGCCTATCGAACCCATGGGGCGATTTTGGCTGGCTGAGTCAGCCCCGACAATCGGGATTTAAATGTTCAACCCTTCCGACCGCGAGCCGCTCGCTGTACCGCCGAGCCGCATCCCAGAGTCGCTCCCGAGCCTCGCACACCAGGCAAGCCGCGTCGTCGTCGTGGGTGCGATGCTTTGGATTAGGGCTGAACGATTTGGGGAAAAGATCTAATTGCGATTTTTCTGATAGATGTTGCGATTGCGATTTGATTTGTGATTACAATTTTTTTAAAGTCAAGCTTCTGTTCAATATTCACTGTGCAATAGATTTAAAGCATGTGATGGAGCATTACCACACGATAACATCAAAATATGAACTGCTCTTTATATTCTAATGCAAGGATGAGAACTTAAAAGATATGAATTGCTTCCAACATGTTTTTATTAAAATGTTTTAATTGAAATAGAACAATCAAACATATAACAATTGTTAAGTTAAATAAATAAAGTTATAATCATAAAAAAACAAAACAATTCTAATAAGAAAGTAATAGGACTCTTCAAATCGCAAAAAAATCGCAGGCTTTGCAATTTGCTAATCGCATAGTTTCAAATTGCTATTTTGGTTTGAAATCGATTAATCGTTCAGCCCTACTTTGGATGGGAAGACGAAACACAACATTCCTGTGGCCATGTCATTCGAAGCGGGCTCCGCATTGTGATAGGGGTTTTACATCTTTTCAATCCAGATCTTCTCATCTTTTATCAAAGGCCTCATATATGTTCTACCGTGATGGGCTTGTAGCTGGTTTGTTTAATGAGATAGCAGACTTTAATGTCACAGTCAAGCATGTCATTACAGAAAGATTGTATTTTATATTTTTTTACGCTTTCCAACTTAGTCTGAAAATGTCTGTCGGCCTGTCTGTAATGGGGGCACGTTAGCTCGAGTCAAGATGATCCAAGAGTAACACAACTTTTGTATAAAATAGTTTTGCAATTAGGGACTAAAAGAAAACTGGCCAGATTGATTGAAGGTGTTGCCCAAAACCCATAGACAATTCCAGTGTGTAAATGACCCTCCCTCTTGCAGCCTGGCTGGCTGAGGTGCAGCCTTCCCTGCAGAGCCGCTATCCCAGCCCATCGCCTGATCGCCGCCTACACACGCACTGCTTCCTGCAAGCACTTCCATTATTATCACTCATAGAACACGTCTGAGAACAAACGCATGTTGGGAAGCATCATGTGATCCATGCGTATGCATTATTATTATTATTATTGTTTTTACAATTTATAGCCGTATATTAATCCATTTCCAGATAGGGACGTCCCGGTGCCATGTCGGTCATGGAGCTTGCTGAACCTTTGTCCGCCAAGGTGCAGGTTGGCGATAGATAGGTAGGCAGGGACAACCCAGGCCCGGCTCGGGTATCACTCGCCACTAACGTCATGTAAATGTAACTGAGGAGGCCAATGTTGTTCAACGCTAAATCGCTGACCCCCCGACGCGGCCCCCAAAACAACGTGGCGGGCACTAACCGCGGCGCCACGTGCCACCAGGGGACGAGGTGCTGGAGTGGAACGGGCAGTCCCTCCAGGGGGCCACCTTCCAGGAGGTCTACAACATCATCTTGGAGTCCAAGCCCGAGCCGCTGGTGGAGCTGCTCGTGTCGCGACCCATCGGGTCAGTGAGCGCGCCGCTCCGACAGGCGTCGCGCGTCCACAGGAACAGAGGGGCTGTTTGGCCCTTTCAGTCGTCGTCGCTGTTGTTGTTGTTGGTGATGGTGAAGGGAGGGTTTAAAGCAGCCTGATAACCCCTCCAGTTTACATCGCAAAAATATACCGCGTGATAGTATTCAGTTTAACACGTAGGCTTTCGCGACCATTATCATCGCGTAGATATTTACGCGATCTAACCCAAAACAAACTCTGTTATGGGTGACAGTATTCGTTTGCTTTTTGATGACACGTTACATACACTATCTAATTTATCGTAGTGCGTTTCATATATATGATATTTTGAATGTTCAAGTGTAAGTTCTCGACCACCGTTATCTAGTGTGCACTATATTCTAGTACCGTAATATGTGCATTTGTCATCACGGTGTATCACAGTGTTGAATGTCTCAGGGCCGTGCAATGGATTCTCACGTTTCTTGTTGATTACTTGAAAACAATTCACTCGGCCCTGTTTATTGTCTTGTCTGATGGTTCAGGCCTCATGTAAGGGTCAGCTCAAGTCGTTTTTACTTGCAGGCTTTCTACGAGGAAACAGCATGAACCTAATAACCACAATCAAAAGTTGTTATTTCATTTGCAATTAGGGGGAGCGGAGATGTCCACTTTTCGACAAAAGTGGACTTGCTGTTTCCTGTTGGACAGTTTAAATGTTTCTGCGTCTCAGTTTCTTGGGTTTCCCTCTCAGCTTCTTCGATGTCCCTCTCGATTTCTTGGGGTTATCCCTTCGAGTCTTGGCATATTCACAACGTTTCTGAGTTGGTCTCTCACTTATCTGAACATTTTAGATTGACATGCACGGTGATATATGGTGTATTCTGCTGACATTTATTTACATGTACAGCAAAACCTTCTCTCGCGCAGATTGAGCTATCGCGGCTTTGTGGTTTCACTACAAATTTATTGAGGTGCAGAGTTCGCCAATCGCGCCCCTATGGCTGGGCCATTCGCGGTTGACCGCGAAATTCCTGTACGCATCGTAACTGCACCTGCTCGCGATGACGCTGCCGCGGAAGAATACACGCGGCACCGTCTTATCTCCGTGTCGTCCTCCAAGCAGCCCATCACGGGTCCCAGCCTCCCACGCCACGCGGTGTTCCCAGCCTCCAACGAGGAGGCAGTGAGATTCAGTCGAACGACATTTCTTCTGATAGTGTCAGGGCCGGATTAAGGCACGTGGAGGCTTCAGGGGCTGCAGCTCAGGGGCCTCCGCCAGCTGGAAGGCCTCCAGAGATAAAGCGAAAAGTAATTTCACTTGCGAATGCTGAATTTTATTTGTTGTTAGCCTTGTAAAAATAAAATGTATTTTTCTTTAACTTTGTTTTCCTTTTGAACATATTACTGGGGGCCTCACAGTACCTGCAGCCCAGGAGCCTACACAATCTTAATCCGGCCCTGGAGAGCACACACTGCTGCCCACGGACACGTGTACAGCAGTGTGCGCTACGTAAATGTTTTAATTGCAAACATTTACCATACTAGTTATATTTAATACTAGAGTTTTTTAAATCATATTTTACATTCTAAATACTTCCTGTTTAACGTTTGGGTTGATTTAGGGTCACATAAAACAACAGGGCGCGTGGGTGTCACATTCTGGACCGTGAACCAGACCTGAGTTTTCCCCATAATACCTTTGAGTTAGCGCATCGCGGAATTCCCGGTTGCTGCTATTTTCAAGAAGGTATCCCCCACCGTGAGGGTTTGCTGTACTGTGTAACATCTTGTAGTCAGCACGGCTTGATGAAGGGAGAATCAGGACATTTTGAAATGTTGTCCGCCACTGATGTTAGCCGTGACTGAAATCAAACTCCGTTCGCCACGTTCATAGTGCAGTGAGCCAACCACTCACATCAATGGAACAGAAATAATAATGATAATCACATTTCAAATATGACAAATCAGTTGTCTTATTAAGTATTCGTACTTGTATGCTTTTCTCACGTGACATAGCACAGCAAGTGGGAGACAGCCAGGGCAGGAAAGCGAAACGCTCACACATTCGCTTTGTTGTTGTCTAACATCTGCCTCCTACAGAGATCTGCCTAGAATACCGGACGGCACACATGGACACCAAGAGTCAAGTAGGCGAGACTTTAAGTTCTTTAGAAAATTATTTATTGTTTCCCAATTCACGACCTCCACACCGCCGCACACACATACTGGGCTGATCCCAGTGATGCTAAAATATCACGCAAGTCGACGTTTCCAATCACTTCTGCCTGCTTATCTACTAAAGCTCAGCTCGTGGATGTCTCTATTGGATTGTGAGCTTAACACGCAGGTTTTCGCGGCCAATAATATGATTCATAAGCGATGTTTTGGCGAGGCCACGTGCTAATCTGGCCAAATTTGTGTCGCAATTCAATCCGCCACCGGACACGGCCACACAAATTAATTTGTCATGTGCACAGCTTTCACTGAACCAGTTATGATTGTGTCAGCTTACTGGTAATGTGAAGGGCAATTCTCGCAACTGAATCTGGCAGCGAGATTCAAAGTTTCGCTCAGCATCAGGTCAGAATCCAGGAAATCAGAATTGCTAAATTCAAGAATTGTTCTTCAACTTGTCGGTTGGCGGAGGATCTTACAACACAGATTTGGCCAGATCATTACATGGCCAAAACCAAAAATCTATTACGGATGATGGATATTTATCACTTGATGTGCAAGGCAGGGGTTGTGACGATGACACGTCTGTTATCACGCCAGGCTCCAGCTCCTTTGAGTCTCAGAAGCTGGAGCGGCGCTCCATCTCCCTGAACACGCCCACGAGCCCGGGACTGCGAGACGTCCCGCAGACCATGCCAGGGCGGCTGTCCGTACGTCTGCCCTCTCGTGCCACACTTGCTTTGCTGCTCACCGTATATGCTCCTCGCGCATAACGCACATGACCGTCATCATGGTGAGAATGCTTACACTGTATAATAATAGTATAGGGATGTAATGGTCTGCAATGCAGAGATTCGCCGGTTTGATTAGATCTCCTGGCGCGGCGGTTGAAGATTGGTGCACGTTTCTTAACCGCCACCACCTCTGGCCACCCGGCAGTGTAAAGGGGTTCACCGCAGTCAGAAGTACATGTGTGGTGGGGTAAAATGTGGGTACCTCCACATCTCCCAAGGCAATTTTGAATCTAGATTGAAAACTCATTTCTCTGGAACTGCTTTTTGTGTTTAGTTTGTTATCCTTCCCCCGCACCTCCGAGTAGCACGGTTGGCTACGTACGGTGCGAAAGAAGTTATACACACATATGGCCAGCATGAAAGAGTAGGCCAAAATATCTTACAGAAGGGCTCTATAGAGCTGCCTCGAGTGGAGGCCCTTCTATCGGCAGTGGTGTGAGCAAGGGATTACCTTGCATTCATTATTGTTCATTTTTGTTGCTATGATGATGATTTTGCTTACATATCTATTTTCTTACATTATTGTTCGTTAGATTTGTTACATCGTCATATTGTTCACATCTAAAATGTACGCGCGTTACACTTTTTTAGTATATTTCTTAAACAAATATTCTTCCTGCACTATTCATCCTTAAATCTTTCATTTGAGGTAATTGTGTTTAGAATCTGGGCCACCTCAACAATGTTACATAAGCATTTCCCAGCAAAAATATCTCGACATAATAACGTGTGTCCTTTCACCTCGATGCTGTTTACATAATATTTTCACAGAATGCACAATTCTTGATGCATGATTTTACAATCGCTCTCTTCCCGCCCCTCATTATTTGACCCGGAAAATGAATTATATAAGCGCTGCACCGTAAATTTTCGCGAGATATGTGGTGATGCCGGGCCCATTATTCGTCAGAAGCAGGCCGTGCTTTCTCAGCTATTAGCAGCGAAGAATACAGTGCAATTAATCACACTAACGGGCACGTAATGGTGGCAGCAGTTCAGGGAGCTCAGCTCATTTGAGCTTCCTAAGCCTTCCTGAGAATCACTTAATTGCTCGATGGTTTTCCCTGCTAACACTCGTCTCGTGCACTTTAATGATAATGATCATAATTTAGATTTGTACCGCGTCTTAATACTAGGAGCATCTCAACACGCTGTACAGAAACAGTTTATGTCAAATAATATGGAGGAAACAACAACAAATATATAGAGGATATCCACAGCGATCCACATGAGCCCTACCACTTAAAGTTTGCTTTGCTAATGAGACACAAGTTTGCTTTGTTTTTTTTACTTCATTACGTCCATCATTTTCTTTATTATTATAATTATTATGCTGCACCATGAAATGTCCAAACTGTGTTGCCCCATTTGTGTTTTCGCTACAACATTTGATTCTATTTATAATTTATATATCACCGAACACAATGCATGCGGTGCAACTAGCAGCATGGATGGCTACACCACAGATTACAATAGATGAGCAGGTTCGTGCGTAGTGAACTACACGGAGGATCTCCGCACCTCTTGTGGCAGACTAAGCTCAATACTCTCCAGAGGGCCTCTCTGGAGGCCCTTCCACGGGCAGTGTCGTAAGCAAGCAATTTCAGGGCTGCACCTTTACTCTTCATTGGCAGTGTTTTGCAATGAGGGTCTACCGACATCGTCCCTCGCTTCGGTGGTGGCGAGTGGTTTGTCCAGAGGTTGGGGTTCAGAGTGCGCCACAGCGGTTGTTTATTTTCAAACGTTCCTATTGAGGTGGACGCACGAGCCCCCCACAACGCGCCGGTGTTTTCTCGTGGGGGGGGGGGGGGGACAGAGAAATCGCGAGGGGGAGGGGAACGTCCCGGCGTACCTGGTGTCGAGGTGTGGGGCTCTCGGTGTCGACCCTGAGGGTGGAGGGTGGGGGGGAAGAGGGGTGGGGAGAAAGTGACCAGCATCACAGGGGTACATCGGGTGTGTGTGGGTGGGGGGGCAAAGGGACACACGCTACAGGCGGCTTCATGTGTTGGGGTAAACAGGAGTAGTTTTTGTATTCCCGAGTGCAAGGCCCCCCCCCCCCCCCCCCCGGTCGCTTGCTCATGCGTGGGCGACGTGTCTCCGTGCTTGACGCAGATCAAGCTGTGGTACGACAAAGTCGGCTTCCAGCTGGTGGTGACCACCCTCGGAGCCACAGACCTGCCGCTCCGTGACGATGGGCAGCCGCGCAACCCCTACATCAAAATCTACTTTCTTCCAGACCGGAGGTGAGAACCACAACCCTCCTGGCTTCGGTGAGGGTTTCCTCCTGGATTGACCTTATCACGTGACTGCCCACCCTGAATGGTGCCACCACAGAATTTGTACTGCTCACCACGTAGTCCCGGAAGCGCGATGATGGCCTGCACGGTGGGTTACCTGTCCGAACACTGTCCAGGCTCAGTTTTTGTACCAGATAAAAGGGTAAAAACCTATTACTATATTTTGCTACTGTTAAATGAGGTCTCATAGTGTAAATGCTTAACCCGAGCTCTCAATACTCTGATAGTGAGCTGTTTTTGAGTTGTACGCCTTCTGGCGTCATCTGGTCCAACACCAATGGCTCTAAGAAACGCCGTCTCGGGTGTGGACCAATCAACTTCAAGGATAGTGCATATCATTATCAGAGTTGTTACTTTTTTTGCATTTTGACTGCTTGTGTTGTGGTTATTGCAAACATGATCCCTTGTATAAAGGTGTCAGTTTTAGTACCAGATAAAAGGGTAAAACCCTATTACTACTTGGGACGTCGTTCCGAACAACACGCTGCACAATACTAAAAAGCGTCGGAGTGCCGTACAGCGCCACCGTGAAAGCCTACGCTGTGCGTTCTCACCGGTGATGCGTGCGTCCCACAGCGACAAGAGCAAGCGTCGCACCACCACGGTGGGACGCAGCCTGGAGCCGCAGTGGAACCAGACGTTCGCTTACTGTCCCGTGCAGCGGCGGGAGTTCCGTGAGCACATGCTGGAGCTCACGCTGTGGGACCAGCAGCGATCGCCGGGGGAGGAGAGCGTCTTCCTGGGAGAGGTGCCGCCACAACGCTCACCCGCGCTCGCTAGCATGCTCACCCTTGCTCGCTCGCACACATGTAGTGCTGAACCTCTTTAACCTGCTGGGTGGACAGATGCGATGGAGGGGGGAGAGATTTAAGAAACTTGTCACCTGTGTATCGCAAGTTAAGTGTTGCCAACCGTTACGCCACTGTGCACGCATTTCGTTAACGAGGGTCTTGTGACAGACATTTCATCTGAAAGTGAGAGAAATCATCTGAAGTTAGTTATATTGAAAGTTACAGCAAAGAAACAGTTTGCTATGTTAGATATCTCAAGGGGTTGTCAATTCATTATGTGTTTCAATCGTTTAAGAATCTCTAGAGAAAACGAATCTAAATTTATATTTTCACGTCACATTATTTATGCTAACATTAACCTTGACCTTCTGTCTGCACTAATCTTTCATCCAAGGTCCAGCTCTACGATTGGGTCTAAAAATATTAGCCCTCAACTAAGAACTAACCCTGTCATTAACCTTATACCTATTTATAACCCCAACCCATTGTCTTAACCTAACCCAGGCCCAGATCTAACCTTAGACCTCCCCACCCATTAGCCGTTGCCCTACGTCTCACCCTTACTCCTCACCCTCAACCCGACACCACCCCTGACCCTGTCTTCCCCGAAACCGAAAAACTCCCGACCCTTCGCAGATCCTCATAGAGCTGGAGACAGCCTTGCTCGACGACAACCCTCATTGGTACAAGCTGCAGACGCACGACCTCTCGTCGCTGCCTCTTCCCCAGCCCTCGCCGTTCCAGCCACGCAAGCATGGCCAGGGGGACAACGGGCGCAAGCTGCAGAGTGGGTGCCACCGCCCCCCGCCCGCCTGCCCGCCGTCCGCATAGCGCACCTGGGTTTCGAACGGGGGATGCGGAGTCGGTTCGGAAACAGGAGCGGTGCATCACAAAGACAAAGGCCTCCCTCCGTGTAGCCTACACGAGCTGCTGTGGGGCAAGTGCTGTTAGCGAGCCTCCTACGAGCTCTGGTCCACAATGGAAGGGGAAGCACTTTGCCGCTCACTCTACAGATGAGAGTGTATTTCGTCACTTGAAGGCCAAACAAACGTTCTTCATGACCAAATTTAAAGGTGATGGTTTTTTTGTACAGTTGTTGGTGGCTGGACTGAGACCATCTGCTCGTTATACGTAAGATCCGGGTTTATCCGCAAGCGGCTCGGTGAATGAACCGAGTTCACGAGTGGCGACCCTGATTCCATCCCGGGATCTCAGTGGTGCCGGTTCAGGATTCTGACCCCTGAGCGATTCCGTCTTGCCTTGCACATAATCACGTGAGGCAGAGAGCGCACCTATAACCTACAGAGCGCACCTATAACCTACAGAGTGTACCTATAACCTACAGAGTGTACCTATAACCTACAGAGCGCACCTATAACCTACAGAGCGCACCTATAACCTACAGAGCGCACCTATAACCTACAGAGTGTACCTATAACCTAGAAAGCGCACCTATAAGCGAGAGAAAGTACCTATAAGCGTACTTATAGCCAAGAGAGAGGAAAAGGTACTCTTAACCAATAATGAAATGAGGGATAGGTAATTTTCGAAAAGACTGCAAACATGTGCCAGTCAATTTATTTCCGATTGCACTGCAAATTGCCTTTTGTCAATAGCATTAAATATTAAGCGGTGCACGCGGTGATATGCATCATTACAAATGGACAGCACTGCTTCCACTGTGTCCCGTTTGCGATGTTTCAGGGTCACAGCGCATCGATGACGACATGTCGGACCAGGATTACAACGACGCCATCGGAGTGGTGTCCACAGGTAACCGCAGGTCGCCACTCCTGGTAACGAGGCTACCCCTTGTCTGTTGCCTTCTCATTCGCTTGAACGAAGCGAACTTGAGACTTGAACATCACCGCATGCTCCGCAACAAAGCCAGCGACATAAACGGGCGCGCTGAGCCGTCGATGGGCAGGTCACGTCCGGTGGGGTGAAGTGTGGGGTCAGTCCCACCTCTTCAGAAAATATCACCAAGATCAGTGCCTCTCAACGTTTTTCAATCCACAGCACTCACTTCCAACGACTGACGGCCGTCTAATGGAGAGGGTGGGATGTGGGGGAGGGGGGGGAGTGTGTGGGCTGGACCGGCCACTGAACAGCACGGAGAGGTGGTCTGTCTGAGCTTGTGAACAGCGATGTTCTTCCCTTTCCTATAATTCCGACGATACTGCGGCACACCTGGGACTACCGCGGAGCACCGATTGCGAAGCGCCGCTTTTGTTCAGGTGCTTTTTTAATTCTAGAGCTCCGTCTTTTGGAAACCCTCCCACCCAGCAGTTTCGTGAGCAAGCAACTGCAGCGCTGCACCTTTACGTTTTTACAATAGAAACCGATCCATCACAGGACCCAGCAACGTGGGCCATGGCCCTTGGGAGTGAGCACAATGAAGGCAGCGCTTCCCGCGAGTGACGGCTCACTCCAATTAAATGCCCCCACAGCTGCGGCGGTCGCGCATTTGCCGATTTTTGTACGCAAGTGGTTTGTTTACCGTGCCTATAATTTGCACTGCTATCGTGTTGTTGTCTTGTTTATTTTGTGCAACGTTCTGACCTGCCCCAACTGGATATCTGTGAAGAAGAGTTGTATAGATCATCTGTTCCTCCGGTGTAAATATTCAGATTCTGGCTCGCTGTTCGAATTGGGCAGGCCTCCCTAGTTATCACTGCGGGTGTTTGGACCGTACAAGAATGTAACGTTTCATCACAGTGCACGTCAAAGAGCCTATCATGTGATTTGCGCCATTGTGGCGAGATGTTAACTACCTCGCCTGGTATACAGGAGGTCGTGGGTTCGATCCCGACTCTCACGCCTGTATGTTTGGAGTTTGTATATACTCCATGTGGTCGCGTGGATAATACTATCGGTCGTCTGGTTTTTCCCTCCATATTTAGAATCAACGTGCGTTTAGAGTATTAGGCTGCTATAAATGTCCACGTGATAAACCACTTAGTTGAGCTGTTATTTATGGCCAGGTCGCTTCTGAAAAAGAGCCAAATAGCTCAGTGGGCCTTACCTGGTATGATAAAAAAGTTTAAATAGTTTAGTTTTCGCCCTGGTGCAAGGAGCCATGTAGATCCCCACATCGAGTTTCCCCTTTGCCATTGTGTGCCAGAGTAATGGTCCAAAGTCGGCAAATTTGAAAAAGATTGTCTCGAATTAATCAATTGGTATTACACTCGGCGGCATCACTCCCTACCGGCAGACTATATATCCGACTGTGAAACACAGCAACACCTTCATCCGTGATGGTCCTAGGTTACGATGATGATGATGATGATTATTATGATTAATTATTGTGCATCGCAGTGCGTGGTGTTCGTAAAACCGGAGTGCGATGCCACTGCCTCTCTGATTCAGTCCTGCCAAAGTGATATAAATAACGAACTCTCCGGGTGAAACACGTGTAGGAATGGGAAGTAACGTGTTATTTCAAGCTGTGTTGCATTACGACTGTAAAAAAGAAAAATGTTCCTGCGAAACTTGCAAATAGCGGCGACTGACTTCGAAAGGGGGTTGAATTTTATCAGATTCCTGCCAACAGCACCTCTGAGAAAGGGGCATAAAACGGCACTTGGAGTGCCCAATCAGGGTCAAAGGAACATCATTTAGTCCAAAGCAGCTCCTCAAATCAAACTTAAATATCCTCCAGTCTCATACCTTCGAAGATACACATGTTTGAGCCGGAATAGCACGTGGATGAGTGTCCACCATGCATAATAGGTGTCATCAGCTGCCACGTGTTATCATAATAGGTGCCATCAGCTGCCACGTGTGGCCAACACAGGACATTCCAGCTTATATCCGTTTTTGTACTGTGCCTCATATGCTCCTACATCTATGCCCCACTTTTACCAACTCGCACTGACTGACCAGCATGGTGAAGGATGGTCCAACAACCTCCTTGACCCACGAGGCAACTGGGAGGGCCCTCATCCAGCAGTGGATTGATCATTGCTGATGATTATAGCGGTCACAGGGCCGTGCGTGCGTGCGCTCGTACCTCGTGTCTACGACGGCTTTGTTCATCGTGGCTGACGTCGACGACCGTCACCGTGACCTGTAAATGACCGACGCTCGCGTCCGGTGCCGTGCCAGGAGGGGGGGGCGCGGAGTGCCGGCACGGCGGCAAGGAAGGACGGGGGGGGGCGAGCGGGGGCGGGGGCCTCCACCCGGAGCCCCCCACGGCGCCGCACCACCGCTCGCGCTCCATGTCGCCGCACCGCTCCGAGGGGGGGGGCGGCGGCGCTCCGCCATCGCGCTCGCCCGGCATCCAGCAGCAGAGGTGGGGGGCAACGCTCGCACGGGGAGGGGGGTTGTGGAGGGGGGTTGTGGGGGGGGGGTTGTGGGGGGGGGGAAGAGGCACCCCCACAACTGTGGCGCCCCTGGTGAACCGCTCACATTCACATGGGCAGCCAAATACACGCAGTCACCGCACGGCGCACACGCGGTTAATGTACACACATTCACACATCACACACATGGTTAACACACGTTCACGCAGCACACACACCATGTACACATTCACACAGCACACACACCATGCACACATTCACACAGCACACACACCATGCACACATTCACACAGCACACACACCATGCACACATTCACACAGCACACACACCATGCACACACACCATGCACGCATTGACGGAGCACACACGCGTTTACCGTGCACACCGGTAGCTTCCGCAGGGTGTCTGCACCTCTGGAGATGCCGAGCTGTGTGTGGGACCAGCCCCGCATCAGGGCTTCATTTAGGCGGAGTCTGTCCGGCTCAGCGGCCTGGAATAGTATGTCCGTACTTGGCACACAGATGCTGCCACGGTATAATGGGTAGCACACTGCATCTCCTGGGGGGCAGTTGAAACAAAAGGTACGAGATTCCTAAGTCCCCCTTCCACTGTCCATCCAGAAGCGTAATGGGTACACCGCGGTTAGTCGATCGGCAAGTTGCGTTTGGTAGGGTTAAGTGTTAGTGCTGCCAATTATTTCAAGACGTCTGGCCAGCATGGAAGAGTACGCCACATGCTCTCGAGGGCATCCCTAGAGTTCCCTGTAGCGAGGGCTCTTCTGCCAGCAGTGGCAAGAGCCAGACAATCCAGGGCCTCGCCTTTACCCTTACATCCAGTATACCAATCAGGATGACTGCGGCCATGAGCCACATGCGTTCTCCAGTTTAACGGCGACTGAGACATTCGGCCCTGGTTCAAAGCCCCTAGGGACCACTTCAATGTCCCCTGGTCAACGATGGGTCTCGAATTAGGGGGTTATCCCACAGTGGAGAGTCAAGTCGCGTTTGGCTAACATAAACGTTTAGCTCGAGTGCAACCACCACCAGCTGACCTGATGCCTCTGCCGTTCTGACACAGGAGCCTCGACCAGGTGATCCCCAATCGACGCTCGCGCTCGCCTTCGCGCCTGGAGAGATCCGCCCCCCGTGGGGACCGGCAAAGGGCGGGCGAGGGGCCGTCCTACCCCGTCGAGAGGAACAGGTAGCACCCAGTGGCAGACATCACCTGTGTGTGTGTTCGCTTGTGTATGTCCCGTGCGTAAGTTCGGAGAAATTCCAAATCCAAAGGGAGGGCAACGTCACCGGCCAACCTTTTTGCTGTGACCTGTGAACTCTGTGGAAGAGGTTTTCTTCCCCAAAAAGGTCTAGCCTCGCAACTGCAGGCAAGCGCTTGATATGTAAGACAGAGAGATATAAGTGACCGTAAGACGTCCATTCCAGCGTACAAGTCATGCATATAGTTAGTTTTTTTCGGTAAAGTCCCGTAGGTAAAAAAATTTAAATTTAAATTAATAAAAGTAAAATAAAAATAAAATAAAAATCACGACGTTTCGGAGGGAACACAAAAACCTAAGAATATGAATCCTTGCAGTCACGAAAGCTTCAAATCTAGAATCATGCATATAAATTATAGAAGTACCGTGACACATCATCGTTTGTGTGAAAATTGTACACAATCCCTGACACCGACACCATCGTACCTTCAGCAGCCAGGTCGGGGGCAGTCGATCCAGCAGGCAAACTAGACGAGACGCAGGATCTACCTTGATGACGGTAGGCCTCACCTTGCCAGTCGCTGCTCTCTGTGCCCAAGGGCGGTCCCGCGGTGGGCTGAGTGGCGAGGCCGAGGGTCCTGTGAGCGTCGAGGTCACGCATGGTGACGTCTCCGTCATTGGAAACTCACTCGGTCAATGTCGCCAGCTCGACAAGGAAAACACTCCACACCTGTGAAGTACTTTATCTATGAAAGCTGTTGGGAGTAGTTCAGTGTGGCATGTCCACTTAACTGGTTCGGTTATAACTTGGTTCTCCTCAATTTGAACCATGTGTCGGTTTTCTCAAGCCACAGTCAATCGAGAGGGCCCGTGTGATGGCGGTCAAGTATAATAAGTCCGTCTGGCCAACACGGAAGAGTGTCCACACACACTCTGGAGGAGGGGCTCTCGAGAGCTTGCTGCATTGGAGGCCCTTCCGCAAGCCATGGCATGAGCAATTGCAGGGCTGCACCTTTACCTCAATAACTGTTACTCTCGGCTTGGTCGCTGTAGGCAAGAGGGGTAAGATCAAATTCACATGAAAGGAAGGCAGCGTCTGCATCCTGAGATGATTCTCAGGATGACCTTTTGCAACCTTCTATACCCAAAAACATTGACCGGTAACTCCAAAGACAAAGATACAAATACACAGATATGCGCACTGTACATTACACGCACGCATATATTATTCATAAAACGGTAATAACACCGCCGTGCAAATTTGCGTGGGTTAGGTAATTCCGCAACAACGTATAGGCACGAAGCGCGAAGCTTTACCGCTGAATAATGAGCACGAGCGAAGACCGCAATATTGTTCTCATCTTCGTCTTCTTGAGGCTGCACGTTCCCCCAATTTCCCAGAAGGGCCTCCTCTGTGTTGGCAGCGAGCGCTGCCGAGAGCACCGCCGGGCGTCTCTGGCGGCGGCGAGCTAATGGATGATGAATGACGCCGCGATAGTGGCCACCCTTGAGAAAACTTAACCTTCCCGTGGGATTTCAAGGCGGGCGCGTTCCTTGCCGCGTTGGCCGCCAAGTGCTCGCGCGGCCGTGCTCGGTACGAAGCTTCGTGGGCGTCAGCACTGCTTGGGCAATAACATCACGCCCCCCGCGGCTCCCGGCGAAGTAACATCGGCCTCGGTGTTGTTTTTTTGTTGTTGTACGTCGCGGAAACTGCGGCGGGCGGAATAATTTTAAATATTTAATCCGCGCACTAAAAATAATGCGGCGCTAAATGAGAGCGCCGCTCGACGCGGCCGCGATTCCATGGGAGGATATTGCCTCCGTTGTGTTTTCATTAGGTTATGTCCCCACAGCTGCAAAAGGGACATTTGCAGATAATCGAGTCAGATTACTGAATAATGAATAAGCACATTACCGGCTTGTGCAGGCGCTGCAGTGGACATGGCGTGTATGATTCAATTTCAGCGCTCAGCGCATATAGGTTTACAATGGAGCCACTTCTGGGTAAACTCTGGAGAATTAACCCAAGTGTTAAATGCCAATGGATTATTAGAAAATTTAACTGATTCAACGTTTTAACTCATAGAACTGTTGTGGTTATTTCTGTCCAGCGAGAGTACGTTCCAGTAAGTGTATATATACACATATGTATATATATATATATACACATACGTATATATATAACATGGAGTTTATTTATTTTAAAATGAACAGAGACTAAACGTGTAGGTTGTTACCGCGCAGCATTGTGGGAGGTGCGGCCTTCATCCAGCGGTGGATCGACCATGGCTGATGATGATATTGATGATGACACGTGCAATATTTTGAGTATTTTAAAAACCTCATCAGAATGACAAAATGAATAAAGTCCAATATTTAATTAATAATTTCCCATATTTATTGGATGAAGCGCTCTTCATGGTCATGGAGGCTGTTTAACCATACTTCACCCTGCTGGAGCAGTGCATGGTGGTGAAGGGATGCCCCAAGACTGGTTCAGACTTGCCTTACCATTGACTTTAGCCACGATCGGGAATCGAACTCGGGTGTCTGAGCTCATGGTGCAGTGATTCAAGCTGCCACATCCATGACCATGAAACACAGACATTATTTTTAAGCATAATAAAGGTTTTTTGGGTTAGATTGGGTCAATAGAAATGTGTCGTTAAACCCAACCCGCCCCCATCCCGACACAGACAATTAGTAAAGTTTGAGATGACAACAAAAAGTGCCATCCCCCCCCCACCTCTTGACTGACACGGCGTGAAGAGGCCCTTCGTCCAGCAGCTGATTGACAAAGTGCTGTCAACTGTTCTTAGTTTATTAACGCAGCAGCTCGCACGTAATTGTATTTCCTCACACCCTAACGGTAAGTAAATAAAGAAATAACCCGCCATCATACGGCACATGCCAACTATTATTAATGGATCATGAAAAAATAACACACGGGGGAACTGACATCCTTGGAGAAAATAAAATTAAAGTTATTCATCTTTTCTTCTGTCGCTCAGGCTCCACTAGTCTCTGCGTCCCATTTCCTTGTACGATCCTGATAAAGGCTTGTCACCGCTGAGTTGACAAGCCTCTACCCCTCCCCTCCCATTCACCGTCATTATCATTCCTTAAACATTAGTCCATCAGAATGTACGACAAGGTTATTGGGCACTGTTGTTAATCTAATTTTTTTCGCGAGGGCCAAGAGAGTGGTTTAAAACCTCTTGCTGCACATTCGTTCTTGTATTTACGGTACGCAGGCGACATTTGAATGAATCTTCTCGTGCCGTCGTTACAGATGTTCATTTTCACGGATCGTCAAAAAAAAACTGTGAATATAAAAACGAAAGTTGCAGCACAAATAACAAATCTCGCGACGAAGCCTTCCGGGCAGAAAATACTGAGAAGTGAAGAACGCGTTTTATACCAAAGAACATTACATCTTCCTTATTTTTGAGTTTATAATGTTGAACGTGGCAATGAATAATAACATCTAAGACAATAACATTAGCTGAGACATTAATATTGCTATTTGTCATTTAGGAACGAATTGAATCGTGTGGCCCCCGGTTGGGTTTGATTACCGACTCACGCCGCTCTCTGTGCAGTTTGTGTTCTCTCTGTGCAGTTTGTGTTCTCTCTGTGCAGTTTGTGTTCTCTCTGTGCAGTTTGTGTTCTCTCTGTGCAGTTTGTGTTCTCTCTGTGCAGTTTGTGTTCTCTCTGTGCAGTTTGTGTTCTCTCTGTGCAGTTTGTGTTCTCTCTGTTCAGTTTGTGTTCTCTCTGTTCAGTTTGTGTTCTCTCTGTGCAGTTTGTGTTCTCTCTGTGCAGTTTGTGTTCTCTCTGTGCAGTTTGTGTTCTCTCTGTGCAGTTTGCGTTCTCTCTGTCAGTTTGTGTTCTCTCTGTACAGTTTGTGTTCTCTCTGTGCAGTTTGTGTTCTCTCTGTGCAGTTTGTGTTCTCTCTGTACAGTTTGTGTTCTCTCTGTGCAGTTTGTGTTCTCTCTGTACAGTTTGTGTTCTCTCTGTGCAGTTTGCGTTCTCTCTGTGCAGTTTGTGTTCTCTCTGTACAGTTTGTGTTCTCTCTGTGCAGTTTGTGTTCTCTCTGTTCAGTTTGTGTTCTCTCTGTTCAGTTTGTGTTCTCTCTGTGCAGTTTGTGTTCTCTCTGTGCAGTTTGTGTTCTCTCTGTGCAGTTTGTGTTCTCTCTGTGCAGTTTGTGTTCTCTCTGTGCAGTTTGTGTTCTCTCTGTGCAGTTTGTGTTCTCTCTGTGCAGTTTGTGTTCTCTCTGTACAGTTTGTGTTCTCTGTGTGCAGTTTGTGTTCTCTCTGTACAGTTTGTGTTCTCTCTGTACAGTTTGTGTTCTCTCTGTTCAGTTTGTGTTCTCTCTGTACAGTTTGTGTTCTCTCTGTACAGTTTGTGTTCTCTGTGTGCAGTTTGTGTTCTCTCTGTACAGTTTGTGTTCTCTGTGTGCAGTTTGTGTTCTCTCTGTACAGTTTGTGTTCTCTCTGTACAGTTTGTGTTCTCTCTGTTCAGTTTGTGTTCTCTCTGTGCAGTTTGTGTTCTCTCTGTACAGTTTGTGTTCTGTTCAGTTTGTGTTCTCTCTGTACAGTTTGTGTTCTCCCTGTGCAGTTTGTGTTCTCTCTGTACAGTTTGTGTTCTCTCTGTGCAGTTTGTGTTCCCTCTGTGCAGTTTGTGTTCTCTCCCCCTGTTCTGCATTGGGCTCCCTCCGGGTTCTTCGGTTTACTCCCACACACACACCATGTAGCCGGTATTGGCCAAACTTCCCGATGCCTAACAAATTATCAGCAAATTTCTCCGTTGGGATTACTCATTGCCACATTGACCTCCTGTAAAAAAAAAAGAACTTGGCAGGACCCTCTTTAAAAAAAGGCTCTTAGTGAGGCTTTCTAGGCTTAAAATTAACAGAATAATAAATAAAAATGGTTTGAACCATGGGCGGTTGATGATGGTGGTGGTGTTGGTGGTGATGGTGTCGTTGTTGATGTCTTGAACCACAGGCCGGCACTGCGCTGCAGCCCGTCGCGGGCAGCGCCGGCGGCAGCGGCGAGTGAGGCGCCTCCTGCCGCCTCACGCCGGGGCCGGCAGCTGCCCCAGCCGCCCCCCAAGGACCGCTGTGAGTCCCTGCACGGCCTCCCCCACCCCCACCACCGCGGTGAGCTGACGGAGCTCAACGCGTTTTGCCGACAAAACACTCACCCTCAAAGAGCTGAAGAGTTTTTCTTCTGTCACGTGGCATTTGGAAAGTAACGCGCCGAGTTTATAACCACGCTTAGAGTCGGAAAGCCATTTGATGGCGTCTGGGGTCGTGAGTTGGATTCCATTTGTACCTGCCTGCAAAAGCGTGTGTGGGGGTAATGATGTATGTATGTTGAACCTCTTTCGCACCATACATTACCAACCGTTTTTATGATCTCTGATGTGAGTAATGACCTGCGGTCTCAGGCTGCAGTTGCAATGCGACTCGCAAAGACTCACACAGAGGTGCACAGACTCACACAGACAGCCATAGACAAACCGACTCGCATAGAGACGCCGAGACTGATATACAGACCCAAAGACTTCCGTAGAGACTTCTAGACTAATACGCTCACACGGATATGCGTCGGCTCGTGTGAAAACCTACACCACAGACTCGTACTACAATATATAACACAAGGTGATGCTCTTCGCCGCAGTCACTCTCAGTGACTCCTCCACTCCCCACTGACGCAGGAGTTGGCTGCACCTCCCATGCGCAGTTCCAACATTGTGGTTCAGTGCAGTTTAGTGTCTGTGAGACAACGGGGAGCCGGCTACTTCCTCGGTTAGTGATTCACATCCACTTGTTCGTGACATCGCACATTGAAAGCCGGAGTAGACGTGTCTCATCGAGGAGTGCTCATCTCTATTGGCGGCCCCTAAACCGGTGATGGAAATTCCACATTCTCGTGGCGGGGGCTGTCTAGTCCATAGACAGAAATGACAGACACCGTTGACACATCCTGCCAAGTGGTCGTTAACCATGTATCAACTTCACAAGCAAAGGCCTTTGTTTGCTCACACAGCCGCTAGCGGAAGGGCCTCGATTAGAAGGAACTCTTGAGGGTATTAGGCCTACTCTTCCACACTGGTCAGATGGTCTTGGAAGTGATGGAAGTACCCACACTTTACCCCACTACATATGATCTGGAAATAAACTGTGTCTTCTCAAAGTGAACAGTAATACACACGTATCTTCTTGGTTCTTTCGGTAAAGTCACGTAGAATGAAAGTAATAAAATAATACAAATAAAACATTATTTTATTATTTCTATTCTACGTGACTTTACCGAAAGAACCAAGAAGATGAATCCCTGCAGTCACGAAAGCTTTAAATCGAAAAATACAAACGTGTTTTACTTGCAGACCTGACAAGCCCCCTTCACTTTGTTGCCATGGTTATAGGTATCAGTATCCTTGCTTAACTTCTTAAATGCGTTAATGTTGTGAAGGATGTGGGGGAAAGTGTCGTGACGACGATGTCAAAGGGATCATTAGGCCGGAGGTTTTTTTTCCAGCAATTTGTTTTTCAAAAGGAGACACTTGGCTTTGCTCGTCAGCGTGACAATAATCCCGCGACATAACGACTCGCCGACAACAACTTTAATTACCACCGTCGGCCCACTCGATAGTTCTTTTGGAGAGAGAGAGAAAAACAATACATTATTTTTGTGTTTAATTACAGCTCACGGTCGATTAACCGCGCTGGTATTTGCGAGGATTTACGACACATCTAGTGCGCACCCCGCCGCCCATTTCCCCCGCATTTCCGCCGTGAGCCGTCGTGGTGTCGTCGTGAGTCGTCGTGTCGTCGTGCCCCCAGCCGCGCCGGAGGCAGAGGAGCGAGCGCGGCAGATGAAGCTCAAGATGAGCAAGTGCAAGAGCGCCACCATCGCGTGCTCCGGTCGGGACCTCGAGCGGGAGGTCTACTCGAAGGTGACGCGCTGCACACGCCGCAACGACACTCGGGCGCCTTTTGCTGCTATTGTTAATATTCATAACAGTTAGGTATTGCTAATATTACCAACAATTAGGTATTGTTAATATTAACAACAATTAGGTATTGTTAATATTGACAACAATTAGGTAGTGTTAATATTCATAACAGTTAGGTATTGCTAATATTCATAATAATTAGGCATTTCTAATATTACCAACAATTAGGTATTGTTAATATTAACAACAATTAGGTATTGTTAATATTCATAACAGTTAGGTATTGTTAATATTCTAAACAGTCAGGTATTGTTAATATTAATAATCATGAGGTATTGCTAATATTAACAACAATTAGGTATTGCTAATATAAATAATAGTTACGGTTATTTATCCAGGAAAGGCCTGCTGAGTCCCAGGACTCTTTTTAAAGAGGGTCCTGCTACGTTGGGTTTTTACTTTAAGATATTTTAGGAAATTAATGAGTTTATACGAGTGGGAGGAAACTCGACCATCAACAATAACGTTCAGCCCTCCGTCAGTCGTCTGCTGGATGAAGGCCTCTCCCATGCTAAGTTGGTGCTGAGGGTGGTTTGAACCGTGCTTTGCCCCGCTGCTCGTTGCGGGTTGGTGAAAGTGGGGAGCGTAGATGTTGTGGAAAAGTCCAGTTCAGTGGCTTGTCGCTGCACTGCTGTCTGCCTAGAGTGCAGAGCCGCATCAGCCAGCAACCCCAGGTTGTATGCATGGCGCTCGCCCATGTAAGCACCTCTAGGCCTATCTCTGCTTAGCTTCCGTGATGAGATCATGTCGAGCATATACTGGGTGACTGGGTAGAGCCATCTATGAATTGACACGTAATTTATTTCTACATTATGGAGAATTATGGATGAAAAGACTGCACGATGTTCCTTCCCACTCCTCCGCCATTCATTCCATCCCAGCTCTGCCACCCCCACAAACACACAGCTGCTTATTGAGGTTCCGCGCTCTGCTCAGTGTTGCCAACTCTATAAAGCGGAAGGTTACCGCGCACACCTCAAAACGTCACCAGATGTCACAAAATTACACCTAAAATCATCAAAGATGTCTCTAGGCAATTCAGCAAGTGCCGCACTTAACCCGGCGACGCTGGCGCGGTGCGACGTTTGTCGCTCTCGTGTGCCCTCCCGCCCCCCGCCCCGCGCAGTGCCGCCCGCCGTACCTGCGCAGCACGGAGGTGGCGTCGGGCCGCTCGTCGGACAGCGAGGCCAGCGACCTGTCGGGCCTGTCCCCGACCAGCAGCGGATCGTGGATCAGCAGCACCAGCTACATGTCGGTGCAGTCGGAGCGCCTGCGTAGCGCCAAGCGCATGAGGTGCGGACGCGGAACGGCGCACGCGACGTCGTCGACAGAAACGACGACCGCGCGTGCGTGCGCGTGTGTGCAATGGGGAGCAGGGGCGAGTGGGATATACGACGGATCTTTGTCTTTGAAAGGGCAAGTGGTCTGGCACCAGCTCAGTAGCCAGCAAAATGTTAGCGCCAGTCCTGCTTCGTACACTAACCGTAATCAACTAGCCAGCCAAACACTCGTACGATTCCTGCGTCTAACACGCGCCAGCCAACCTGCCGATTGAGCGTTGCTGAATTAATTTACGCTGTTGGGTGGACAGACGTCGGGGGGCATTGAAGGAACGTGTCTGTTGTGTCAACTGCCGCGCCGGCGACCTCTGGATTGCAAGCCCAGTGTGCTAACCATTACACTACGGGCATAATTAAAGACAGAATGATTGCTGCTTATCGACGATGAAGACTGATCCCATCAAACAAATATTAATATTACAATAATTAAACACGCTATCATGTACGGAGGATGCTTACGGCCTGCTTGCAACAGGGACACATTTCCCGTGCCAGTTCCCTCCCGCCAATAAAACGAACATTATGTTCATTTAATGCTTCAGTTAGCAGTGAAGTATTTAAAATTTCCAGGGAATTGATAAACTGCAATGTTGATTGTTCTGCGCGTGCAGGATGATTATCGCAGGGTCCAAGAAGGAATGGCGGCACAGAGTGCAACACGATCGCAGTTCGTCATTGCGATCTGCCTCCATCCTGATCTATATTTTTTCCCCTGCTGAGTGCATGCGACGTGCTGGCAGGAACTGTGTCTATATTTAGCCCATTCTGCAACACAGCAGTCGTGTGTACGTGTGTGTCATGAGGCTGAGTGTGAGCACCTCCCAACGGGGCCCCATTCTGCTTGTAACGCTTAAGTGGCACAACGCTCAGACAACGCAAAAACAAGCCACGACAGGGTGGTAGCGCAGTGGCAACGCTTGTGTCTCATGGAAAGAAAAGGGCCTGGGTTCAATACCCGACTCGGGCCCCTTTGTGCATGGAGTTTGTATGTTCTCTCACTCCCCCTGTTCTGCATGGGTTTCCTCCGGATTCTCAGGTTTCCTCCCATCGTGACAAAAGAACACATACAATTTAACTGGTATTGGCCAAACATCCAGACGCTTAAAAATGTATCTGCAAATAACTCATGCGGGATTACACGTAGCAACCTACTGTGAAAATTTGACAGGACCTTATTGGAAAAGAGTCGTAAGACTCGGTGAGGCTTTCCTGGGTACACAAGCAAAATAATAATAGGATACACACTGATTATGGGGGTCACACACAGCAGCCTCTGCTGAAAGCGATCTTCGCAGAAGCGATCTTCGCTAGAAATGAAAATAAAAAAAATTTATTAATCATAATTTGCTCATAACTTTAGCATAATGGTAGAGCTGAGCTATTCGATGATTTAAATAATCGATTTTCTAAATGCATTCCTTGACAAAAACACACGGACTGAGTGTTGAGAATCTTCTGTAAATAGAACAAAATATCCTGAGAACTACTACGTGACAAATGAGATAATTACTCACAATTTTAATTAAACAGTGTAACTCATTAGCCAAACAACTGGCTTTTAAATCAACACGCCTGCATTGCCAGCGTCGTCTGTTTACAACATCGCATGAACAATTAAGCGCACGATACTTTGTCTCAAAAAAACTAGCTAGGTGACAGGTGTCTTGCAATTGGAAGGTTGCAAGTTCGAATCCCACTCGGGGGTTTACTCAGCCAATCATTCTTCAGGGTCGCTAAAATGAGTACCGTTTTGTGGGGACGTCAGCTGTTGATTTCCTCTGGATAGACTCGCCCCCCGCCATAGGAACTTGGGATTTTACACCACTAGCTCAAGGCCATGAATGGGAATTGAACACTGCTGCTGTTTGAGCAGCGGAAGGAAGCATTGCACTGGAGTCGAGTAGCAGCCAGGCGAGCGTCATCCAGCGCCTTGGGGACGCAGTGCAAACCGCTCTGGAGATGTGACGAGAAGTGCCCCCTGGCTACTGCTATGGCTGCCGCTACCACTGTGAACTGCCGGAGAAAGGTTTATGCTGCTCAGCCTTCTAATTCGTTAGGGCGAGCGTCAATTTCATTTGTGGTCCCGCCAATGGTATTCAAAATGTATGACTTGGCCCTCAGTAGGGAGAAATGTTCCCACCCACCGATTTAGAGAGTTCCATAACTCCATGCATATAAATCGTACTTGCTGCTTGTCACTCTCCCCTCCCCGCCCCACTGGCAGCATGTTCACGTCGCGGATGCACCACCGGCAGGTGCCGGCCACGCCAACAGGCACGGCGGCGCGCGGCGTGCTGAAGAGCACCAGCGTGAGCGGTGACATGTGCGCCCTCAAGAACGACGGCAGCCAGTCGGACACGGCGCTGGGCGCGCGAGGAGCCGGCGGGAAAAAGCGGCGGCCTAACCTGGGCTCCAAGATGGTGGCCATGGTGGGCCTGCGCAGCCGAAGCGCTTCGCAGATCACGCAGACAGGTGGGTGGGTGGGTGACAGCACGCCAGGCCGTGCCGGGCCAGGCCGTGCCGGGCCAGGCCGTGCCGGGCCAGGCCGTGCCGGGCCAGGCCGTGCCGGGCCAGGCCGTGCCGGGCCAGGCCGTGCCGGGCCAGGCCGTGCCGGGCTAGGCCGTGCCGGGCCAGGCCGTGCCGGGCCAGGCGCGACCGGAGGGGCAGGAGCGTGCAAGTGAAACCGTAGCGTGGGTCCACTCCAGTGCCCCTTTGTAGACACCGGTGTTCCATGCGAACGCCACGTGACTTTGTCACGGCAGTGCCCCCCCCCCATTTGTGTCGCTTGTGTTAGATGTGAAGGGGCGCAACCCTACAGAACACAAGTTCTGGCTCTCACTTGCCGTGTTAACGACGAAAAGCTGCGACATTAGTAGCTTAATTGGACTCATTTTCGTACCGACATTTTTTGACTTGACGAAGAATTTTTTCAGCCAGAGGAACTCATCCCCCTCCAGCCCCGTACCATGCCCCCCCCCCAACACTGCAGGGCTGAAGAAGACGTGAACATACCCTCTCGTCTTGGTCGGCTTCCTGAAATCCCGTATTTAGCTGTCACCAGGTGTGGTGTGAGTGTGTTGCAATGGAGAGGGTTAGTGAACTTAAAAGGCAGTGGGTGCAAGAGGATTAGCATTTCGGAAGGACCGTATCTTTCACAAACAAAATAATCGCTTTTTCTCCCCTCTTCATATCCGCTAATTCTCCATCTCCGCTGTACTGTCCCGAACCCAATAGACCCGCTTCCTCCTGTCACTTCCTCAACTTCTTCGCTCCCTTTCATCTCTAAAACTCAACGCCGCACTTCGCTTTCCGTGCGCCGTGCTCTGATGCGTTTTTTTTCCGTTCCTGACAGTTGTCACATGAATGCTGTTCAGCCCTTGTCTGAATCGCTTTTGAAAAAAAAAATTCCTGGCGTCAGCAGGAAACAAAGCGAGAGACGGTTCCTCCGTGCCAGGTTCCCTCGATGCTTGTGACAGCAGAACGACTTAAAAATATATTTAGCACAAACACATCGCCTTGCACTGGAGCCTGCAGCCAAAGGGGGTTTTTGAGGTTTGAGAAATCTTGCGTTTTTCAAAAATTGGAAATGAAATTGAAAATGCGCAGCGGTACAAACCGTTCTTAGCTACAAAGATATTACTCCCCCCTCCTCTCCTCCCGCCACACATTTATAAACCTGTGACTTTTGCTTCCACATTAATCTGACCGTGCAGAGCGTTGCACGTAAACGTTCAGTCGCTGCAATTTCGCACAACAGAGGCTGAACTGCTGTATAATCATAAAACGGCATCGTGCCACAATGCGAGCAGGCGATCTTGATTAATTAATCGCGATCTTAATTTTGCGAATGTCGCACGCGGTCACGTTAGCCGGCGGCGTCGAGCCGAGACCGCTCGGCAGCGTCGGCGGTGTCGGATCACCGCGACACTTCGGTGTGGCCGCCGGTGACGTCCCACTGCGGTGGCGCTCGCCGCCACTCCGCTTTGAGCGCGACTCCAAACAGCGGCGGAGGAGGGAAGCCGACGCATCTGGATTCCGACTTGGTGTGCCCTGCCAATCATAGCTGTCGTTCGCCGGTAGTTCCCATCTCGACTGCTCTATTGACAGGCACACCGGCCCCCTAACCCCCTCCCAGCCACCCCACCTCCCCCTCTGCGTTTCAAAAATACAACACAGCTGGGCCGACTCAGGGAGATGTGTCCCATGTGGTTTGTGATGTCCGTTACATCGTCGACAATCGCTGTGATGCCATTTATTTTACGATGAGATTCACGGTTATGATCATGATGATGATTATCAGATGGTGACGATGGTGGTTAGGCACGTAGCGATGCATCGATTCATCAGTTAAAATTCATTGTCACCCTACACGGGCACGATATGAGCATTGGATTGTGTGTGAGGACGCGTCAAGATTTAGCCATATCATACGCAGATTCTATGCTCATGTTACATGTACGTTAATGGAGTTAACCAAGCGATACAAACGAGATGGAAACGAATGTCAAGCAAACACGAATGTGGCTAGTAAAAAAACAGTTAAAAATGTACTATTCAATCAAATCACAGCCCCAAAGTGTAACAGTGTATATCATTTACAGAGGAACAATGAGCTACATGCCTAATGCTGCGAGTCATGATTTTGAGCATCATCATTATCAGCAATGATCTATCAACTGCTGGCTGAAGGCCTCACCAAGCCGTTGCGATTCCACACGGCCCCGTGGTGTCACAACCCTCATTGCGTATCGATACCGTCAATGAGAACGCGACTGTACGGCGATGGTGATGACGATGGTGACGGTTAAGATGAGCCCGGGGCCGTATAACGCCGATAGCTGTGAACCTGTGCTCCCTGCGTCTCTCTAGACTCAAGCGGGCGCAAGCTGCGCAGCACGGTGAAGCGCAGCACCGAGACAGGCATGGCCACGACGCTGCGCAGTCAGCTCACGCGCCAGGAGTCCACGGACGACAGCATCACGAGCGGCATGTCCGAGGGCAGGTGAGACGGCGAGCCTGTGGGGCAGCCGCGCACCCACTCGCTCGCTCACTCGTGCTCACTCCTGCCCTCTGTACTCACTCACTCCTGCACTCCCACACTCACTCCCACACGCACACATTACCTCATTCACATAGTCCTGCACTCACTGACTCCCACACTTATTCACTCACTCACTCCCTTCTGAACTTCCGCACTCCCTTCCACTCATGTTTGGCACGTAAGGATTCAAGAATCCATTGCCGTGTTGACATTTCCTTGCTACCCCACAGCACAGTGTGTTGGCGGTTACACAAATGTGTGTGATACACCAACCCTTGCCTCTGGACCACATGCATGCGCCACTGCGCCCAGCCAACACATTTAATTAAAGTATCAAAGTGATTATTTAGGCCTAAACATGTCTAATCTATTCATATAAATGTCACCCATTACAGCGATTACAAAATTAACGTCGCATAAAATTAGATGTTATTCTCAGAGATTAGAATTGCAGGCAAGCTTAGATCAAGATTTTTTGTAGCTTATACTGAAAGTCAGATTCTCACCATCTCTCTCCTGCTTCACTTTAGTGGAAGAAAATATCGTGACATTTCAGAAATCTGACTTTGAGAGTGTGGTCTAGTTTTACTGGATATTAAGTGTTTTCCAGTTGCCAAGTGTTTATAGATAAAGTACATAGAACAATGTACAGCGATTCAACTTTTAAAAGCAGTAAAGCAAAAAAAATACTGCATTGATTATTTAAAATGTTTTACGAGTTTTTGCCAAATACAGTTCTCAAAGTAAGTGTTTTTGGATTGCACCGTGTGTTGTTCGGCACGATGTGCAACTTTTCACTCCACGTGCTGGGAGCTTCTCGAGCAAATACATTCGGTTCCTGAAGAAGCTCCCAACACGTGAATGAAAAACGTCGGACGTCGTGCGTAACGGCACATGGCAGCAGAACAGCCCGAAACCACACCGGAGCGATGCACAGCATAGCCGCAAAAAAAAAAATCCGCGCGTGGTAGAATTCACCGGATGTTTTCACGCAAATAAAATGTACCTCGTTTCAGTGTCCGTTTCACGAACTTACCCGCTTTTATGTTGTCGTGTCTCATTCTGCCTCTCCGCAGCTTAATGTTCCCTGGCCTGATGTTTGGTGGCGGAGCACAGATAACAGACTTCCTGGACGGTCTGGGACCGGCTCAACTCGTGGGCCGACAGACCCTCGCCACGCCGCCCATGGGTGCGTCTGTGCCCCAGCGCTTCGAGAGGATGTTCTCAGATAAAAAAAACTTGTGATCGTCCACGAAAGCTTATAGGGGGGGCCTGAAAATTGGTTGTTGGTGGGAGTAGGTGGATTCGGTGGATGGAATAGGTGAATGTAAAAGGTCACCATTGCCATGTGAGGGGAGATGGTTTCACACATTTGAATCCAAATGTCACGTAGCCCAACGAAGCCAGAAAGTGTTTCCCAAAACGTAGATCGGTCTTTCAATGTGGGTTGTCGCGTTTTTCCAGCACCCCCTCTACATTTAGATTATGCCGCTTTAATATTTGACATTGCCATGTGTCGATAGTCTTATTGAAATATTACCCGCAGAGCTGAAGCCATATTGGGCCAGATTCTAATTGCGTGTGTGGAAAAATTCCAACATCATCTGGAAATCCCACAAAAGCAGTGATGCGTAATTTACGAAGCATTTTTAGACCTGCTATACGTTGTGGAATGGGACGAGGCCTATACCGCGAAATAACATCTGTCACAGCCCATCAGTAGTTGGGCGAGGACCAACAGGAATTGGCACCATGGGCTCTGACATCGGCACCAAGCCAACCAATCAGGCTCCACCCATCTCTAAAGGCAAACACGCATGTTAGCACGCGTGTAAGAGGCGTGCTCTGACCTACATCAAGGCGCAAAAATGTGGCTCTAAGCCAAAGGTTACGTATCCTTGCTTAAATTCGTGAAGATGATGATGATGATATTTGTGTCACTGCTGATGATGATACACCAACCCTTACCTGCAAAGCACACCACGCCAGGTGTTCATTTAATACTTAAAGGAGGCAGAATTATGGCTAAAATATCTTCATGAATTGGGCCCATTGATCTCCAACAGTGTAGCCAAATAACCAAGCACTACGTTTTCGTGCAATGAAAATAAGGCCGTATATTTCATAGGTATTAACTGCAAAAGAGTATCCATTCCGAGAAGTAGATTTTCTTTGATGCTCTCATGCCTGTCATCTGGTTTCTTTGCTAGGTGCAGTTAACTCCTAAAGCATGTGTTCAAGTGTGTGCATGTGTGTGTGCACGTGTGCATGTGTGCACATGTGGGGAGCGGTGTCGTAGTGGTTCGCGCACCTCACTATGAACTCAGCAAACCAAAGTTGGATTCCCAACATCGGTGATGAATGTCTGAATCTGGATGGTCCTCCCCTAGGTCGACTTAACCTCAAATGAGTACCTAATACATCAGGATTGGGGAGAGAAAGCCGCTTTGACGTGGTGCTGGCCACCTTCCCTCCCATGTGCCGTGCCGGTCTTAATAGGTGCTCGCTAACAGCACTTGACCCAACAGTGTTAAAGGCTACACCGGTGATCTGTGTATACACACACGGGGAGCAGTGGTACAGGGGTTTGTGCACTGTGCTATCAATGCAGCAACTTAGGTTAAATTCCCAGCCACAGATAACATCAGTGGCAAGTGCTGTCAGAACTTTTCCTGGGCTCTCCTGAGGTTAATATCCACCTCCAAAGGGCCAGTCTCTGAACACAAAGTGTTTGGACTGCTCTGCGAGAGATGCGAATGGATACCTCGTCCTGCGACGCCGATGGCACAATCGGGACACAATTGGAAAAGTAAAAAACAAAAAAACTGTGTCGGTAAAACAAGTTGTGTGCACTTTCTCGCGAACAGGAGAAATTCAAATAAGCATGGTGGACAAGAAAGGCCAGCTGGAAGTAGAGGTGATTCGGGCCAAGGGACTGTTTGCCAAACCCTCGTCTAAAACTCTGCCAGGTAAAAGGAAGCGCATTCACTCGCTGACCGCCACGCCACCTGAGGTTAATGGAGTGGAACCGCCAAACTGAGCTTGCAAAATTCGTTTCTTGAAAGTTCAGTGGAAAATTAAACACAGGAAAAGATATTAAATTACATGTTACCCGAAATTCTAAAACAGATTATTTTTATTAAACTGTGTATATATATAAATGTTACGGTCATATAGAGGCAAGTATTAAACAACAACCTGGATTATTTTACAGTTCTGTATTTGTAGACCAAAGGTTTATTGCATAATAGTTGACCTAAATGCAACAATCTCCTGCAGAGCCACAAATAATCTGTGACCCAAAACATAACAATTATTTAACACGTGTGAGGCTTTCGCGAATAATATTATTCATAATCAACGTTTTTGGGTTTAGATCGCGTTATTTCTAACGCGATCTAAACCCAATTCTGGCGAATTGCCCGATGATGCTGGATGCAATTACCAGCGAAACGTCGTACTCAAATTCTTTTTTTTGTAAATGTTGTGGTTTCACGCTTCAACACACCGGTGGGCTAAAGCAGTGAACTATTTGTCTTTTGTCAACGTGACACTTTTTAGCTGATTGGCCGTGTCGGGTGGTGGAGGGTTACGACACATTTATAAATAACGCAATCTAAACCCAAAAACGTTGATTATGAATAGCAATTATTACCAACAACAGTTATGCAAGTAAGCATGCAATGTGTTCATATCCACGGTATATTGTACACTATAGTGTACTATCGTGGCTATTATCAACATAATAGGCTCTTGCTACAGATGGTCACACATTGGTTTGACAAAGTGGATGAGCCTTTTGTATTTGCCACCCTGGGAGAGGCTTTACATGTGAGATGCGCTCTGATGTTTAGAATGCGAGCAGCCTTCTGCGCTCGCTGTGTCTGGGTCACAGGTTTGCGAACGCTTCTCTTCATCACCAACGCTGGTGTCTGGGCCATTTCATCACAATCTTGCCCGTTCACGCTGTCGTATGATTATCGCGTGGATTTATGCGGCACCTAAATACAGCTGCATCCTCAAAACGCTGCGAATAATGTGCGATATGCGCATCATCGGGAACCACAACAGAACAGCTATATGTGTTAATATAAACTGGATAAATGTTATGTATCATATATATAATGTATTGTGTTCAAACACCACAGTACAGGCCGCAACACTTCTCTTTATGCTTCTCTCCTCGCGCTGCCCCACTTTGGAAATCCCTACCGTCGTCTCTTTTTCCCAAACTATGATCATGATAACCTTGGTCATGTAAACTTTATTTAGTACAACTTTGTTGCTTGCCGTTAGACATTTTGGGCCTTGGGGGCCTGTGCTCTAGGTGAAAAAAAATGATGGTATGAAAAAAGCCAAATTTCCATTTCTATCTTGAAGTGTCTCAAATATAAAATGTATATTTCTCCTCGTTGATGGGTGTTTTTTTTAACCTGGCTAAAGTCCGCCTTGGGCCTTGGGTTCACGTTGAAGAGTCGTGTGCGTGTGTGCGTGGTGGAGCTCCCTACGTCAAGGTCTACCTCCTGGAAAACGGCGCGGTCATCGCCAAGAAGAAGACGAAGATCGCGAGGAAGACGCTGGACCCGCTCTACCAACAGCCGCTGGTGTTCGAGCAGAGCCCCAGCGGGAAGGTGCTGCAGGTCAGTGCTCCTCGCCAAAGCACAGCAGCAGCAGAGGGCAGCAGCAGCAGAGGGCAGCAGCAGCAGCAGTCGCCGCATTTCCACGTCGCAAATAGAGTCGAGTGTCTCATTTGCTACGTTTTGTTGTGAGAATTGTTTTTCAACTGACCGGTGGGCTGAAAAAATAACATTTGGCGTGTTGGTGAATGCTTGGGCACCACGTGACAATTGGTTTGGCCGTGTCAGGTGGTGGAGGGTCTATACGACCAAAATATCCAAGTCACACACTTTGTACCCTGTACACGCAGGGACGCCGCCGCCCTCGCGGTGTAGGGGTCAGCACACTGGACTTGCAGTTCACAGGTCACGAGCTTGATTCGATCTCCGGGCGCAGCAGTTGAAACGATGGCGCACGTTCCTTAACTCCACCCCCCGCTGCTGTCCACCCAGCTGTATAACGGGCTACACCAAGTGTAGTCTATTGTCTGGCCACGTGTGGTGGGGTAAAGTGTGGGTAGACCCACCTCTCCCAAGACGGCTGGCCAGTAGATCCAAAAACCTTCCAGAGGGGGCTCTCTATGATTCCCTCGAGGTGACGCGCGTCCGCCAGCAGTGGCGTCGACAATCAATTTAAGGGCTGTTCCTTTAACCGCCACGGCTGCCCCTTGAGTTGCGGGCGTTATGCACGTATGTATGTTGAACCTCTTCCGCACCGCACGCAGTCAACCGTGCTAATCGAAGGCGCGGGGGGTATATGCGTACGCAGGTGATCGTGTGGGGCGACTACGGACGCATGGACCACAAGAGCTTCATGGGGGCGGCGCGCATAGTCCTGGAGGAGCTGGACCTGTCCAACATGGTGATTGGCTGGTACAAGCTCTTCCCAACGTCCTCGCTCATCGACACCACGGTGGCGCCGCTGACGCGCGGGGCATCGCAGACCTCGCTCGACAGCTCCACCTCCTTCGCTCGAACATAGCGGCGGTCGAGTGGAAGACACGGTGGGGGCGGGGGGGGTGGTGAGCGAGAAGCCGGCGGGCAAGCGCCAGCGGGAAGGCGGATGTAACGCAGCACAAGCACGGAGGGGAGGAGGGGAGAGCACGAGAACACAGCGCGACAGCACAGCACGCGATATTGCAGCACAATGCCACGGGGCAGCGGCGACGCGACCCACCTGCTTTGCTTACAAATTGTCGGGGCACTTTTGTACAGACTTTTAAATGTTAATTACCCGTCCCGCTGTGAGTAGTGTGGTTCAAGTCCAAACAAGTTTCGTTTCGAGAATGTCCAGGTTATGGAATTTACAGCATACTTTGCACTTTTTTGTTAACGACAATAAAATCCGTGGCATTTTTTGTACCTTTTTATTCTGCTTAAAATGTTACGCCGCAAGTTTTGATTTTGCTTTTGCCTAAATTAGCAATATTCTCATGGAGTCTTTGAGTTTTTTCGTTTACATTTTTCTTGTCATTGCCATAAGGGTTTAATGTTGGGAACGCGTGGCACGTGAGCACGAACACGTTTTCAGAAGCAAAAGTTACTTTGCGAATTGAAATGACAATCAAATATGTGTTTGAATATGTCAAGAGCTACATATATTAGCTGAACAAAACAATCCCCACGTTTTTATGCGTTCAAATTTACGTGAATGTCGATAATAAATTAAGTAGAATTAATGATTTATCCTCACAGATTATTATATTATTAATAGCAATACATAAACATTTAATGATGATTAATATATAATTTGTTTACACATGCTTTAAATGATATTAGCTTTAAAATATATATTAAAAAAAACAACACTGCAATGGAGTCTGCAAATAAATTGGAACACTAACAGCAATTGCAACGATGTGCATAAAAGCGCTCGACACTGCATCATCTCAACTTAATTCTCCCACTAAATAATCCGACTTGGGCTCAGTTTGCGAGTTAATTACAGGGCTGTGTTTACAAAATATACAAAATAATACGCTGACGTTTGCAAAGCTGATATTACCCAGTGGGTATATTACGTGTGTGGTTATTTGTAAGCTGAAAGCGTATGTTCTCTTTGGAACAACTACTACGACTACCATCAAGCTGTAAACATTCTGGTGTTTAAACTGTTATTGTGGACAAGGAGGCAGAGAAATATAAAATCTATGCACGTGGTCATCAGAATGTGGCATGCGAGAAGTAAACACAACTTTGAACCACACTTGTTTTTTCCTAAAAATTGAATTTCTCACCAAATTAGACTTCCAGCGAGTACAGCGTGGAAATATCAGGAACTGAATACTTGCCATCGTCATTAATCACTGCAGTACGAAGCGGCGCATTTAAAACATATGATTTTAAGCACAGGCCATACTAAGATAATATGGTGTTACTTGACATCAGACAAACATTTAAAAGCAAAGTGATCAAATACACCGTAACGCATTGCGTCTCTCTGGATCATGGCCACCGTTTGAGCGCTGTTGACTGGTTCCTTTGAATCCATAACCTCCAGGGGTTCGTCCATAGCACATTCCTGCAACTTTGCATTTAAACATTAATTTTGATTCTTTCTCTCTCTATGTTGAAACTACATAGTTGTGCTTTTTCTTCTTATGCCATTTCTGTGAAATGTGGGAATGTTTTATCAATATGGGGCTATGACAAACGATGCCTGACACACGTACGCACACAGAGACACTTTCACGCACATCTATATTGATATGATTAACGATTATTATGATTTGAATGTGTTGATACAGAACACGATGGCCATGACTGCTGCTAATCGTACGCTGGTGTGCGTCGGGTGTGAAGCGGCATGCTAAACAGTATCTCGCCGTGCAGTTTTGATTACAGACAACATGAGCTTGCATGCACTGCTGACCAACGATCTGGTCTTATTGCATTTAATTATTTCTTCGGCATTGTTTACAACTTTTTATTTGTATGAGGTTTTAGTTTTTTGCCATACGAACTTCCGAACTTACCGCCACAGAGCGTTGCTTTGCCACTCTTTGCATCGTCTGATTTCTGTCAACGGGAAGAGGCCCTTTTAGCCCTTCCTTGCTCATTTATAGTACAGTAATAATGGTGTGTGGTACGTTGATGAAAAATAACAATTGATTTTGAGAAAAGTAATAGCTACAAGGTGTATGCGTCAATTGTCCCTTGCATCTGCATGCACTATAAGCATTGTCCGTATTGTAACTAGGAGTATTGTGCTGACTTACACATATCTTGCTCGACGTTTTTTTAAAACACTTTAAACAAAAAAAAACCCTTTATTTATCGACTTCCAAAGTGTCAGTCTTTGTATAGTCATGCATGTTTTATGCAATTCTTTAAAAAAAAGCAATCTTTAATATGTACAATCTTCTTGTAACAGAAGGTTGGTTTTGTATATTCATGTAGGTTAACATATGTGCCACATTCCATTCCTCGTTTTTGGAGGAATGTATGAATATTTTTTTTGTTCAAATCTCCAAAAACATATGCAGTTATAAATGTGTACAAAAATATTACGAAAAAGGATTTTGATAGGAAAGTGTGCATGGTCTGTTGTTTACTAAAACTACGTGGACAAAGCATTTCATAAAGTTCACTCCCACCCCCCTTTGGTGTCACCGTTCATCGGGCGAGTGAAACGTCTGCAGGTGGTCACGGGCAACTTACAGCGAGCTTGGCAAGGGTTTAAACAACACTCCGATCACAGCAAATGTTCCGTCCCCAGCACGCATTCCAAGTCCAACGCCCTTCCGACACAGGTTCGCAATACTAACGACCATCGTTCTGCAAATGTGCACAATATATATCCGCAAACATCGATTTCACTAGCTGTTCCACATTTTGAAAAAAAAAAGTCATTCTTTCGAGTTTCAGACATTATGCGATGGTCTTAACATAATAAAATACTACTTTGTGTTGTTAAAATGTTTACAACAGGTTTACAATGTCTGTACTTATTTAAATATCAGTACCTGTAAAGTTAAGCCTTCCGTATTATACATAAGAGCTGTAACAAAAGTGGACGTCATTAGACAAACGAAAACAGCTTCTTTAAGAGCTTTTGCTGTACATTAAATATGCCGATTTCCTAAGTTGTCTGGCTCTTATTATTTTCCTCTGATGTGAAGGCACCCAATTTATTGTGTAGTCAACGTCACTCTTGAATTTTCTAAATCGTTGCACTGCCCCCCGCCCCCCGTAAACAACTATTGGGAAGCTGAAGCGTGGCGATTATAAGAATGGAGGCATCGCACGAACAATTTAAATTGCAACAGAGTTGACCCACACATTTAGTAAACGCAGTTCTGGAGCAGCAGCAAGCTTTTGTTACAGCTCTGATGGGTTGTGTGTGTTGGTATGTTTTATCCTCATATGTGTGTGTAGGGCGTGCCACGGTTGTAATTGTAGCATTTTGACGTATGGCATCATGTACATAGAGTTTGCAAATACACCTGATTAAAGGAAGTCGCTGACGCACCCTATCCGTTTATTTTCATGCCGACACCACACCATACGACCGATACAATCGCACACGTTTGAACGGTCAATAAAATTCACAATGTGGGACCAGTAAAGATACCACATTTCCGGGAGGCTCAACCAGGACACATGGTTTTAGCTTGAAGGACCTTACCTCCATCACACAGACACGCCCACTCAGTCGCTATCCCCGCCCACACTGGGCGTGACCTCCACTTTCTCTGACGCTGGCCCCGCCTACTTCTCTGCCGACTCCATCCCGTTGTCTGCATCGTGATTCGAGAATGAAGCCCAGAATATTGTAAACCAGGTGCAAAATCCTGATTTTTGCAATTGCTCTTGGGTGGGGGTGGGACACGGGAGGAACCTTTGGTAAACCACCAGGATTGTCTCCGCCAAACCAGAATGTTTGACAGCTCTAAGTTTCAACCTTAAGCCCGAATTTTTCACTTTGAGTTGCGTGATAAGGTGATCAAGATTGATTACAGGCAACAATAAACCATCACGGGTCGGCAGCGTGTAGCCTCGGAGCCGCATGTTGCTCTTGAAGGACTGTTTCGTGACATTTATTAAGGGTCGTTCTTGTATTCACATGCATTGCGGCTCTTGAAATATTGAGTTTTTTTTTCACCTAACTTAAAAAAGGTCTCTTGTTGTTAATTTTGGTTGCCAACCCCTGAACCCACATGGTGTGAAGCCGCTGCCTGTTACACTACAACGGATATGTCAGAGCAGTTGTCTTGGAAGACCCTGACCAACACGAACCAGGTAGTTACGACCACTAGTTACAAAGCCTTTACAATTTGGACTATTTATACTCATGGAATAAATTACACTTTGGACTGCATGCAAGTTAATAGGTCTGAATAATGTGGACAGTAGGATGGCAGGAATATTTAAGAGAAAGTGGGTCCTGCCCATCATTCATTAATGGAATTGGCCAAATATTCCAAGGCAGGACCTTCCTGAAAAGTGCTTTGAGACTCGCGAGGCTTTCCTGGATGAATAAACGTCGTTATTCTAAACATGAAGTGAGAACCAATGGATAAGCGTGGCTTATTTAGGCACCATAATAGTTTATAGGGTTGGGGTCAAGTGACGGCACAGAGGATCACACCCTGAACTTTGACCCTGGTAATCGGTCACGGTTTGATGAACTGCCATGGCTAACATGGTCCTGGCCCTCTTCTCTTCCCCAAGCTGCAACCGAGCTGCGTGGTCCAAAAAGCCGCACGACCCACACGGCATGGAAAGGCGCTTATTGACAACCAGCTGCAGTATGAACGGTTACACCAATGTTTGGCAATCAGCAGTGTAAAGTTGCCCAGAGCAGCTCTCTAGAGCTCCTCGGGGAGGCCTTCTGCCAGCAGTGGCATGAGGAAAAATGTACAGGGCTGCATCTTCACCCTTTATACCTTTGTACTATTTGTAGGTATGGCCACAAAGACAAGGGGTGGCGAAGCAACATCCAATACCACTTTATGTACGCATGACGCTACCCGCAGTAATAATATCTACAGCTATGTCCAACAGTCTCTCCCGGCAGTGCTATTAATACCCTGGCAGTCATCTGGGGTTCCGCCCCCCCCCCCAGTGGCACCTCCTCTGGGCCATTCCTTTCTAAAAGTCAGGGCGCTAATCACAGCTCGTGACCTTACCTTACTCTCCGCCGACCCTCAGCCCGTTATATAAAAAAAAGTAATACATTGTTTCCGTGCGATGGCACAACATCGATCTGCTTTGAACACATCTCGACCCAATTTCTGTGAATAACTTTGCAGCTCTGCTGGAGGGAGTTGTGTAGATCGCGTGAGTGCACGCAGCAATGGCGCGGCGCTAGGCGTAATCCAACTGTAGTGTTGTAAAGGACGGACTTCTTCCAAGAAGCAGAGCAGGGCCCTGGGCAGCGCCAAAGGGACCCAGATTGATGGCGAAAATAAGTGCCCCTCAAATCTCAGCTCATATTCAAATCCATAACAAGCTAATTAACATACACGCACAATCTCTCTCAACTGTATCTTGTCTGCATATATCTCCCTTCATCTCTATTGTCTACATTTCTCTCTTGTTACTACGTCTACACTGCGTCGCTTGTTTATATCTCTTCTGTCACCGCACCAGGATGTTTTCAATTGTAAGGAAGGAGGCCCGTCAACATGTATTTCTGCTTTAGGGCCCCCCAATAAGCTCCCAGTGATGGACGTGACGAGTACACACCGACCTATGACCCAGAGTCGATCCCAGCCATACACCACAGAAGTTGTAATTAAAAAATGAGCATATTTGAATATGCTCAAAATGTCCCCCCCAATATATTGCTATTAAAAAATTGCTATGCTATGTAAATAAAAACAACAATTTGGTAAACCTTGGCCACAATATCTGGACTTGTCTTCATGTAAAACAATGCATAGATTTCAGTTTATATGATTGTGGTTATGGTTGTACATTACATACAATGAAACAAGAAATGGTAAAAAAGTAAAAACAGAGCACTGCAATACAATACACTATTAGACATTATTGTAAAAACTCTATAAAAGTCCATCCCATGTGTTAGTGCATTTTTTTTATTTTAGGCAGGAAATTAGTTTTCAAATGTAGATATTTTTCTGGGTTGGGACCCCCAGACACCCTAGAAGATTTGGTCCCCCCCAATGTTGACTCCATGGCTCCAGCCTTGGTTCCTGCTCCTTGCTGGCGAGATCAGCATCGAGGTATCGCGGTTCATTTGTGGCGGGCACTTTGTGTGTAATGAGCGCGACCCTATCTGGTATTCGTTGCCACCCTTGCCAGCTGCACGCTGACAACACTTTCCCCAATATCTGCGAGTAGAATCGGGGTAGGTGGCGGTGTCTCTGTTGCAGGTGTGTAGGGCAGCACAGCAGGTGCCTCTACATCACTGTCAGGGGGAGGTGTATGTGTGTGTGTGGGGCTCCTTGCCACGGCCAAGGGTAAAGTGCCGGTCGTGCAGCAGCTGGCTTCTGTGCCGCTGTTGCTTTCGTCGGCACGGTGAGCATCGAGTCCTCCGTCGGGAGAATGAGTCACTTGAGTTTGGATATTTTTAAACCTCCATTGTTAAAGAGACGTACACGAAGCACGCTCCATGCGGGCCCAGCGTGTTGACAAATGCGCACAACAACAAACAAGGTGACCCTTGCCGCACATCGCTCTAATCTCCATCCCTTTTTGATATACTGTACAAGAAACAATGCCCCTTCACTTTGTGAGCCCTTTATCGAGAATCAATGGCTGCTGCTCATATATAATGGTTGAGGGACTTAGTTACACAGTTAGTCGTGCGCGAGGTTTTGTGCGGCGGGGTAAAGTGTGTGTACTCCCACCTCTTCCAAGACGTCTGGCCAGCGTGGAAGAGTAGGCCAAGAGCCATCTAGAGATGCTCTAGAGAGACCCTGCCAGTGGGGGCTTTTTCCACCAGCCGTGGCATCAGTAAGCAATTCCAGAGCCACACTTTTATAATTTTACATATACAGTAGTTGAACATGGTTTCAAAAAAGAAGTAAACTTGCAGTTATTGCAACAACAAAAAATCTTTGATTTGCAATGAAAATGTTCAAGTAGACGGACAAGCTTTGCAGGCTTCCCAAGCATAACAGCCACAGCGGGCGGCATCGCCCTGTCAGCGTTGTAAATACAAAAATACATTCGTGTGCAGTTATGACTGCTTTACGTTTTTCTGTCTTCCTTAAATCCGCGCTTAAAATTTTACGAAAACTCTTTTCAACGAGAACGCCACACGTCACCTCTTGCTGAGTTTACATTCAGTTTTTTTTGAACGTTTGATTTACTTGATATTTATAGCCAGGCCATAAATGGATATGAGGAGGGTGGTTTAAATGCAGTCTCTGGGGGCTATTTTGGTCCCGAGTCTCCGTGCGACTCAACCCGTCGTGGGGTAGAGAGCGGGGACGTGCGTCTGAGAGCTGCCACCAAACAAGCCTCTCTCTCTTCCTCACTCCTCCACGTCCGGCATCGTCGCGGGCGAATTCAAGGCACTGCAAAGGTAAAATGAGCTGTGCGGCTCAGCGGCCTCTCCTCCGGGACTTGTTTTGGGTTAGTTTCCGTGCGCCGTGACACCGTCTGCTGCAGGCCCGCTTGTCTCGGCGCTCGGGCGAGGCGGCTCGCGATCGGAAGGTTGCGAGTTCCAATCCTTGTTGGCGAGTTGTCTCAGTCCGTCAACCCCCCCACCCCCACCGCTTGGGTCGGCTAAAATAGGTACCACTTTGTGGGGAAGTCAACGGTGGTTGTCCGATGGAGAGACTCTCAGCTGTCAGAGGAATGTGGAATTTCCACCGCTCGCTCAGGGCTGTAAAAGGGAGTTGAGCATGGACTCAATGCTCATTTGAGCAGGAAATCACTTTGACTTTCTGCGAGCAAGCATCTGCATAACCCTACATAATCTCTTGCCGTCAGCCCACTGATAACAGTGATACTGCCAAGGGCTGTCTGTCAGACACTTTGTAATGAAAGTAAAAATGGCAATGTTGCAAGTGAGATGATTGCTTTGCATGCGCTGTATTTATAAAGTGTGGGTGGTTGTTTTTTCCAGAGTGCAATGTTTGGTAAAGTAAGAGCGAACAATGTAGAAGAGGAACGACGCATGCACGCAATCGCTTGTGTAATAATTAATGTTTTTAAAAATGTGTATACCGTAATGTGGATGTGTGTAAACGATTCACGTGATCCCTACAGCCACCACAAGGTTAATAAGTGTGAAAATCGATTGTAGTATTGAATCGTGACCATGCATGGAAACTATTCATCAAATTGTCACGGTGTGGGCCCTACCAAAATATTTTAACAAAAATGTATCAGAGGTCAATCGCCCAGTGAAGTGGCACAGTGGGCCCTCTGCTGCTGTATCCGGTTCCCATTGGAGGTCTGTAATGGTAGAGTGGTAGACTCTAAGAATATATTCATGCTTTGGGAAAGTTGCACTGCTTGGCTACAAAGCAAATCATCATGACCAACATCTCTTACTTGGTATCACACAAATATAAAAGACGTCCCGAAGCTCGAATTGAATTAAGAAGAACAATTAAAGAAAGCACTGCACAGAACTTAGAAAAATGTAAAGTTTCCCAAACAATCGCATGATTATACACTGGAGTGTATAATAACACTGCAGTAATAATCAACCTACTCTTATACTAGTGGCATCATTGCATGCTCAAGATATACATTCAAAACTGGTGCAGAGGTAACAACACTCAGCACTGGGTTCCTCCCAGCCACTCGTGCTGACAATGAAATGTAGCCGGCTATTTGAGCAGCCTGGTGCCGAGAAGGGCACTCGCTGCTGTCACCATGTACACATGAGAGCAGCGAGTGCATCGACAATGTAGTAGCCACGGCGCCCTATCAGCGAATGCGTCTCAGTGTGCCACTGGCGTTCCGTTTGGGCCATATAAAATTTTCTCTCCCAACATCACGAGACAGATTATATGTATGTGGAACTGCTAATCGCGCTAATCCGTAATTAATTCCCACAGAGCAGGCCGTCACATCGTCTTGTCCATAAACTACACTTGTATCTCGTTTATATATGAATATCATCATGTGCGATGCACACCGCGCCTCCTGTGCAGCGCTGCATCTCGAGGCAGCAACACAAAGGGGCTTCAGAGATAATCACTGAGCGAGGAAGCGACTGTTGCAGACGCAAGCCATTCCCATCGTTTCTGGACTCGCGCCCCACTGTCGACCTTCAAACTAGTTTCGTGGACCACCACGCACCGAGAACACGTCGTAGCATCTGCAACACTTCCACGGACCACTTCCCACGGCCTAGCGGAACACCGGTGGCCTGCGGACCCCAGCACGTGCACCGCTGGTCTAGACAATAAACTCGACAAACGAAAATAAACAAAATCTTTGAAAGCTAAACTGTGATAATTGTTTTTTTACCCTTCTATCTGGCAACAAAACTGACACCTTTTTTTACCTGCAGTCGGAATGCAAACAAAACACATAACTCTGATAATGTATGCACTGTCCTTGAAATTGATTGGTCCACACCCGAGACAGCTTTCTTTAGAGCCTAGTCTCACATGGTGTTGGAACAAATGACGCCAAAAGGCGCACAACTCAAGGACAATGAACCATCAGAGTATGAGAGCTCGGGGTAAGCATTTACACCATTGGAACCTCATTTGCCAGTAACAAAATATGATAATTGGAGCTAAACTGTGCTCGATATTTCTCTCGTTTATGTCCACTCCATTGAGGCTACCTGCAAATAATCTCGTTCAGTCAGTCTTAACTTTGGTGAATTGTTGTTCGAAGTACTGTAAAAAAAATAGATATTTCTGGGTGATTTCTTCCACAACTGTCGTGCCAGAGCACCGATTGTCCACGGCAGCCCACTGACCCTGCTCCATTGAAGCAGCAGCAGCAGCAGGCGTCACAAGAACGTCGGCTGTGAGCGATTGTATCACAAGAACGAGCACTTCTTCGGGTGTGTTTTTTACAGCTTACCGATTGACAGACGTATAATTTATTCCGCTAATGGTATATCTAAAAAAAACCCTCAAAGGCTTTCTACTCGTAGAGATTCCCTTTTGTGAAATTATTGGAGAGAGGTTTATCGGCTCTGGCGTGTGCAGCCACGTTTGATCGCAGTCTTTTTGTTGCGGTTGTTGCTGATGCTGCTGCTGCTGTTGTGATGTAGGCTACTTCAAGCGTGAAACTAAATAACAAAAATCCACGCATTTTAAATTCTTCATGTGCAACATTTTGGCTCGTGATGTTGTCGCAAGCCCCACCTGAAACATCGACACGTGAGGTCGGCGAGGAGCTGTGGCGGCACTCGGCACAAGCCAAGCCAGCAGAGCTCAGGGCACTCAAGGGTCTCCGTTAGTCATGACTAAAATATGGATATATGAGATATCATTTCAAATCCTCATGAACGTAGGAAGATAATGAACATACAAATGCCAATCAATCTCTCTCACCTTCTCTGCATCTCAATAGTCATATTTCACTACATCTCGGTTTGCCTACATTTATCTAATCTTACTACATCTCTCACCTTCATATATAGCGCTTCCATAATATCACCAGAATTTTGGGTCTCATACACTTGCTCATTCAAGAAAGGTTGTGATTTGTAACTATTAATAATGTTACGGTGCTGTTTGTTGCTGGCTGCTTGACCTCATGCGCATTTGGACAGAGAGCGGAGTTCACGGGGAGGCCACATGTCGCTGCATCTCCTGCAGAAGACGGGCTACGATGCCTCCCTGCATCACAGCTCGCAGGCTTACTCGGCTGCCGCGTCGCACCACAGCAAGTCCTCCTCATCGCAGCTGGCACAGTCGTCGTTCGCGGCCCGGTCCAGCAACAAGTACACCGGGTAATGCACCGCAGACGCAAACCTTCGCAGGCGTTTCAACAAACGGCGTTGCTTTACTTTAGTCAGGAACTCAATCGGAGGTGGGCAAAATGCATTCAGTTTACAAATTGTTGGAGTTTTTTAATACGCATACAAATAACCACTTGCTATGAAGTGGATAATTTAGATATACATTACGTATTTAAATGACATGTCACTTAGATGTTTCCATCTCCAGCGGCACAATGGTTCACACATTATTGCACCATGAAGCTGATCATCTGAGTTTGATTCCTGGCCATGGCTAACATCGGTGGGTTCGCCCACTCCACCAACCCGCCCTGACCAGCGGGGAGAAGTATGGTTAGACAGCACCCTTAGGGTGGGACAGCGCGGTTAGACCTTCATCTAGAATTGCAATGGCCACAGAGCTGCAATTTGCTATTCCAAATATAAAATATTTAAATGTAAATATATTACATTGCTATATGTTATCATTACGTTCGTGTGTGCCGTGAATATGGCACCACGTGCATGCAGGTTGAACCGAAAAACAGAATTACAACAACCTGCAATTTGTCAAGCGGCATTACGCTTCCACTTTGTGCTGCCAACTTGGGTTTATTTGAAAAATGTGCAAATTATTTGCCAGCAGGCCCATTAAAGGTGCGCTAAGTGACGTTTTTTTGTTTGTTGCAATGTGGTTAATTTGTCCTCGACATTTTCGCAACAACATCTGACTGTGCGGAGAGAATTGTGAAATATATGCATCTATAAATATATAAATGAGGTATTGCTCCCAGAAGAGGCGCTCACACTTTCAATGTTGTGCTCGCAACACACGACATCGATGCGATGTGAACAGAAATGCATTCATATCTTGTCTGTTTATATCTGCTATACAGCTTGCTATTTTAAACGATCCTCAAACTTGCTTGCCTGCTAATGCATCTCTCTCAACACTCGAATGTAGAGGCTTGTCAGGGTTCACTCGGTCACACTAAATACTGAGTGTGTGTGCAGGGTACCTGAATGCAAAGCAGAAATCTTGCCATTGTTTAAAAAAACTGAATTGAACGTAAAAATGAAATATGCTTTAAAATGTACGTGCATGCACGAATTAGTGTGTCTACGCGATAGAAATTCAGAAACCGTGAAAAATTGCGTTTTCATCCATAATAGAGTTTTTTGTGGGTTAGATCTCGTAAATATAAATGTGTCGTTAAACTCGCCACCACCCAACACAGACAATAAGGCTTGTCACGTAAACAGAAGATGCCAATTCGTAACTAGTACAGCACACCGGTGTGTTGGAGAGTCAAGCCACAACATTTACAATCTGGATTTGTATTCTTTGGATCTTTCGGTAAAGTCACGTAGATCGAAACGTCGTAGTTTTTTTTATTTACTTAAAATTTTTCTATCTCCGTGACTTTACAGAAAGATCCGAAGAATACAAATCCGGGTTGTAAATCTTGTGGCTTGGCTCTCCAACACACCGGTGTGCTGTACTAGTGACGAATTGGCACGTTCTGTTTACGTGACAAACCTTATGAATTGTCTGTGTCGGGTGGTGGCGAGTTTAACGACGCATTACTATTTATGCGCTCTAACCCAAAAAAACTCTATTATGGATGATATTGGTAGCAAAAGCTTGAGTGTTAAATTACATTTGCGTTTTCTTGGTTCTTTCGGTAAAGTCACGTAGAAGGAAAATAATAAAAATAAAACATAATAAAATAATTATCACGACGTTTCGGCCACAACGCAATCAGCCATCTTCAGGTGGAGAACAGGTCTGTCGAGAAGGCAGAACAGGTCTGTCGAGAAGGCAGAGTCTGACTCTGCCTTCTCGACAGACCTTTTCTCCACCTGAAGACGGCTGCTTGCGTTGTGGCCGAAACGTCGTGAGAATTATTTTATTATGTTTTATTTTTATTATTTTATTATTTTCCTTCTACGTGACTTTACCGAAAGAACCAAGAAGATGAATCCCTGCAGTCACGAAAGCTTTAAATCGAAAAATACATTTGCGTTATCAACGCAAATCCTATCTACGGCTCAGAGCCCACGGGGCTGATCGTCACCACGGAGAGGCGATGTGACCTCGCAACGCTGTGACGTGACGACCCTTCTACCTCCCAGACTGACCTCCTCCACCACGCTCAGCGAGATCAAGGAAGAGGCGAAAGACGACTACGTCGCGAGGAAATATGGCGGATACTCCTCGTACGGGCAGGCAGACGACTGCTACTGCAGCAGCGTCATTCCAGTCTACCATAGCAGGTGCAGCACACAGCAGGATACCACCATCAGTACTGCTATGACTACTTCACGAAACAAACTAAAATGTCATCCTCATCATCACCTAAGGGATAAGAGTATTTTCATGAAAGTTATTCTCAGCACTCTATATTGTTTGTTCGAGGTTACACTAATTTAACATCTACGTGTGAGAGACGGCACACACTCATGTGTTCCGAGCGCTGTTTGCGCTTGTCAAAACGTAGTTGGTGAACGACTAATTTTCCACTCGCTCGAATCAGGAGGTCTTCACTACATATCCCGTGAGCCAACACCCGCCGCTGCCGTTAATCTCTGTCAAGCCATCACCTTGCCACGCTGCCCTACGCACGCGCAGTGGCTTCTGCGGTTAAATATGGTGAAGAAATGTGGCCTCATCCATCTCTCCCGACAGGCCCCAACAGTGTGACCAGAATTTCCAGTACGGTCTGTGTGGCTGGGCATTGTCATGTCCTTAACCACAATCGCTGTGCCCATTCGGTAAGTTGTCAAGGTTAAGGATGCCGAATGGAGGACAAACAGCACACATTCCGCGATTGTGTGCTGTATCGCCACCCCGTAGTCATTTCCGTGCTGGAACCCACTTTGCAGAGTCGGTGTCACGGGGCACACTTGGCAGCGACTTGCTTGCTCCGTGCCACCGTGGTTCATATTCAAACACCTCCTTAAAAACAACCCACTATGGCATTTGATACATTTCATGTCCCACGGACTAATCCGAATGACCCAGTGTGACGACTGGAGTTCCTTGCTGTGCCAGGTTGCACTTGTAGCTGCGATATATTTCTGCACTGTTTGGTTCCGTCTCATTCAAGCGGACGCTCCATTATTATTTGTTCATACATTTTTTGACAAGCGCTTAGAGGACTGCTGTGCCCTTCTCTCTGGTGCGGTGCACCTGGCCCAGCCATTCCAGGCAGCATTCTTCGACGACTGTTGTGATTGCTGGCCAATTGGTCAAGGACACATGTCTTCACTTATTTTCTTCTAAATGGCGAATATGATAATAATCGATTAAGTTTGTGTTTCTCTGATGTGGCCAGGCTCAGAGGTCAGAATGCTGAGCTGGTGCTACTGAGATCCTGAGTTCTTATTCAAGGAGCCACCGGTGATGAAATCACATTGTCAAGAGTTGATGGCATTGGCTCAATTACCAATTACTGCAAAACACAAACAAATCTTGTTACATTAAGCTAAATTTCCCTAAATCCCAGCTTTGACAATTATGGTATTAGTTTGACTGCCATACAATGGACTTTACTCTTATAAGCAGAGCAGCAGGGGAAGTTTTGCCCTCTACCTGATGGACTAGAAGAAACTTGAAGGGATCTCAGAGGCAGCTCTGTGACATCCGCTTCTGCGGGCGATTCCCCAACGCAGGCGGGGTTGCACTGCTCTGCGAGAATTGATTCATCACCTCGAGGCACGATGCCGATAGCACAATCGGATACAATGAAATGTGATATATACATTAAATTAACAAAAGGCCGGTGGCCACCCAACGCGTGTGATCGTGGGACCAGGGGCGAGACCTTTGGCTTGCAGGAGCTGGAGGATGATCTCATGAGGGACACGACGTCCTACCTGGCTCGCCGCTCCCTGCTGGCCCAAGGCTCCGAGACGGCGCAGCAAACCCTCCAGACGACACTGGACAGCACGCGCTACAAGGCGGAGCGCGTGGAGCTCGAGAGAAAGGTGGCCTTGGGGCGGGGAAGGGTCGGGAGGCATACAACACAACCGATGTTGTCAACAAACTTTAAACGGAGAATGAGTAACGACGAGCGATCTGCTTGAGTCTGTCGTGCAGTCTGCCGTTGTGTGTACGAGGAACAGCTGTCACTGGTGCTGAATATTGTATAAAATATTGTACCAAGTATCGTACGACTTGGCGATCAGAATTTAGCAAGGGGGGGAGGGGCTGGACCTTCAGCATGAGGGGCTCGTTCACCTCCAGCCCCCCCCCCCCCAGGCTACGGGCTGGGTGGCGGCACCCACTGTTAACATGAATAACCACACCCGGCACACCACATCCAGAACGCCGCCTCTTGCCACGGCTGTGGCCACTGCCACATGCCACCTACTCCAGTAGACGAGCGAGCAGGAGAACACGTCGTGAGTGAAGAAGCAAGTAAAAGCAGAATGCAGTACAACAATTACACGTATATATATATAAATAAGTATACCCCTGCTTGCCTGTCCACATAAATACGAATAACGTTTGAGGCTACTCGGCCTATGACACTTCCAGGCCAATATAATCCCGCAGGATTTGTTCAAATAAGCAAACTGTGGACCGGTGTCGACGTTCAGTCTTCACTTGCCATCTTCGACTCTCTTCACGTGTTTGACCCTGACACGTCCCATCAGCCACACGGCCTTCTGGGAGTGCATCATTTCATAAGCATTGGTTAAACGCGAGCAAAGTCCAGACTGGTTTCAACATGCCGGATCACATCAGCAGTCAGTCTTGCTTGAACCAGTGCTGGTGAGCTGCTGGACGTTTATAGGCACGGACCCTCTCTCTGTTAGTTAGATAATGTCCTCGATTTGATGTCAAACTCTGCACTACACAGCACAACAACATCAGTAGCATAGTCGCGGAGAAAGTCACTAAGAACATCAATAAGCAGGGAATACGCCCGCCTCCTGCACGTCATCAAGTAAAAGAGTATTTTTTGTGTTTATATAGATCCCAGATGTGTTGTCCGCGTTACTCATTTTGTCGCTCGCATTCTCCGCGACGTCGCGAGTCGTCGAATCAAAGGCGCTCGTGCGAAACGCGCGGGACGATTTGATTTGACTCGTGAGTGCACAGGCGAACAACCGCTCGTCTCCGCCGACAGATCCACCAGAGGGCTCAGTTCAAGCACCGCATGAACGTGGACAGCAAGCTGCACGCGCCCGAGTTCGCCATCAAGTTGCGCTCGCACACCGTTTGGGAGAGCAGCGGCGTGCAGTTCCGCAGCACGGTGCACGGCTGGCCCGAGCCCGTGGTCACCTGGTGAGCGCGCCACGTCGGCCACGCTCGCGAGCAGTGCCGGACTATCCTCGTAGCAAAAGTAGATACTACATATGCAGCTACTACATATGTAGCTGCTACAAGGGCCCCCACGCTAAATGCGTTCAAGCTATCAATTCCGGTTCAGTGATTCTGCACTTGCTCTATTACTATAGTACTATACTGCCTTCAACTTTGGAAACGATTGGGTGTTTAAGGTGAGCGATTTGTTGTGATATCTGGCTGTATAGCAAATGAAAAAATACTATTACTTTACTATGCAAGTTAAAAGTGTGTGTTTTCATATCTGTGTTTTTTTTTTATTTAGGGCCCCTTTATAACATCATATGCTACAGGCCCCGCACTAGCTTAATCCGGCACTGATCGTGAGTCGTCGTCGTCATCACACGGTCGGGGGGGGGAATAGAACAAATGTCGCTCATCCACGCCGAGTGCCCCCCCCCCGTGCGGCAGCGGGAGGGGGGGCGAGAGCGATGGCCTTGCACGTGCTGCAGGGTGGCAGCGTGAGGGGCATGACGTTGACAACGGTGACGCGCTTCATCATCGTCGCCGTCATCATCATCGTCAATAGGATCGTGACATTCTGTATGATAATTGTGTCGTCATCATCGTAATCAATAGGATCGTGACATTCTGTATGATTATTGTGTCGTCATCATCGTCATCGTCATCAATAGGATCGTGACATGCTGTATGATTATTGTGTCGTCATCATCGTCATCGTCATCAATAGGATCGTGACATTCTGTATGATAATTGTGTCGTCATCATCGTAATCAATAGGATCGTGACATTCTGTATGATTATTGTGTCGTCATCGTCATCATCGTAATCAATAGGATCGTGACATTCTGTATGATTATTGTGTCGTCATCATCATCATCGTCATCAATAGGATCGTGACATGCTGTATGATTATTGTGTCGTCATCATCGTCATCGTCATCAATAGGATCGTGACATTCTGTATGATTATTGTGTCGTCATCATCGTCATCAATAGGATCATGACATTCTGTATGATGTTCATTGTGTCGTCATCATTGTCGTCGTTCTGTCGATGGAGGCTTCTCCAAGCCACCGCCGTCTCTCATGGTACTGGATGTAAAGATCCATGGAGCACCTTCACACAAGCTGATTCGATTGCTCCATCTCCCCTGTGGATGTCCGCTCAGGCTGCGCAGATTCTCACCCAGCCTCTGAGCATTGTTAGCTTCGTGTTCTGACTCTTTAGCCCTCTGTCCTCCTCTTATATTACTTTCATCATCATCATCTCACATTGTGTTTGACGTCATCGCTCACACGCCATTATCGGTCTGTATTAGCTCTCATCACCATTCATCATCACATTTATTTTAAACGTCGGCATCACAGCGTGTTGCGCCAAAGCAGCAGGCGAATTTGCTTCGTATTCGCCGTGAAGGCTGTCACTGTGCCAAGTTTCCACATCTCCAATGGGAGAGAATTTAAGAAAGCAAGTTTCCGCCCCAGGCACATTTAGGCTGTGATTTTATTCTTAATGTTCCCACTAAAAATAAGTGTTCAGTCTGATGTCAGGTAGAGCTTCCTTAAAGAGGCCACGGAAGATACTTTTCTGTGACATGACGCCATATTTAGTAGGCAGTGACTAATGACTTCTGAGAAATGTGTGGTATCGCTGGAAGTTATTTCAATCACTTTAGCTGGGGCATGATACGTCCCAATTTGCGAGCATTACAGAACAAAAAACTACGAGTCCCGTGCCTGGCCTGTGCTGTCAAAAGTCCATTACCAGAATCGATGTTGTGATAATCTCAGGAAGTGACACTCTACCCATTATAGACATTACCAAGCCAGCAACACGCGCAAAAGCGTAAAGGGAACAGCATTGTTAATATAAAACACACATTTTTAAATACATTGCATAAGTGCTGTAGTTTTGTTAAAATATGCATAATTAATTGCAATCCTGTCTGTGTGTGTGTGTCTCATCGTTAGGTATAAAAACATGGTCCCCATTGACGTCAACCTCAAGCCTGAGAAATACCGAATTGTCAACAAGTTCGGCGTTCACACCCTGGACATATACAAGTGAGTGGTCTCCGATACACTGCAGCCAATCCCTTGTAGAGTGGGTCTAGTAGAACTCTTATTTTTAACATATTACCTGGGAATCCTATTATCAGTAGGAGCCGTAAGATCTGCAAGAACTAATATTCTTCCTATTATCTGCGTTTTTTCTTCAAATCCCGATATGTGGAATAGCTTATACACAAACACATAATTCCCAAGGATGAGCGTAAGACATAACGTGAAGGGCAAAATGATCAGTGATGTTTTCTGCCACGCACCAACACGGACATTGAGGAGTTCTACCGCACTGGCCTCACTGAAACAACTATAACCCGGAGACGTTAACTGGGTCAGCCAAATTTACTGGGTCAGCCAAATCCAGAATGGATTTGAATTGACCAAGCAAGCCTTGCTCTGTCCCTTGGCAATAACGCCCTTCAATGTTATGCTGCCACCGTATGGGATGTAATCGTCCTAACAAGGTGAGGGGATGCGGGACTGTGTGAAAAAATAGATGAAGCGAAGCCATCGAGTGCATTTTACGAGGAGGGATCAAACGCGTGACGAACCGCATCCATGCAGGATTCTCAGATGCACGAATTAATGACGACAAATAACGAATATAATGAAATTCGTTTATTTTGGAATGCCCCACCGAGTGTCAAGATTTTCTTTTCAGGATCCTGTTTTTGGGATGACAGGCCGATTCCATTAGCGAGTGTTTTGAGTGTGCGAGGAAACCGGACTGAGCAGAGAATACCCCTGCATAAGTAGAGATAATGCTCAAATTTACACAAAGATGAATTACCTATCAGAAGTTCACTGTACTGCCACATTATAGCCACCTCAGCACGTAAGAGTTGGTAATTTCACAAGCTTGCGTGGTCCACCAACCCCTGCATCCAGAGTTCTGGATACCAGGTGTGGGCCACTATCAACAATACCCAATGCATTTGTCTGGATACTGGATACAGTATTCTAACCATCTTTTCTCAAACTTCATAAAATCGAGAAGCTGCCACGGTGTAATGATTAGCACGCTGGACATGCAATGCAGAGGTCACCGCTTCGATCTTGCGGCACGACGGTTTTGAAACAACGTTCCGCTCTAAATGGGTGCACCACAGTTAGTCATTTCGCGGGTCGCATGTGGTGGTGTAAAGTGTTGGCACTCCCACATCTTCCACGCGTGGATGAGTTACCCTCAAATCCTCTGCAGAGGTCCTTCCGTAGAGCTCCCTCGAGTGGAGGCTTTTCCACCAAGAGGACATTGCGGGGCTGCACCTTTACCTCTTTTTTCACAACTACAAAACGGCCGCGTGGTTTTGTTTCAGCTGCGAGTTCGACGACACGGCGCAGTACAGCGCCACCGCGATGAACGCCAAGGGCCAGAGCTCCACCGTGGCGTCGCTCGTGGTGAAGCGTGAGTCCCAAACTCTCCGGGCGGGCGGGCGGGCGGGCGCAGTCTCCTGGCGCGGCTACGTACAACCGGTGCACCTAGGATCTAGATCGTGGCCGTAGCCATTGATGACACCGGCGCTTGGGATGAGAGTCTCCCCCTCACACACGTGGGTTTGCGCCGGGTGTACCGGTTTCGTCCCACGTGCAAACGCTCCTTTATTGGCTAAAAACACCTTAACACGTAGGTTTTCGCGACCAATATTGTTCATAATAAAGGTTTTTTTGGGTTTGATCGCGATCTAACCCAAAAACTTTTATCATGAATAAAAACACCTTACTATGTAGAGGAGCGCAGAGCCTGGGCGATTGTTGGTGCTGGCTCATCGTGTGGCTGCCGCCTAGTCACTTGTCTGTAGTTCCTCCTCCTCGCGTATCTGAGTCGTTCTCTCTCTCTTTCTACGAGAGCGACGACTGTGCGATGCATTACAAGTCATTATGCTGTTATTATGCCTTAATGTTTTCACGTTGTCTGTGTGTGCGTGTTTTTTTACAGGTTTCAAGGGCGAATTGAGAGATGACATGTTTCCTCTTGGAAAACTTTTGCCGTTTGACAGTAAGATTTAAGCGCAAACCACTGCATAGGTTTTCGTGGTCGGTGGGTGCCCCAGATGGCTCAAAGGTCAGAGTGCTGAGCTGGCGCTGCTGAGGTCGTGAATGTTTTAAACCAGGCAGCTGCCTGTGAGAAAAATTGTGCCCTTAGGTGCTGTTCGTTAATTTACCAATCACTTTAAAATTGGTTCCCCCAACTTAATTTCGCTAGATCCCAGCTCCTGAAAATAGAAACAAATTGTGTTGACTATCATGTATTAAACATAACTCACGTACACAGAGCAGGTGAGAGAACATGCTGCCCTCCACGTGCATAACAGATGTCACTTGAAAGGATCTCAGAGGCAGTTCTGTAAAATCCGCATCTGTGGGCCGGTCTCGAACATGATGGGTGGCATTGCTCTGCAAAGAGTTCGGAATGGATTCTTTGTCTCGTGACGTGGCACCTATAGCACAGTCGGAATTAAATTGAGAAAAAGTGGCACAAAAGTCAATAAATCAGAATGTTCTCGCGGTAGCGCTGTATCGTGTTTTTTGGGTCATAGCACGTGTTGTTTGGCATGATGTCGGACGTTTTGCTCCCAGCCCCACGTGGTACAACCCAAAAACACATCACAGAGATGGATAAACACCTCCGATTAGCACGGTTGGCGACATACGCTGCAAAATAAGTTCAACGTACATACATACTGTGGGATGTGCATCGAATCGCCTCTGAGTATTGACGGCAGCGATGCTGGCAGATGGATCTCTGCATGCACGCACACACACGCACACATATATTTATTAAACACCTTGCTTTCGTTCCCATAAGTTAGCTCATAAGATGTGAGAAGGACAAAGTCATAAATTCAGCATTAATATTTAATCTCCACGAAAATGTTGATGCTGGGCCTAAGCGTCGGAAGAATGTAGTTTGGCCAGTTGGCAAGGGAGTGCTTTGCAACCGAATACGATGTCAGTACAGCAGCTGGGGCAGTGATTTGATGATGCGCGTGGCAGCTGGGATTGATGCCCTCTGAAGAGAGCCCTCTGTGTCGCTGCCCGACAGTGGCGGAGTTCCTGGCAGCCTCCTCCAAGCTGAGCTTGCACCTGGTGGACCCGTTCAACGTGTCCTTCGGCACTGAGGGCGACACCCTGAGCCTGGGCACCACCGTGGTGCTGCACCCTCCCGTCAAGGGCTACACGCCCGACGTGCAGTGGCTACGCAATCGTAAGTCGTCGCAGCCCCCCCACAACCGCCCAGCCACTGCCCCCCACAAACCACCTCCTGGCACCCCCCTCCCCTCGCACTCGCAGCCACGGACTTCAAAAACACGTCAACAACACATCAACAACACGTCAACAACACGTCAACAACACATCAACAACACGTCAACAACACATCAACAACACGTCAACAACACGTCAACAACTCATCAACAACACATCAACAACACGTCAACAACACATCAACAACACGTCAACAACACGTCAACAACACGTCAACAACACATCAACAACACATCAACAACACGTCAACAACACATCAACAACACGTCAACAACACGTCAACAACACATCAACAACACATCAACAACACATCAACAACACATCAACAACACGTCAACAACACATCAACAACACATCAACAACACATCAACAACACATCAACAACACGTCAACAACACATCAACAACACGTCAACAACACATCAACAACACATCAACAACACATCAACAACAACACGAGTCTAACTCGGTGATCCGGTTCGGGCTTGAAAATCGCTTGGAACGTTGTCGCGTTGCTGCAAAAATTGCGAATCAGGATCGCGATCGCTTTGCCTTTGCCGACGCGAGGCTTCTGAGAAGGATCTCTGCTCACGCGCTCTCATTTAATTGCAACCACCACATTGTCCTCTCTCAACACAGTCCTCAGGCACGAGCCACTGCCATTCAAGGCGCTGCTATTTGTGATTTGTGCGTGAGCACCCAATGCCAGCGCAGAATCACTGACACAAATATCCGGTTGTTTGAAATAATGCAAATTAGTCGTTCTAGATGTCTTATTCCTTTAAATGTCATTAATGTATTATTTATCTTTTTAACAACAATACGGACAAGAAGAGCAGCAGGGAACACGTCCTTCAAGAGGCCCACGCACACAACGAGAGTCGCTCTCCGACTGTGATCGGGAAGTCGGGAGAACAATAGATGGGACGGGGAAATGGGCTCGGAGGATGGGGAGCTGCAAGGGGGGTGCAGGAGGCTTCAGGGGGGTGCAGGGGGGGTGCAGAGGGGAGTGCAGGGGGGGGGGTGCAGGGAGGTGAAAGAAGAGAGAGAACATGTCTTGGAGAAATCACATAATGGAGGAAAAGTCTAAAGTTGCTTTTTCAATAAAATTCTTGATTTTAGTCGTCGTGACTATGATTAATAAATATTAAGTTTCGTTTTTTTTTATTTAAAGCGCACCCCAAAAAAACATGAAGATTGGCAATATGTTAAGCATGCGCAGTATTGTTCCCGCAAGTATGTTGGTATTAAAATGTGATTTCACTGGAACTATTAATTGGATAATTGATTAAAATTTCTCAGGCCGGTTTATATTACACACGCATATTTAAAGAAACAATAAATCCCAGCCCTTCTCAATCCGTCAATGCACGAAGGCCTCGACTGCCATACGCAAACACAGACACACCGACTGCGTTCAGCGTTTGCAAACGAAGCACAGGCCATGTGAAGTGTGCGTGAAAAAAACTGTTTACGGAAAAACATCGGAAAAAAGTATGCAGTCGGCATGTGCAGGGCCACTGTTCAGGGAAGGCAATTAACCTGCAGTGAGAGGATTCAGCAAAAATCTCTGTAGTTTAAAGTCACATCTCCAGAACACTAATCCATCAAGGTTATGGCACTCCCCCCCCCCCCCCTCCTATTGTATGGCGGCGTTGATGCATCACCGTCACCCGAATGCATCCCAGTCAATTCAGCCGCTACAGCTTTTAACACGGCTTCGTATTTTTTTTTAAACATGCATGCAGTGGTGTCTAAATGGAAAATTATTAATTCATCGTCCTCGCACTATTACACATTTTACAAGCGGCGCTTCCAATTACACAGTAATATTGACAACCCCAGGGCTCATTTACAGAGACCACCATGAATCACGGTCATCATCGCTGGCCCGCGCCCCTGTGAGAGAAGCCCCTGTATTGATGCTCCACGCCGCATTACAGATGGGTCAGGCTGTTGTGCATTGCCTACAAAGAGATCATTGAATAAAAATGTTGCGGGAACGCCGGCAATATTCGTCGAACAGAGGAGATATTTAGCAAAGCAGCAAGCGCTGACATGGCCGAGATCCTGTGTTCGAACCCAGGCATCATCCGCCTGTGATCAAGCCGGATTCTCAAGTGTAGCTAGTTCATGATCTCAGCCCAGTCGCCAATGACTGTGCATAGACTATGGCATTTCTGCATTTATTTTGGCTGAATTCCAGCTCTGAAATTTTTAATTGTTTTTTTTTTACCACCGGGAACATGATTCTCAATGGCAGAGTAGCTGGTGAAATGCTCCTCTTTACCGTGTGGATCAGAGGTCACTTGAAGGCGTCTTAGAGGTAGCTCTGTGATACCCACTTCCGTGGCCCATTTTCTAACATGAAGGCTGCACTCTTTTGCAAGAAATCTGTTTCGATTCTCATGTCGTGATTGAGACAACACAAACGGCATAGAATTTTGAAATCAAGATTTTTTTTTAAACATCGCGTCTATTGTTCAGACAAATGCGACACAAGGGACTCACCTGTCGTAGGCATAGCTATCACGTTTTGCAGGCGGGGATACTGCACCAAGGCCCATACGCCAGGCACAAAGGGGCAACATTTAACTCCTTGCACAAGGTCCCATGCCAACCATGCTACGTTGCTGTGACCACGCTGTGACCACCTATGGCCACCTATGCCCACCTGTGACCACGCTATGACCCCGCTGTGATCACCAGTGACTACCTGTGACCACCTGTTCCCACTTGTGCCCACCTGTGACCATGCTGTGACCACGCTGTGACCACCTATGTCCACTTGTGACCACCTGTGACTATGCTGCGCCCATCCGCGTGGCAGATGTTCCGCTGGTGGATTCCAAATGGCTGAAGGTGACTTTTAACGAGGGCCGGGCGACGCTGACGCTGCCCCACGTCAACAAGGAGGACGAGGGCCTCTACACGGTCCGCGTCACGGCCGGCCGCCAGTTTCAGGAGCACAGCGCCTACTTATTCGTGAGAGGTGCGCGGAGAGACTCGCGTCTCACCCACCGTCTCGTCTCACCCACCGTCTCGTCTCGCCCACCGTCTCGTCTCACCCACAGCATTTTTAGAATAATAATAATAATAATCTGATTTTATATGGCATCGTTACTGCAGATCGCATCTAAAAATGCAAGGACATAAAAAAGCACGTGAACATCACGTGGCTCAGTTGCCAATTAAATGACTAAAAACAATATTTAGGGGGTAATCCAAGTGCGGTCTTCTGAGGTCGTCCACGCATTGAGCATTTCTCCTCTCAAGCTTTGCGCCACACACTTCTGCGGGCGTCTTGAGGCATTGAAACACGCGACAAAAGCTTGAAAGAAGAATGCAGCCTGATCTGGAAGACCACAGTTTGGATTTCGGGTGGCTGCCAAAAACTCCTTGCTATATTAAGAAGGTAAACATTAATTGCTTTCAAGACTTTGACTGAAACGCAGATTAGAGAACGGAAGTCACTGAGGTTATGATCTACATCAAAAATGAAAGAACTGTCAATTCGGTGGCCACGTTGATGCCCTGTTTACCTTCATAAGAATATTCATGAACGTTATTTGAAAGCCATAAGTTCGAGTCAGGCAGGGTTGCATGTCCTCCGCTGGCCGGATGCTCACCGTCGGACCGGTGCTCACAGATGGGGAGATGGTGGGCTACCCCGGCTCCCCTCTCGACGTGGAGTGCCTGGAGGTGAACAAGGACTACATCATCATCACCTGGAAGCAGCCGAGCGCCGACGGCGGCAGCGCCATCATCGGCTTCTTCATCGACAAGTACCCTCCTCGCCTCTGCCACGACCCGCGTGGCATTCGACCAATCACAGCACGTTTCACTTCACGTTTTTCGCGCACCGATTGCACACGTGCAGCCCTTTTGTCACTCCACGGCTGAATTCGTAACAATTGTTCACAGTATCGGTGATAACAAAGGAAGTCGCTGGCAAGGTTCGCACACGCCCTGTGCCCCCCCCTTCTCCCTTTGTCCCCAGGCGGGAGGTGGGCACCGACCTCTGGCTGCAGTGCAACGACACGCCGGTGAAGTTTGCCCGCTACCCCGTGACGGGGCTGGTGGAGGGCCGCTCCTACCAGTTCCGCGTGCGCGGGGTCAACGCCTCGGGCATCGGCCGGCCTTCGCGCGCCTCCATCCCCACGGCAGCTCTGGACCCGCTGGACCGTGCGCGCATGAAAGGCACGGCCGCCGTCTGTGTTTGCCGGGGGGTAGAAAGGGGCGCCCGGCTCCGTCAGGCGGAGCGCGCGGTGGCCGGGCGGCTCAGAGGTCGCGCAGCTGAGACGGCGCCGCAGGCATCCTGGGGTCACTGACGAGTGTCGCCAGCCTGGGTTTCGACCGGGTTCTCGACTGTAGCGAGTTCATGAGTTGATAGACTCGGTCTCGTCAAAATTACTGCTCACAAACAACAACAACAAAACACCACGCTCATTTGGTTCTCAGAATCAGAATATGTATTTATACTGGAGGAATCCGATGAGTTATGAAGCTCTTTTCACATATGTCCAGTAGGGGTTGGTCAGAACGTAATGTAGGTTCTGCATGAGATGGCCAGGTGGCCTATAGGTCAGAGTGCTTGTGGTTGAGTGTGGGGTTCAGGCATCAGTGATTGATTTCTTAAATGGTGAGAGTTCATGACTTCAGACCAAAATTATTTCACCTTTTATATGACAATCTTTCCAGAGATGTTTTTATTTTTGTTCAATAAAATACAATTATCCGTGAATCTATTATGAGTCTAGAACAAGCTCTCACCGTTCGGTTATGGTCAATGTTAAATATCCTAGACGTTAAAATGTGGCAGTTATGTATGTCTGCATATGCACACTAATCTGGTATTCGTTAACAAATCAAAAATAACATTCACGTAAACATTTTCTCTTGAACAGGAGGACCCATCGCTCCATGGACTGGACAGATTATTGTGACAGAGGAGGAGCCAGATGGTGAGACGCACGACGACAGTGCGAGGGCATCACATCTAACGAACCCTCACGAACACGGCCAACATTACATTTGAACCGTGGTAATTTATTTAAAGACTCCGCCGTTCCAGCTCCCACGCGTGAATGACATTGACGCAATGGCGATGTGAACGCTCTGCGTGTGTGACCACCTCCCAGAGGGCCGCATCCCGGGACCCCCGACGGAGCTCTCCATCACGGAGGCCACCAGGAACTACATCGTGCTGTCGTGGAAGCCGCCGGTCATGCGAGGCAGCGAGGGCATCATGTACTACATCGAAAAGGTAGCACGCCGATTACAGGGGCGGAGGCCGCCGTGGCTTATAAAAGCTGGTCGGTGGAGTCGGTGCAGGCAACGTGTGCGTGTTAAGGACATCATCATCGTCATCATAGTCCTCTCATCCTTAACCACGATAAATCCACTACTGAATGGAGGCCTCGCCAAGTCGTTACCATGCCCCATGGTCCCACCATGCAGCAATCCACAGTAGCTGCGACACAAGCTGATTGCATTGCTCCACCCCCCACCCACCCACCCAGCCCCCCCCTCCCCGACCTGCACGCCTCTCCATTATTATTATTGATCATCGGCATGTAAAGAGCATGTTGAGTCGTTATACCACATCTGCCAGCTTCTGCATTGCACACTCACTCGCCCTATCCGCCATTATGTTAATTGCACGAGTGGCCATATGAGAGTAGGGGATGCTGCTGCTGTTGATGGCCAGCACACTGCACCTGCAACCCAGAGGTTTGATTCAATCTCACGGTGGACAAGTTTGTTATAAGTACCCCCACCTCTGTCCACACAGCAGTGGATTTGGGGTCACCACAGTTCGTTGGGCGGCAGGTGCGTGTGGTGGGGTCAAGCGTGGCCACCCCACCTCTTTGCAAGGCGTCTGGATAAGCCTGGCAAAGTAGGCCAAACACCCTCTAGATGGACTTCCTTGAGCTCCATCTCGTGGATGCCCTTTGCGCCTAGCAGTGGCATACGCAAGTAATTGCAGGGCTGCACCTTTACCTTTGAGTCACTTTCCATCCTGTCCACCAGTTTCTTTCTTGCTCACGCACCGTATTTTCCATTGCATTCACAAAGCAAGCGTCCATACTAGAGCGGCCTCACGAAATGAACTGTTCTTCAGGTTAGATGCATTGCCAACATTACCATTAATTTAAAATTCGCCCCAAAAATAACATCAGCCCTAGCCAAGTGAAGCATAAGTATATACTGTTGTAAGAATTGAGCAGCACATCGTGTTCCATTTGGCACCAGACTACTCACGGTTTCACCTCTCCACTGTCTCACTTTGCCCCGCGGGTGATTTCTCACCTCTGTGTGTGGAGCGCATGGATCATGAAGGCTCGATATTGACACAACTATTAGACAAAGACAAAGATCCCACTGTAATGGGATCCCACTGTAGTGGGATTCCACTGTAGTGGGATCTTTTATTTTTCGCACGTGCTGTTAGCGAGCACCTATGAAGACCCGATACAACACACAAGGAGGTGTCCAGCCACCTTTGTCTCCCCGTGCCAGGTACTCACTTAAAGCTGAGTCAACCTAGGGGAGGCCCCAGACCGTCTCAGATAATTGTCACTAAGTAATAACCTTGGGCGGGTTTCGAACTCAGGTTGCCGATTTTGTGGCACGGTGCGCAAACCACTGCACCTCCACTCCCAAAAAAAAAACCTCGAAAAGTAGCAGACACATGGACGGGCATGAGCAGGGGGTTAGACACGACGGGACCGGAACACATGGTGTGCTCTAATTTAAGACGAACCTGGCAAATACGTGACCTCCTCGAAATAAATAGCTTGCATAAATGTCACTATTTACGACCTTTGTTGGCGAACGTTGGTTGTCCACCCCATATGCTCAAACATATGTGTGGACATTAATCACACTGGAGTTATTTCTTTTGCTTCCCACCGGGATTTTTTGATGCCCTATAATACCATGAAGAATTTTGCTGGCTCCTCGCCCAATCTGCCACGGAATCGCCACGTACGACAAACACACCGTCTGGCAGCCTGTCTTAAACCCGAGCCAAGGCGCCGGGGTGGAGTTCTTAAATCAATTAAAAGTGGAACAACAACAAAGCCACGAGAGTCGTGCCACGTGTGTTGTTGTGTTGTATTAAGTAAACATGAGTAGGGCTCCATTATTTGTTTTCACATTTAAATAACTGCTTATCGGTTTTCCAGAACAATATTACCCAGCAGCATTTTGTTTAAGCATGAACATTATCAACCGGTTTTGACCTTCTAGGTCTCATCAGCAGACTCAAGCTTTAACACGTCAGCTTTTTCTCGACCAATATCATCCATAATATAGTTTTTGTTTGAGTTAGATCACGTAAATATAAATCCGCCACCACCCGACACAGCCAATTAATAAGGGTTGTTATGTAAACAGAACGTGGCCAATTCGACACTAGTACAGCACACCGGTGTGTTGGAGAGCCAAGCCACAACATTTACAATCCGAGTACGACGTTTCGCCAGGAATTACAACTAGCTTCATCAGGCGACAGCTGCATCTGACTTTTCTCACAAATCCGTCTGTACCCTCGGTTCAGTCCCCAGTGAGTCGGACACGCGGCGTCGTACCGCGAATGTTTGCCGCACGCGTGCTGGCGGTTGTCTAACGGGAGGGCGCGTGCGTTCTGTGCGCGTGCGTTCTGTGCGCCACCAGTCGACGGGCGGGGAGGACAACTGGCACCGCATCAACGACGAGTTGCCCCTCAAGTCCCCGCGCTTCGCGCTCTTCGACGTGGTCGTGGGCCAGGCGTACGCCTTCCGCGTGCGCACGTGCAACTCCAGCGGCATCAGCGAGCCCTCGGAGACCACTCACCACATCACCGTGGGGGACAAGCTCGGTACAAACCGCGCAACTGGGATCACAAGCAGCAGCAGCAGCAGGAGGGGTGCAATGGTTGCTGCTGCTGCTGCCGCTCGCAGCCCTGTGCTGCGTACACCTTGCGTTGCACACGGACAGCTGCCGCTGGGGGATCCCTTTGGTTAAAATGCAGCAGGGCATTGCAGTGGATGACGTGAGATTGATGTAATGCGGCATCGAAGCACCCTATGAAAGCACATCCTTATCCTTCGTGACAATTAACCCTAACCATGGAATTAAAGCTGTTGAGTGAGTGAAGAAGGATTGTCGAATGCTTGCGATCCCACCTGGCCAGGCCGTCTCCCTCCATAGATCGGGGCCACTTCCACATTGTCACTCTCGAGGTGACGGGGGGGCAGGCAGGGAAGACGAATACCCCGTACGTGAAATCGGAGTGAACTGGCCACGTGGAATTGTCCCGACAGAAATCCCGTCGCCGCCCAGCGACGTGGTCTGCAGTCGGAACACCCGGAGCTCGGTGGTCGTGTCGTGGAAGGAGTCGCCGACTGCGGACGTCGTTGGGTACTACATCGACTCCAAGCTGCAGGGCACGGACACGTGGGTGCCGTGCAACAACAAACCCGTCACAGGCACCAGGTACGAGCGCACACTCATGCGCATTCACGCACGCAGACACACAGGCGTGGGCCTCGTCACTTGTTATTTCCTTTGCTGCTGCTGCTGCTTTTCCAAAGCCATCATCATCAGCAGCAGCATCCACTGGTGGATGGAGTCTGCCCCAAGCCGTCACAATCTCTCACGGTCCTGCACTGCAATAACCCACGTCGCCTCCGCACATGAACGGATTAGCCGATCCATCTCCACGGTGGACGTGACCTCGGTTGTGTTTCCTCTTTTGGCTGCCACTGTTATGATTCTTGACCAGTGGCCAGCATATCCTCAAGCCGAGACCGTGTTCTGCCAACTTCACTGCATATGTTCTCTTATCCACGTGCTCCTCTTATTGGAGAAACCTGGAACACTATTTGCAGTAATTCTTCCAAAATTATTTGGCTGGAGATGCAACGGTCATAAGTCATCATCAAGGACGCTTGAAAATGGCCGAGCTGTGGGCATCTGTGTCTAGACGCAATACATTCAGTTGCACGATTCTGCTTCAGGGGAGAAGACGAGCCCATTATTTAGTTGTGTCTTGCTACAAGAGGCAGACAACAAATGTGCTCGCTGAGGATAATTTCCACCTTCACTGCTTGTACTTTAGTTTCATTCGTGCCCCCCCTCTCCAACCACTTTCCCCCACTCCCCCCCCCCCCCAGGTTCACGGTGCACGGGCTGGTGGAGGGGGAGACGTACACGCTGCGCGTCAAGGCCGTGAACGCCGCCGACGTGAGCGCACCATCGCCCGAGTCCGAGCCCATCATGGTCCGTGCCACCATCAGTACGTACCGCGACGCTCCCCTGCACCCCACGCCGACATTAGCGGGGGGGGGGGGGGGCTATCCCTAGATCCTATTTTCTGGGGGGGGGAGGCGAAGGGGGATATTACCCCCACCTCCCACCCCTCTACCCCACCGAAATGTTTGAATGGCCATTTTTAGATTCTTCATGAAGAGTAAAAGTTGATCGCCATGTCGGATGTGCTGCACAATAAGTGCTCCATAATGTCTGTTTCATCGGAAGTGAAAGCAGAGGATAAGGGAGAATGTAACGTCGCCTTGAGTACTATTGGTAGGGAACCCCACTGGGTTTGCCACAGCCCGCACAAGTGACGACTGATATCCACAAAAGTCATTCGAGCGCAAGCTTGGAGAATAGGTTCTAGTTGCCTATCAAACTCGGGTCGCCGGGTTCGTAGCGCAGCACGCGAACCACGGTACTGCCGCTCACCCACACGCAGCCTGCTCGCTGCTGCCAAAGCACTGGCGTTTCTAGAGGCCCTCTTTGATGGCCAGTGACACTCCGATGTTGCAATCCCTTGACTGTAATATGCTTAATGACCCGGACAAAAACATGTGCCGCTGTCCATTATTAATGAGTGACTCAGCTGAAATTAATTATTTAAGTGCCTTATGCTTGCGCTTACGTGCACATCGCAGTATTAAGACTCCTAATCCCAGCATGAATTCTATCCGGTTGGGTTATGGGTGTTTGAGTCTCGTGGTAAGTCAACTGTGTAATGCGTTACAATATCCAGGGGCTTATCCGTCCACCCACTGGGGCCATCGCTCGTCACAAGGAGCCGGCTATCGCCTGCGCCCATCGCATCGCGCTCAGTGGGAGCGTGTGAGATATTTATTCAATTCTGAAAGCTCGCCAAGTGTGTGAATATTATACCTAATTCCACTATAATTATGCGGATACCTAACCGGCACAAAACCTCAATTTAATAAAGATATACCATTGTGAAGTATAAAATATCGTTTGCAAAATACGTTTTAGGAAAATGGCTAGGCGAGCAGGGCACACAATTGTTTGGTTTGCTGGTTGCGTGGCGGATCGCGCAATTGCCAATCGCGGCCCGATCCGACGTCCGCCCACCGCACCGGGCGACCTGCCTGGACAAACGCTGTCCCTCGCGTCGAGCCGGCGGACACGGCCGTGACCCTGCCGGCCCCGGGCCTCCCCGCAGGCCACCCGTCGGCTCCCTACGCGCTCGCCATCCTGGAGAGCGTGAAGGACTCCATCGTGCTCGAGTGGAAGGCGCCCAAGTTCTCGGGCGAGACGCCCATCACGGGCTACTACGTCGACTACTACCACGTGCACGAGGACGGGTCCGGGACCTGGCACGAGGCCAACGTCCGCGCCGTCGGCGAGCGCATGTACAGGGTGAGCGCGCGGCCACGCGGGGCGCGCAGTCGCACCATCGGCTGAGCACGGGGGCCTTCAAAGGCAACGGAAATGTCAATCGGCCGGCAACAAGAGGGAACCGTCTAAGGTCGTGACGGGAGATAAGATTGTCGTTCGCTTTGTTGAGTTGAGCCGAGGTTATTATGAGAGCTTTTGGGGAAAAGAGACAGTGGGAGGGGTGTGAAAGAAGAAGCCGAGAGAGGAGTGAGGTGACCTGCAGTGTGGTGGTGGTTGAATGCCATCGTGGGAATTAGAAAATTAAATGGATTGCTAAACTGGTAATAACAATTATTTACACTTGTAAGGCACATATCATCCGTAGATCACAATGTTCTTTATTTGCCAGTTACACCGCAAAACGTTTGACAAAGGCACTAATTTAATGGGTAATAGCATTTTATTTAGAAACTTTAATTGATGGTTATTTCGTAAATATTTTGTCACGAAATCAAACGTGAAAGAAAATATAATTAACGCACCAAGCGAATATCGTAGGACCTTACGTTGCACGGGGCACCCCGAGTAGGATCACCTTGTATCGCGTACGCACGGAGACTGCCGAGTATCTACAACGGCGCACAGAGCCCACGCGGGCCGTGTGCCCGTTGCTCACGCTGCCCATCGCTAATCATCGCTGCCCATCGCTGCCCATTGCTCGCTGCTGCAGGTGACCGAGCTGAAGGAAAACCTCGTGTACAAGTTCCGAGTGCGAGCTGGCAACAAGGCTGGCGTGGGGCCAGCTTCCGACTCCAGCGAAAGCATCAAGTGCGAGGAATGGACATTGGCAGTGCCAGGTTCGTTTAAGTTTAAATTTTTTTTTTCCATGGCCTCTAAGTTTTAGTGGTTATAATAACAATAAAAGTACAGTGCATTTGGTATCCGCGCTGTCGTTCTTATAGTGCGAGGCAATCACCGAGGAAGGCACATGTGTTTACTGCAGTGGTTTCACAGTAGGTGGGCGATGTGACTACGTACCCCAAATTAGTAATTTCTAGGTAATTTCCAAATGTGGCGGATTTGGTACCACTGTAACGCTGGCACGCAATGGCCTACTCTTTTCTGGCATCCGCTGTGAAGCAGACGCCTCGCACATTTAACAGTTTGTGCACCAGCAGCGATAACCAGGGTGGCCCAGTGGATTGTTCTAACCGTGAACCCCTGTGACAAGTGGCACACGTGTTCCCGTTCGGCCACTGCGGCTTGCCGCGTGAGACCGGGCAACACAGCCACCGCGTTCTCCGATGCAATATATTTCCTTTAACTTAAGGGAAAAGTTGGGGGCTGCATGTAATAATATCTAGGATATGGTAACTAATGGTACAGGCGTTTACACGATAATTACTCTTCACAATACAGTGCTACGTACATAATACGTTTCAATTTACCGTTTAAGATATTGTACAAAAACGCTTGCGTGGCCACATTCAAGAGAAAGAAATAAAAAAAAAGTCCCCAATCTGGCTCTGCAGCCGCACTGATAAACGGGTACAGAAGGCACCACAGCAGCAAGCCACCATGCGATAGAGACGCCGGGCCTCCATTTGTAACTTTCCTCTAACACCGCGTGAGTCAAGCGTACGCTCTCGCAGTGATATGCACCGTGACGTAGAAGTCATGAGCAATTCATATAAATGTGTTAGCGCCAACGTTTGAGCTTGTCTGAGATGACACCAAAGCGTGGGGTACTTATCCACGCAAACTCGGATTAAGAAATCCGAGAAATGTCTCAACGGGAATCTTTCCAAACCTTTTTATTCTTTCGCAAACATTTTCTTTATTCCACAGGAAGTGAAATCACCGCACTGTACTTTAAGATGGTGTGTCCACTCCTTCACCACACATGTGCTCCAACCTCACTGTGATGTGAAGTCCAGCTGTGCGGGAATATCGCTACGCGTTTTATAACGCGTTGAATTTAAATGTCGTACATGATTCCATTTTCTTAAACACCGGTCTTAAAAATAAAAACACCACAGGTGACATTTCGAGCAATGGCCCTTGGTGAACGATCACCGTCATTGCCGAGCCGTTGGCGACGTCACCCCAGATGCGTGCGCACAGCCTTTACCACAACCCGTGGACCGGTCCCTGGCGGGACACGAAGTTGATCGGCAAGCCGCGTGTGGTGGGGTAAAGTGTGGGCGCTCCCATCCCCACAGGGGTTCTCTCGACCCCCCTCTAGGGAAGGCCCTTCCGGCAGCAGTTCAGAACCCGAGCAAGGAATTGCAGGGCTGCGCCTTCACGTTTCCCTCTCCTCTCCTGCAGGGCCGCCGCACGATCTGCGGGTCACGGAGGTGCGCAAGGACTCGCTGGTGCTGCTGTGGGACGAGCCCGTCTACACCGGGCGCACCGCCGTCACCGGCTACTACGCCGACCTGTGCATGGCCGGCGTCGCCGACGACAGCCTGCAGTGGAAGGGCGTCAACGAGAAGGCCACCGGCAACAAGTTCATCAAGGTGGGGCCGGCGTACGTCGCCGGGGACACGTAGCGGGGTGCGGAACGGCCGCATCGACTCGTCCGTCGGGTCAAGTTGAGTCTCCGTGAGTCCGGCGGCCGAGGGGAAGACCTGAGGGCAGATGGCGGGAGGCTCTCAGGGCCGAGCGTGGAGGTCGCTGCACTGACCAGCGAGGGGAAGTATGGTCAAATGACCCCCACGACCCATACAGCCTGGGGGTGCCTTCACCCAACAGCGAATTGACAAAGACTGTACGTGCATTGCAGCAGGACCTGACTTCCTGTCAGATACTGCAAATGCAAGTTCAGTGTTACGCAACATTTTTGGTCAAAAGTCGTGGCAATTTTGAGTTCTTCTCCCTTCGGCAAAGTGAAGTCAATGCTGATTACCCCCACGACGGAACGGAAACTTTATATACACAGTCAGGCACGAGCAGCACTGTGCCCAGTAGTGAGTCAGTCGCCACTAGTTGCGTCGATTTCATACCATTCGAGTAGTGTACAGTCATTCAATTTAGTTGAACGCATGTTAAATAGTAGGTTGTCAGTGTTATACGTAGCAGTGATTAATTAAAGCATTGTCAAAAATAGCGGACCACTGTCCATCTGTAACCTCGCCAACAAATGACCGCAATCAGGAGCCGTGGACTACTGGGAGACCCAACATCGTCCGCAGCGGGGCTGCGTCGCCGGCGTTGCGCGAGCGTGCGGATTGAACTCTCGCTGTCGCCCCGCGTCCCGCAGGTGACCGGCTTGGTGGAAGGAACGACGTACGTGTTCAGGGTCAGGGCCGAGAACATCACCGGAGTGGGCCGATGCTCCGAGGTCACGGACGCCGTTTTGGCGGAGACGCGTCCCGGTAATAGTTTAACGCTTAGTAGTAGCAGGCTTCCACGATCAATATTATTCATAATAGTTTGACACGTAGTAGTAGCAGTAGTAGTAGCAGGCTTCCACGACCAATATTATTCATCATAGTTTAACACGTAGTCGTAGTATCAGACTTTCACGACCAATATTATTCATAATCAAGTTTTTTGGGGGGTTAGATCGCGTAAATATAAGTGTGTCTTTAACCCACCACCACCACCGCTACCCGACACAGCCACTTAGTATGGTTTGTCTTGTAAACAATACATGCCATTTAGTTACTACTTCAGCCCACCGGTGTGTTGGAGAGTAAAGCCACAACATTTACAATTTCAGTCCGACGTTTCGCCTGTAATACGCAGGGTCTCACTCGATTTGTTTCTGGGGCACGTGACGGGTAGCCACGGCATTTGTAAGAGGTCTACTGGATGTGGTGGGAATGTGAATATTTTCCGGGTTGCTGGTAGACCACGAAGTGGTATGTTACTCACGGCCACAGCCATGCCAAGAGGATTACTGTACGTGGTGGGCCAGGTATGGAAATACCCCAAGATTGCATCTTAGCCCTCAATAATTAAATAAATAATGTTATACATCGCAAAGCGGAACAATCTGCATTACATTATCAAACTTGCATTTACAAAATCACTTCATCCTGCTTTTCCTCGCATATTAATTGTTTATATGTTTAATCCCGCTCTGCCTTCAACAATTGCCCTAGAGATGCACAGCCTGCTGTGTTTTCCACTTTTTCCCCGAATAAAAAAACAATAATTTCTATACATTCTGTAGCTGTCGCGAAAGCAGCTGCAAAGTGTGACCCCTTATTTTCAGTAACGGGGACCACTCATAAAACGCAAATCTGTAAAAAAATGTATACATTTCTGCAGGGTACAAAAATGTGACATGTGGCTGATGTCAAGTGGCGTCATTAAAGAGACAAGTGCACAGTGTGAAACATCATCCGGCTGAGCGGCCTGTCGCACCGACGCACGCTAATTCCCGCCATCGTGTCATCTGAACCGACGTGCGCTTTCTCCCGCAGGCACGAAGGAAGTGGTGGTGAACGTGGACGACGACGGCGTCGTCTACCTGGAGTTCGAGTGCGACAAGCTGAGCCCGACGTCCGAGTTCATCTGGTCCAAGAATTACGAAGACATTGGCGATGGGGATAAGACGAGGGTCGCCGTGGAGACCAAAGGAAACAAGTGAATACCTCGCAAAACGAACGCAACTGCAGGCGAATCTACAACTCGCTCAAGCGTGGATAAATGTGGCCGCTCTCCGACGTGTGTGTCCGTCGGGTTGTACCCCGAGCGATGCCTGGCAGCCTCTTGAAGCTTCTTGAAGCAGCTTCGAGAGCGTGGAGCGGAACGTCGGAGGTCGGACGGAACAACACGTGGAACAGCAGCACGGCTGTGAAAAGCTACGCGGCAATGTTGCCTCTTGCTGTGAAGATGTGGCTCAATAACTTGCTTTTTTCCTTGTACTTCACAGAACGAAGCTCATGTTTAAATCTCCTGACCTGGAAGACCTGGGAGTGTATTCCTGTCTCGTCACGGACACCGATGGGGTGTCTTCAAGCTACACGCTGGATGAGGACGGTAAACACGACACGGCGATGCAGTTCAGCGCCACGTATCTGACTCGCTGGGGACCGAGGTATAGGCGGATTTTTTAACGTGTATGAGAGTGGGAAAAAAGAAAACGCTTTTGAACGTGAATAAATGCTTGACTGTGCTTTGGAAGCAAGTGAATGTAAGAGAGATTAAAAATAGAAGGCTGTACTGGGCGGGTAATTGGTCATAGCTGGTACACGATGGTCAGATACACAAATGTGCGCTGTTCGTGCAGGTACAGTACAACTCAACTAGATTTGGCTGAACTTTGACAAGAAATACGAAACTTATTTCTCGTTCCACAGAGCTGAAGAGGCTTCTTGAGCTCAGCTATGACCACAAGAATCCAGGTAAGAGCACATCACAGCGAGGCTCTTGTGAAAGAATATTCTGCACGAGAAGAAACATCTGCTTAATGCGCTCTGAAGTGCTGTTGCTGGCACATACAGCACCGAAGATGGTTTACATTAGAGACACATTTAAACTATTTCGTGATGGACTGGAAAAACGTCGTGAAACAAGATACTGCGCCATTTTATTAAAGGCTTGGATGAAAGCCAAGTATTTTTCTTTCATAGCCTAACAATGTTTCAATTGTAACTTAGTAAAAAATATAAACTACTTTTTTAAACCAATAAATCTCAACTGTAAGGTGGAATGGTGGGAGCAGTGGGGGACCTGAGTTCGATTCCCAGCCAGGGTTAACATCAGTGGCAAGTCATATCTGAACTGGTCCTGGGCACCCAACCACCCCCTTCACCAACCCGCATTGACCAGCATGGTGAATTATGGTGAAACCCCTCTGAAAAAACAGTCTTTAGACTCAGTGAGGCTTTCTTGGGTAAATACATGTTATCGATCGATCTGGGGCAGCCAGGTGCGGTGAGGATGTGGAGCGGCCAGGTGTGGTGAGGATCTGGGGCAGCCAGGTTTAGTGAGGCTCGCTCGACGGATGCTTGTGATCACTTCACCGAACGCCCCTACTTGACACTCTTTTCCACTTGCACATCCGAGCTGTGCTGTGGCCGTGCCGTGCCAGTGCCGGGTTGCTTTTGCGCTGCACAATCCGAGCCGTGGCGCTTGCGTCACGTGCAATTAGTGACGTCCAGACGCGTGCTAAGATGATGCTGTGACGCTGACTTTATTGAAGGTATGATGACGTCAAACAAATTGCCAACGTCATATCTCAACCGGTCCTGGGCAACCCAGCTCCCCTTTTCACAGACCAGCACTGTCCAGCATGAGGCCACGGCACGGCCACGAAGCCGATTCAAATGTCTCGTGAGGCCAGCGTAGCACGACTTGTTTCCCAGCTTGACCCTGAACATGCCAGAGGAAGACCACCTGTAACGTCCTGGTCTCTGTGTTGTTGGCACGGCTTGGATGTGTGCAAGTGGCATTGGGGTAATAGCTGTTGGGCGGCATGGGCCAGAGAGCAAACCATGCAGTCACCGTTTAATTATTCCCGACTCTGCCACGTTCCCGCTCGCAGTTGTGCCGCTGCTGACGACGCTGCAAACGGAGGTTCTGGAGCAGGGCCAGGTGCGCTTCTGGCTCCAGGCTGAGAAGCTCAGCCCTGCGGGACAGGCGCACTTCATCGTCAACGACAAGGAAGTCGCTGCCGGAGGGGTGAGTCGGTAAAATGTCTGGTGGATTGCCCAGTCCCTTGGCTACGAGTACCGGCACGTGGGACTGCTCTTTAAGTTGCAAAGTGAACCAGACAAGCTCAGCAAAAGCCGTGCAAGAAGTCAGCACTTTATTATTTTTGTTGCATAAATCTCTCGCGATACTGCCACCGTGTGATGGTTAGCACACTGGACTTGCAGGCCAGAGGTCGCCGGCTCTATAATGTGGGGTACGGCAGTTGAAACAATGCTTCAAGTTTCTTACATTTTCCCGCCTTTGTCCACACAGCACTACAAATGGGGGCAGCACTGTTAGCCAATCGGCAGGTTCAGTGCATGTGGTCGGGTAAAGTGTGGGTACTCCCACCTCTACAAAGATTTATGGCCAACGTGGGAGGGTAAGCCAAGTGCCCTCTACAGGAATTCTCTAGAAATCCCTCTCGTGGTGTCCCTTCCACCGCCAGTGGCTTGCTTGAGCAATTGCAGGGCTGCACCTTGACATTTCCACCTTTTCACGAGAGTCGATGGCGACCGTGGCGCCGGTCGCCTGCGCGTCGGTTTTGCAGAAGTACAAGATAAACTGCGACAAGGGGACGGGAATCGTGGAAATGATCATGGAAGACTTCTCGGCGGCGGACGAGGGGACGTACACCGTGCTGCTGCAAGACGGCAAGGCCAAGAACCAGTCGAGCCTGGTTGTCATCGGCGACGGTGAGACCCACAGCCACAGGGAAGGTGCCACGGGCGTCGTGGTCAGCGGGCGCGCTGGACACTTGCAAGCCAGAGGGTCGCCGGCTCGATCTCCTGGCGTGGCGGTTGACTTAAGGGTGCACTTTCCTAGAAAAAAAACACCACCCGTGTCCACCCAGCAGGCTAAATGGGTCGCACCGCAGTCGTCTAGTGGCAGGTCACATGGGGTGGGGTAAAGTGTGGGTCACTCCCACCTCTTCTAAACAGTCTGGCCAGAGTCGGCCAATTCATGTCTCGTGGAAGCCCTTCTGCCAGCAGTGGCTTGACCAAGTGATTGCGGGCCTACACCTTTACCAAACAGCTTCCAAGCACCTCCTGGCTGGTGGCCATTATTCCAATGCCAGCTGTGATGTCACTTTTGTGATGTCATCACCGAGGGTGTGTATTCACCTCGTAGTGATTTGATGAATTGGATGAATTAAAATGACACAATGCAATAAAACAATATAATGATGATAAATAAATTACTCCTAACCAAAAACCACCCCTCACCCCTTCAGATTTCAAAGACCTGCTGAAGCAGTCAGAGTTCGCAAGAAGGGAGTATCTCCGAAAACAAGGTAAGAGCTCCCTGCAACGCCCCAACAGAGTAAGTACAATTGCACACGCATTAGCAAGCCTTGAGATAAACATGTGCGATTACTTTATCCACGACATTCTCTATTTGCCAGTTACGAAGTGCAATTTCCGTTGACTTTTGTGATATTGGTGTGCTTTGACATTGGTGTGACATTTTACAAGTTCGTGACGAGGGCTTTGTTTTACTTTCTTTTAAAGGGCCTCACTTTGTGGACTTTTTGGCCTGGGAAGTTACGGAGGACTGTAATGTCAACCTAATTTGCAAGGCGAGTATTTACAGTACGGTTTTTATTTTATTTTCAGAGAATAGATAAACATACACTGTCAACAAATACAGCGGTGTTCGTTGTCGCCACAGTTTCAGCTGAAGCCGCTGATCTGTCCATTAGGTTGCAAATGTCAAGAAGGAGACCAACATCGTGTGGTACAAAGACGAACGTGAGCTGCAGGAAGAGACGGACTTTGAGGCGCAGAGTGGGGTGTGCAAGCTTCAAATCACGCAGGTAAATGGACCTGCCTTTGAAAACAGCTGTTCACTCGGCCTTGCCTTGCATCTTCTTCCTCATCCCACGCAGACTAAGAGGGGTTGTTTTCGCTCTCTGATGTGTTTTCTGGTTGCCCTGCACGTTGCTCGGCACGATGGCCGACCTTCGGCTTCGCGTGCAGAAGGGCGTCAAGCCAAACGACATCAGACTTTGTGCCAAACAACTCATCGGAGAGCTGTGCATCACAACCGCGAGAACATTTGTCGGAAGTTGTTTTTTTACTGTGTTTGTGCAGAGTGTTGAGACACGGTCACATGGAGATGCTGTGTACATTTATATTGTACTTTCAGTCGGGCGCCACGGTTGCGAGATGTTAACTACCTCGCTTGGTATACAGGAGGTCGTGGGGATCTATCCTAACCCTGACGCCTGCTGTATATTTGGAGTTTGCACGTTCTCCCTGTGATTTTTCTCCAGTTCCACCCGTTTTTCTCTCCATACTTAGAAGCATGCGTTTAGAGTATTTGGCTGTGATACATTTCCACATGATAATTACTTCGTTGGGCTATAATGTGTGGCCAGGTCGCTTCTGAAAAAGAGCTACTAAGCTCAATGGGCTTTACCTGGTGAAATAAAAAATATTTGAATAATTGTAATGTGCCCAGGCTAAACTGCACTGCTAAGCCTTACAAGGCCGCATTCGAGTGCACAGCACCGCCATGCAGTCCACTGCTATCTAGAGCTGGGGCGATTCGTCGATCTCGTCTATAATCAACAAACTTTTGTAATCAGCTACTTCCTGGTGGTTGCTTGCTCAGGCACCTTTACAAACCGCAGCTGCCCCCACAGCCCACCCCCTGAAGGCAGGAAACCCCCTACAAGCCACGCCCAGTGTGACGTGGCTGGACATGCCGATTACATCACCAAGCGCTGCCCGTCACCTCCCGTCCAGCGGCACGCGTGGGAAGAGGCGTGAGACTTCCCCCCCCAAACTGTATTCACGTTGTCTGATTAATCGAGTAATCGAACTGATAATCAGTCGAGACATCTTAATAACCAGATATCCCAACTCTAATATGGATGGCGTGGTGAAATCCTTCATTCTCTTGTCACTGTGGGAGGGGGGTGATAAACCGGGCACGGAAGGGGACATCTCTGCACAGCCAGGTGGCCACCAGAGGAAATATGTCTCGGTAAACCGATGTCAGTGCTTCCAGGGCTTACTAAGGTAAATCTTGAAGTAATGCCACCCATAATGGGTAGAGTGATGGTTTACTTGAATCGTGGGCCATCAGCAGCAGCTCTGCTGGCTAACGTACGCATTGCTGTATATCACTCGCTGTGCCTGCTCCGTCGCGTGTTACGCAGATGGCTAAGAAGGATGCCGGCGTCTACAAGGTGGTCATCTGGGACGACCGCGGCAAAGATAAAACCACGCTCATTCTCACGGACTCAGGTAGGGCCACGTAGGCTCAGGACCACCACTTTGCCAATTTGTACAAATTAGTCCGTGACCCGGGACGATGCTGACATTTGCTCTTTCCTTTTGTTTCACAGTTTATGACCAGATAATTCACGCGATCTGCAAAATCGCCGGTAAGTTGGCCGTCAGAGGTGGCGCTATCAGAGCTATTGTGAGACATTGCGTGTTGAGACGTCGTCGTTTTCAGCACTGGTGAAATTAAATCTAATCGCGGATGTTTGTGTGTTTTACTTTAGCTGAATCTGCATCCGACCTTAAACTGCAAAGCACTGCTGAAGGAATCAAAATCTATACCTTTGTCAAGTATTACCCTGAGGACCTCAAGGTGTCGTGGTGTCACAAGTGAGTATTACTATACAAGGTGCTTAGTACATCATTCACTTGCTTTGTACACCCACCACAGTTACTGAGCACTGGCCAAAGAAACCAAAACACCAAGTGGTCAGCAACAAACGGCACTCTTGCAGGCATAATCGATGAGTTCGTACGTTCCTGAAAATTTAAGACGGTTATCATAAGATTAGAAAATAGACAACGGGAGGACAGTTGACAGTGGAGGGGTGCAATGAAAGAAGCCAAAAGTGAAGTGAGCTGCAGTGTGGAGGTTGAACACCGACAGAGTGGATTAATCAACATAGTTCGGTAGATGAAGTCTTCAACACGGCAGGAGGAGGATTCAAGGAGTGAAGTTCATGGGAACAGTAACCGTGGCAGTGGCAGTGACGGAAGAGTGATCAGTCAACTGACTGCTTAAGTGTCTGGAGTTAATCAGTAAGTGTTGGACCATCAATCAATCAAACGTGTATATGTATAACCTATACAGTAACACTCACACACACTCTCTTAGTATATATACTTACATTTTGTGGCAGATCTGCTGATATAGATTAGCATATGTGCTGCAGGGTAGAGTGGTATGTACTGTGGCTGCTTTGGGGTTGGCCACATTCTAACAAACATCGCACAGTTAACCATGCACAGCTGATTAGAACACGGGCTGCATAGCGGCAGTGCATTATACATTTACGTTGGAAAAGTGAGGACTACTTTTGAGAGAATAACGAGGGAAAGATAGAATGCACACTCGTGTATCCTGCAACGTTCTCCAGCGTACGTTTGGTCTTCTAAGAAAGTTGTTGAATTGGCGAGGCCCCCTTTTGAGCCGCGTGAAGAGGCGACATCAATAGGCACAACGTGTGACGTCACACAGAGATGTCGCAAAGAGGTCGTCCCGTGGCACCACACGGAACATCGCCAGGAGAGGAGGCGAGACGTGTGCATGTGGCGCGTGACATCATTGATCTTGGCCAAAAAAGGCTTTTCTATTATCGCAGTTTTTTATTTGATAAATTTTGGATAACTGTTTGATTAATCTGTCCAATTTTAGAGAGGGTTACACCCCTAACAGCAAAATTTACCTCCAAATTTCATCTATATTGGCTCATTTTTACGAGGTGTATCGTGACTCCCCCCACCTCTGCTACAGACAGGCAGACGGTACATAGACAGAGAGATGGACAGAGATTATGCAGCAGCGTTTTCAACATTATTTGAAAAGTGTTCATACGAATGGCAGATACCTCCGGATAGACCATTTTCCCCGCACCTCCGATGAGCACGATCGGCTACGTATGGCGCAAAAGAAGTTCCACATACACACATTACCCACACGCGCAAACCTCTGGATCCATCGCTGGAGACAATCGATGCCGCGTCCGGCAAAAGAGCGGCCGCTCTGCCCTGCACTCACGGCCGCACGATGCCTCTGCCCACCCACAGGGACGCCAAGTTGGCCTCCACAGACCGCGTGCGCAGCGGCGTGATGATCGATCAGCTGTGGCTACACATCAACGAGCCGGCCGAGAAGGACAAGGGGAAGTACACGGTGGAGCTCTTCGATGGCCAGGAAACGCACAGGAGGGCGCTCGACCTGTCCGGCCAAGGTGACGAATGCTGGGCGAGCGGGGGCAGTGGCATCGGAAAGCGGTTCAACGCTTTCCGTAAACGATGAGAAACGCGGTGGTAACTCGTGCCGTATGTACGTATGTTGAACTTCTTTCGCACCGTACGGTGCGGAGGAAGGGCGCCAGAACTAAACACAACAACACGAATTCCGCTGCCATTGCCACGTGGAGCTCGACTGTGTTTAGAGAGGGAATGCTCCTGGACCAGAATAATTCATGGAGCACCCGGTTGTTGGAAAATACATGACGTGGATATGACAAACACGTGCCGTACTGATGTAACATTGGGCAGGCGAGGAGTACGTTAAACCATGTGTATGCATAAACCTCACAACAGAGGTGACTGCTATATTGAATTTAAAGTAGAGTGTTGCATTTGTACATGATGTTAACAGTCAAATGTTCTATTTTTCAGCATTTGATGATGCATATGCCGAATTCCAGAGACTGAAGTAAGTGACTATGCTCAGGGTAACATGTTTTACAATAACTATTACTCTTTCTACTTATTTTACCATGATTTCAATATTGGTTCAAATGTGGTGGCTTTCGACTTTTTGAAATCACTTTTGTGAAAACAATGTTTTTTTTTATTTTTTTGACTAATTATGTTGTTACTTTTACAGGCAAGCAGCCATTGCAGAAAAGAGTAAGCATTTGCCGTACATTCTTTCTACCACTTTAAAAGGACAAGCATTTAGAATTGCGAGGTCGTGAAACAAGTGACGTGCTATAATTAACTGTGGCACTTCTGCCCATCACAGATCGTGCAAGGGTGGTGGGAGGCCTGCCAGATGTGGTCACAGTGCAGCAGGGAAAGGTAGAACATGCACAGCTATTGCTGACAAAGGTTTACGACCATTAGCACAACACCCACTCACGCCAACATACGTGCAGCAAAGCGGCACATGAGTTTGATTTGTTGTGAACATATTCAGCAATGCCTCGTGGTGTACATTCAAATGAGATTTTACAATATTTGTATTTATGATGAATGGTAACTACCTGGTAGTAGATAACACAATGCATCACTTGCGATCATGATGGATAGGGCCGACGATAAATAAGTACTCAGCGTCATTTTCAATAGTGCTGATCTATCCACTGCTGGATGAATCCCTCCCTATACCGATTCCATCTCTCACGTTCCTGTCATGCCACAACCCATCTCTCTCCGGCACGTGAACTGAACTTGTCGCACCATCCCCAAGGTGGTCTTCCCTTACGAGACGTTCCGTCCTTTGGCTCTCCATTCCATGTCCCAGGCTCACCTGTGGGCCACAGGCCCTTCTAGCAATGATGTGCCCTGCCCACGGCCAACTTGACTTCCACGAGTCAATACGACGCATCTGATTTGTGTTTTCTCTGATCCACGTGCTCCTCCACAGACGCTGAACCTGACGTGCAATGTGTCGGGCGACCCGACGCCCGAGGTGAGCTGGCTGCGGAACGAGCACCCCGTCGACTCGGACAACCACCTGGTGCTCAAGTTCGAGGCGGGCAAGTTCGCCAGCTTCACGGTCAACGGCGTGACCACGAGCGACTCGGGGCGCTACAGCATCGTCGTGCGCAACAAGTACGGCACGGAGACGGGCGACTTCACCGTCAGCGTCTTCAAACCGCAGGAGGGCGAAGAGGAGGAGGAGGAGGGCGCGGCCGACGGAGTTCACGACAAGCACGCCGGCAAGGACGAGGCGGCGAAGAAGACGACAAAGGCCAAGTAGACGTTATGCACCGTGGGGGGCGGAGGGATCTAAATTGGATGTTGCTCGACGGTGGAATGTTTTAAGAAAGCTCTGTGATGTGTAATCGGGTTGTTCGGTGTGAAGTTCAACGTTCTGCTCCACACGCTCGGAGCTTTTTCAGGAACTGAAGAGCATCATCTTGCTCTACATGAAGCTGTCGAGAGATTTTGACCAAAGAAAAACTGAAAAGCTTCCTGATGAAGCTGCTAGCACGTAGAGCGGAACGTTGGACACCGCGCTGAACAGCGCGCGGTACCACCACAGAACACATCACAGCACAACCTACAGAATTATATGTTTTTAAGAAATCTTGTGTGGAAGGGATTTGGTTGTGATAAGCTGCATGGTTTAACACTTTGTAATTTCAGATTTAGATGGTTTGTTGTGGGAGCCTCAGAGGATAACCTTTGTTTTCAATCAATACAACCATGTTTCAACAACAGCACAATAATGTAATAATCCTGTTGAGTCGCACTTTAATTTTTTGGGTAATGAGTTAATGATTTTGTTTGGCACTGGCTTCGCTATTTCGAACACTTTGGCTCCAATGCATAAAGGTGCACATTTGTGTCCAGTCGCTAACCCATTAAGTGGCCACAACATTGTTTAACCAGCGAAATACCTTCAGGTATCTTGTGCCACACTGCTCATAAGTTACACACATTATTTACTCTTCATCTTGTCCCTTATCACCATCTCAATAAAATAAACGCAATTTAACACGTGTGAGAATCTTTGAAATTGCTTTATGTACAGATCATAAAATGAAGGCACACAACAACACAGGACCCTTGCCAATATGTACAAAACAAATCTCCTAGGATAAATTCACACTCAATCAAGATGGGTCTCAATACTTTGAAAAACAAATGAACAGTACTACTGTATTACACAACAGGAAAGTAAAAAAGTTTTGACTCGATTCCCAGTTTTACTTCGTAGCAAGTTAATATTATAGATCAAAACAACTGCTTTGTGAAGAATCTATGAAATATACATTTCATTATCTAAAAATGCTGGAAAGTTATTTTTAAAACACTGCACGAAGCTTGTCATCTAATCTCTGGTCATGCAAGCAAGGAGACATATAACTTTGAAAAATATAAATTACAAATGTTCATAAAAAAAACGTTTAAGCTTCTTTTGTTCACGGAAACCATACAGTCATAAAACATGAAACCGGTCTTAGACGGCACCATATGACTTTAGCATCAGGTACTTTTCCCCACGCAAACATTACCTGGCACGACAGAACAAAAACACAGAATAATGAAACATACGCATCATGGGTCAGCGGTACCAACCAACTTAACTACAAAATTCCCGAAGCTCTATTGAAACCAGTTTGAATATAATGAGGATTTTGACGCCTGGTTTTTCTTTGCAACTGGCCACAGTCCCTCGTGTAGAATGATCCCGTCGGTCAGAGCTGTGGCTGGTACTGCAGCTCAGTGGCCGTGTAGAAATCCTCCAGGAGGCTTTGAAGGTATTCGAAGGTGGGTCGCTCCTCTGGCTTCTGCCGCCAGCACTCCTGCATGATGCTGTAGAGCTCGCACGGGCACTTGTCCGGCTTGGGCATGCGGTAGCCTCGCTCCAGGCTGCGAATCACCTCCGGGTTGGTCATGCCTTCCGAGGAAGAGAACAATAGAAATATTTTAAAAATAAGAAAAATTCTACATAACGCATAAATGATCGTGTTTGTTTCGCGATAATAATGGTCGCGCTGATGCCAGGTATATCTGCCGGATGCGATGAGATGACATCGCATCTCTGCCGGGTGAGGACGCGGGTAACCCTTTAACAATTTCACTGGCTTCTTGTATGGTAAGTCCTTCATAGCAACACAACTTACAATTCAATTTTATTAATTTCGGATCAACTACACAGGAGTTACTATGCCTCCTCTCTCAGACCCTGTGCCCCTGTGCTCCTGTTAGACTGATGGAAACACGTATCTAATGTAGGAACGCTTGTAAGGTTAGTCGGAAAGTTTTTAAAATGGGATGTTACCATAGTGCCAAGTCTATAAATCTGGTGCAGGTTTCCACTTTAGCTAGTCACCAGCAATGTGTAATGCCTTACATTCAAATGAGATTGGTAAACTTAAAATGCTAGCATAATGTTGAAAAAACTACAAACTAAGATTGAACATCGTAAATCGATCTCTTTCAGGGGTGTTTATTACGGGTTTAAAAAGCTATTTGCGCTGTGCGCAACATACCATACATATTCATACATTTGATAAATAACAGGCTTCTTTAGGGCTTAATTGTAGATGGGTTTTGCCTGGGTCAGCGACCCCGTAAATATTTCGGCACATGGCACACCACATCCAGTATACTTTGTACTTTGAAGAAAATATTCAGTCAGGAATTGAAATCCTGGCCTTCGGTATTACCTGGGTAGGGGATCCGTCCAAAGGTGACCATTTCCGTAAGCAAGATTCCGAAGGACCAGACATCGGACTTGATGGAAAAGGAACCGTAGTTTATAGCCTCAGGTGCTGTCCACTTGATGGGAAACTTGGCTCCTGTGTGATGACCACAGTTTGGTGCAAAATAACGTCATTCTCTCACATGTGCAACTCTTAGGCCCTCTATTTGAGGCCGTAGTACATGGCAAGCGGCTCGCGTGCAGCGCTGTAGTGTGCCTTATCTTTCCGCACGACTGCACACTGGCCATGTACAACTTAGGATACTGAGCTGCTGAGATGACGGGAATTTAATGCGAACTTTCATTAAAAATGCACTCACGTTGCTTTAACATTATTATTGTCCTACGCAGCATGAGCCGACTATTTTTTTAGTTAAACTACAATAGCATTTCAAATGCAACTTCATTAGTTGGCTTGTGGCTGCGTCTGCAACGTAATATTTTAGCTGCCTGCTGCACATATTTGATGTTATGTTTAATTTACTTAATTTAACAGGGAAGTTCATGGTCGAAGCACTCCTCTATATGCAGAATTGAGGTTTTCTTTTATTATAAATCTGTAATGTTTTAACAATCGTGGATTTACGATAGGTTGTTTTTTTGGGGGGCCTGTTTTTACTGGAGGTCTCTAATTTGGGATTTCACTTTAGGCCCCACCTCTGTGGTGGGGGTGGAGGAGGGGGGTGGAGGGGGGTGGAGGTGTGGAGAGGGTGGAGGAGTGGAGGGGGTGGAGGATTGGAGGGGGGTGGAGGAGTGGAGGGGAGGTTGGGTGAAGGAGTGGAGGGGGTGGAGGAGTGGAGGGGAGGGGGGGTGGAGGAGTGGAGGGGGTGGAGGAGTGGAGGGGAGGGGGGGTGGATGAGTGGAGGGGTGGAGGAGTGGAGGGGTCGGAGGAGGTGGAGGAGTGGAGGGGGTGGAGGAGTGGAGGAGTGGAGGGGGTAGAGGAGTGGAGGGGGGTGGAGGGGGTGGAGGAGAGGAGGGGGTGGAGGGGGGTGGAGGAGTGGAGGGGGATGGAGGGGGTGGAGGAGTGGAGGGGGTGGAGGGGGTGGAGGAGTCGAGGGGGTGGAGGAGTGGAGGGGGGTGGAGGAGTGGAGGTAGTGGAGGAGAGGGGGGGTGGAGGAGTGGAGGGGTGGAGGAGTAGAGGGGTTGGAGGGGGTGGAGGAGTGGAGCGGGTGGAGTGGAGGTAGTGGAGGAGAGGGGGGTGGAGGAGTGGAGGGGGGTGGAGGGGGTGGAGGAGTGGAGGGAGTGGAGGGGGTGGAGGGGTGGAGGGGGTGGAGGAGTGGAGGGGGGTGGAGGAGTGGAGGTAGTGGAGGAGAGGGGGGGTGGATGAGTAGAGGGGTGGAGGAGTGGAGGGGTCGGAGGAGGTGGAGGAGTGGAGGGGGTGGAGGAGTGGAGGAGTGGAGGGGGGTAGAGGAGTGGAGGGGGGTGGAGGGGGTGGAGGAGAGGAGGGGGTGGAGGGGGTGGAGGAGTGGAGGGGGGTGGAGGGGGTGGAGGAGTGGAGGGGGTGGAGGGGGTGGAGGAGTGGAGGGGGTGGAGGAGTGGAGGGGGGTGGAGGAGTGGAGGTAGTGGAGGAGAGGGGGGGGGGGGTGGAGGAGTGGAGGGGTGCAGGAGTAGAGGGGTTGGAGGGGGTGGAGGAGTGGAGGGGGTGGAGTGGAGGTAGTGGAGGAGAGGGGGGTGGAGGAGTGGAGGGGTGGAGGGAGTGGAGGGGTTGGAGGGGGTGGAGGAGTGGAGGGGGGGGTGGAGGGGGGAGGAGTGGAGGGGGTGGAGGAGGTGGAGGAGTGGATAGTGGAGGAGAGGGGGGTGGAGGAGTGGAGGGGTGGAGGAGTGGAGGTTGGAGGGGGTGGAGGAGTGGAGGGGGTGGAGGAGGGGAGGAGTGGAGGGGGTGGAGGAGTGGAGGGGTGGAGGAGTGGAGGGGGTGGATGAGGGAGGGGTGGAGGGTGGGGGGTGGAGGAGGTGGAGGAGTGGGGGGGTGGAGGAGTGGAGGAGGGAGGGGGTAGAGGAGTGGAGGGGGGTGGAGGGGGTGGAGGAGAGGAGGGGGTGGAGGGGGTGGAGGGTGGGGGAGGGGGATGGAGGGGGTGGAGGAGTGGAGGGGGTGGGGGGGGTGGGGAGTGGAGGGGTGGAGGAGTGGAGGGGGTGGAGGAGTGGAGGTAGTGGAGGAGAGGGGGGGTGGAGGAGTGGAGGGGTGGAGGAGTAGAGGGGTTGGAGGGGGTGGAGGAGTGGAGGGGGTGGAGTGGAGGTAGTGGAGGAGAGGGGGGTGGAGGAGTGGAGGGGGGTGGAGGGGGTGGAGGAGTGGAGGGGGTGGAGGGGGTGGAGGGGTGGAGGGGGTGGAGGAGTGGAGGGGGGTGGAGGAGTGGAGGTAGTGGAGGAGAGGGGGGGTGGATGAGTGGAGGGGTGGAGGAGTGGAGGGGTCGGAGGAGGTGGAGGAGTGGAGGGGGTGGAGGAGTGGAGGAGTGGAGGGGGTAGAGGAGTGGAGGGGGGTGGAGGGGGTGGAGGAGAGGAGGGGGTGGAGGGGGGTGGAGGAGTGGAGGGGGGTGGAGGGGGTGGAGGAGTGGAGGGGGTGGAGGGGGTGGAGGAGTGGAGGGGGTGGAGGAGTGGAGGGGGGTGGAGGAGTGGAGGTAGTGGAGGAGAGGGGGGGGGGGTGGAGGAGTGGAGGGGTGCAGGAGTAGAGGGGTTGGAGGGGGTGGAGGAGTGGAGGGGGTGGAGTGGAGGTAGTGGAGGAGAGGGGGGTGGAGGAGTGGAGGGGTGGAGGAGTGGAGGGGTTGGAGGGGGTGGAGGAGTGGAGGGGGTGGAGGGGTGGAGGAGTGGAGGGGGTGGAGGAGGTGGAGGAGTGGAGATAGTGGAGGAGAGGGGGGTGGAGGAGTGGAGGGGTGGAGGAGTGGAGGGGTTGGAGGGGGTGGAGGAGTGGAGGGGGTGGAGGAGGTGGAGGAGTGGAGGGGGTGGAGGAGTGGAGGGGTGGAGGAGTGGAGGGGGTGGAGGAGTGGAGGGGGTGGATGAGGTGGAGGAGTAGAGGAGTGGAGGGGGTGGAGGGGGTGGAGGAGTGGAGGGGGTGGAGGGGGTGGAGGAGTGGAGGGGGTGGAGGAGTGGAGGGGGTGGAGGGAGTGGAGGGAGTAGAGGAGTGGAGGGGGTGGAGAAGTGGAGGGGGTGGAGGGGGTGGAGGAGTGGAGGGGGTGGAGGAGTGGAGGGGGTGGAGGGGGTGGAGGAGTGGAGGGGGTGGAGGAGTGAAGGGGTGGAGGAGTGGAGGGGGTGGAGGGGGTGGAGGAGTGGAGGGGGTGGAGGAGTGGAGGGGTGGAGGGGGT